CAGAAACAGCTTCTGGAAATCTCACGTGGCAGTGGTGGTAGCAGCCGGCCGAGCTCCCGTGTCGGCCGGGCCTCCGTTTTCTCTCTCCCGCTACTGGTGATCCTGACGGCGCACTAACTGGTTTACTATATGCACGTAGTGTACTGTAGTGTTGTGGGGGGTGAATAGTAATCACGCCCGTCTGCCGTTGCCTGTGCGAGCGGGACATTGCACCTCAGGCTGAGCGGGTGGTTGGGACTAAGATTTCCCCCCCTTGACCTGCCTTGCCTGCCTGCCCTGCCCTGCCCTGCCCTGCCCTGCCATGTCCCCTTCTGGGCGAGGGCACTGTCACATTCGACGGCGCGCTGATAGTCGAGAGCCGATCAAATCCCGGAACACCGGACCACTGCCCATGTCTCCCGTCCGACCAGCTCACTGGCGCCCCCCTCCCCGGGGCGGGCAAGGGCATGAACCCTATATCGTCAAGATGATATTGGTGTTCTGTATCGCCCGGGGTCCGCTGCGAATCAGACCTGCATATCTGGGAGCTATCAGCCTGGCTAGCTGTACTTTTGACACTCGGTTGTTTTAGCCTGGGGAAGATGCTTTGAAATGCTGCTGCTTGTTTGGGCGGAGGGGGGCACACTCGGGCGTGAAGCCTACTGTATCCCTCACTGCCCTCCCAACACTCACCGGGGGTCTGTCTTTTTGTGACGGCATCGCCAGCAGGGTTTGGCCTGGCCCGAGGACTTTAGAAACGCCATTTTAATCGGCCAAGCTTACATATGTACTATAATCGCGGGGTTCAGAGTCCGCATATGGGACGCCGAGTCTCCTTCGCCACTGGCCGGTGTTTAACTGCGCGTTTGACTGCCTCTCCTCCTCTCTGACGGTTGCAGCACCAGAAGCAATCGTGCTGACAGGAACCCCCCCCCCCGGGTGTTGCGGGAGGGTGTTGCGGGTCAACTACGCGCTCCAGTCCGGACGGATGCCGACTCCCCGTCGCTTGCCAGAAAGGACGTAACACGGCAGCATGGGGTTGCTGTGCAAATGCGGTTGAGAATGCATGCGTGCATGGAATGGGACGCATGCAGGCGGCCCTGCCTGGGTCTGCCACGCTGCCCACGCCGCGCAGAAGGCCCCCAGGTGCCGACAGCGGCCCCTTGGATCGTCACACGAGGAGCATACCCGGCCGGGCGACACGGGGAAACTGCCTTGCCATCATTTATTTTGCTTATGCAGATCCGTTTCTCACCGCGCTGCGCACATGGTTTGAGGTGGCACAAGCCAGCACATGCTGCATCGGACGCGTCGCAGCAGGCAGGATTGGCGCATATATATCTCTGCATGGTGCAACGGGGGCCCGTGGATCGTGAAAGGGGGCAGACCAGCCTGACCAGTAGTATCTAGGCCTATGTGGTAAAGTAGCAGCACCTACCCCGTCGCCGGGAATCCCCGGGGTTTGGGACCAAGATTGGCATCTACCCAACCAGCGGATGATGAGACAAGGGCAGTCCGGCTGATTTGCTTCTCCTTCGCCGAGGACGGGCGGGCCGCACGATGAATCTTGGTCGGTCCGGCAGTGGATGAGGAGGATCCCGGGCGGGAAGGGGGGTGTTAGGTCCCCAAATCTCACCGAAGGTTCTTTTCTCACCCCGTCGGAACCCACCCGCCGATCGCCAAAGCGTATCTCGGCCTTGCCTCCCCCTCTGCTTGGTTGGTCGGTTGGTTGCTTGTTCGCTGCAGCCTTGCGGCGACTCCCTCAGATTCGTGAACATTTCCACATGGCTCGCAAGGTCTTCGGCAGCGGTCCAGCCCACCCCTCCCCCCCTGCCCCATCCCAACGCGTGAGTGTGTGCATACGCCCGGTCCATCCATGTCGGTCCCAACAAAGGGCCAGAATAGACTTACACACGCACATACCTACATCACAATATGCTCCCGCCAGCCCACGGCTTGCCGCTTTAGGAACCTCCGCCCCCGGGTGATGCATGCTAGCCTGCCTGCCTGCCTGCCTGCTGGCCGGATGCAGACAAGCAAGAGAGAATTTGACGCCTGAAAGAATGTAACGCGCCAGCCCTCCCGAGACAGAGGGCGGGAGCGGCTGGCTTCTGCTGCCTGCCCTTTGCTACATTATTGCCTGCAGCCTAATAAGACACACAAAAAAAAAACGCGCACGCACACGTGCATCCCAGCCGCAGCGTGCTTTGCCGGCTCACATCCGCGAACCGGTGTGTGGATGCGAGGTCGCACGGCAGGCGCAGGCTCTCTCTCTTGTAGCCGGCTGGCAGGGGGGTGGGTGCATGTGTGTGTTTACGAGTGGTGGCTCCTGTGCGCCTGCCCGATATAGGAAGAGGTGTCGTGCGATGTGATCTGGCGGCAGCCTTGGCTGGTACCAGGGGTTGCCCAGAGGGTGTCGCAGGCCAATATCAAAAACGTGGGCAGCCAGCCTGCCGTGTTCGGACGGCCCTCGCACGTGTGCTGCGTGTGACGGGGTCACACCGTCTGCGGTGCCGAGCTGCGTAATGACCGTTATTGTGGAATCTTGTGTCTTGGATATGTCTGGTGCCTCGTGTGCCGGCGGGTGCAAGGTGTGTGGGCGATGGGAAGGCTGTACGTGCACAGTGGGCGAGGCTGAGGGTCGCGACTGGCGAGAGCGTGGCCGCCCGCACGGCTTGTGAGTGAGTGAGTGGTGGTCGTACTCCGTACTGTGTAGTGTATGTTAGTTAGCCCCAAAAGGGACCGACAGCCTTGGGTAAGTCGGAGCCGCGGTTACTGCCGGGGCTGGCCGTCGTGGGCTCGGCTAAGCATCCCGTGGTCTTTGCCGTTGCACTCGGCCTGAAGCTGTGGGTGGATCTCGCGACGCCAGAGGGGCGCACAGACCCAAGCTGGGCAGATGTTTTGCCCGCAAAGACACAGACAAACAGAATCATGGGCGTGGGGCTGCCCATGGTCTGGACAACGATGGCCTCGACCCTGTGGCTTAACCGAGGATCGCATTACTGTGCCAGTCAACCAGTGTGCACAATTCTGCACTACTTAGTCATGCCGCTGTGGGCGGCGGGTGGAAGCGCGAGTCAGCCGACAAAGGCGCCCTCATCCGACACCTTGGCGCCCGACTGCAGCAGCTAGCAGTAGCAGCAGCAGCAGCAGCAGCAGCTGCAGCCTGCAAGTCTTTTGCTCGGCCCTGCCCAGCTGCCCAGCCTGCCAGCCTGGCCGCTAGGCCTGCTAGGCCGGCTAGACGAGGGTCTGCCGTTCTGAAATGGACTAACGAGGCACCGCGTCTCGACCGTCAGAGTTTGACTGATATCATGGGCATGCATCCCTTGATCACCCTCGACTTGTTATGAGGCCCGCCCGGCCTGACCCCCAATTCTGCAGCACTGCATCGCGCGGGTTTCCGCGGACGGAGCTGGCCGACAGGTGCTGGCCGACAACTGCCTGCTGGCCACCGTCGGGACGCCACAGTCGCGCATGACAAGTCGACAACACGCAGCCGGCGTCGACGAGCCCGGGCAGGCCTTGGAGGCTTGAAGGGAGGCTCGACCTGTGCCCACTGCCCACTGTCCACCGTGGCCCAGAAGTCAAGACGGTGCCCTCACTCTTTCGGCCACCGTCCGAGCTGGCAATTAGCGCATCTATGTTCGCTCCAGCAAGAGCTGAGAACAGAGCCAGACCTCTTTGCCAATATATGATGCCGGGTGGGATCATCGTATGAGCAGGCGCTCTTATAAGTGGGACATAACCCACGTCCAAAGGGGGGCGGGCAGTGGCTTGCGGCGACCAGGAGCCGGCCTCGAGGCGCGCACGGCACAACGCAGACCTCTGCTATAGCGGCGGGCCGTGGTCGATATTACGACTGCTTCCATCCATCCGTACAGTGCCTTGAGTGCCATGAGTGCTCTCGAGGCCAGGACAGTGCGTGGGGGCACAGACTTGAGCGTCCGCCATGCATGGAACTTCTGGACTTTTGAGTAAAAGCTGATGCAGCAGCCACGGTCCCATTTTGCCTGGGTGCCATGTCTCGCCAGATCCTGTCACGCCTGTCTCTGCTGCAGATTGTGGGGCAGTTGCCGTCCGTCATTGCCCTGGGTTCGCGAAGGTTTCCGGCAGACAGCGATCTTGCTGGGGTGGGATGAGCCCGATTCGAAGACCAAGATTCGAACCCCGACGCTTACGAAGCATCCGGGGCCTATCAACACCATCTCAAACCCATATGGGAATCTCTGCCACCTACATCCGTGTGCCAAGTGCCGGCGCTGGAGGGCTACAAGCTTTGGACGGGCCTGGAGGGGCCTGCCTATGTCAAGTGACTGGGGACAAGATGCTGCGCTCCGTCCGCCTTCTCCTCGCGGGGACGAGGTGCGCGAGGCCTGTCTCCGGTGTATAGCTTTCAGCTTCGCCGTCTCACCTTGGCCGCCGTCCCGTCTTTTCCTTGATCTGCCAACTCTGGGAGGGTATCAGATTGGGCCACCGTCGGGCACCTACCAAGCCTTGCACTGCTACGGAGTACTCCTCCACATTCCGCTTTGGGCACTTACACGCCCACCGTCAGCCTTGAACTGCAAGGCTTTGTTCGGTTGCAAGGCTTCGACGCCAGGGGACTGGGCCCGCTCCGTGGGAAGCCACATGCTACCGCTTGCCGGGATTCTGACTTGCCTCTAATTATTCGAGCTGCAAGGCGGCCTGATCAGCAATTCGGAGCGAAGCACGAGGAGCATCAAGCAGGTTTTGCTACACCGCACGATACGCACAGGTGAAGGAGGGGGCGAGCTTGATGAACTCGAAACAAGTTATGCCACCGCCGGACCAGGATCTCCGCTCTCCATCGGCACCCAAGGCCATGCGTACGCCCATCGCCTTCCGCCTCAACACAAGGCTCCGGCAGCTCTTTCGGGACACCTACTAGGCCTTAACGGTTCAGGTGCGCCCGATGACGGGTCCGACGAGAGCGTGATTTGATCATCGATGCAAGAGCACCATTCACAACAGCCAACAGCCAAGCTGGATATAAGTCCACGATGAGCGACCGCTACGGCCCAGGCAGCGCCGCCCGGCGCAGCTCGAGGAAGAAAGCCCGGTACGAGTCCAGCTCGGACGACGGCCACTCAGCCGTCGGCTCCGACAAGGACGGCGACAGCGACAGCGGCGGCAGCTACATCCCAGCGAGCACAGCCTCGTCGCGGCGGCACTCTAGCTCGCGGTCCCAGCATCACCACCGCAACCACCACCACTCCCACCAAACCCACCACCGCGACCCCTCGCACCGCAGCCACTCCCAGCGGAACCACCGGCGGAACCACCCGCACAGCCACCACCGCCGCCAGAAGCTACTGGGACCGGACGAGGACGAAGAAAAGCCTCCCGACGGCATGGCCCTGGCCGTCCGCGAGGAGTACGCCGTGCAGACGGTCCCGCGTGCGCACCACCACGAAGCCGACAGCTCGGACGAGGAGGAGGTCTACGACCACCGGCCGAAGCCCATCTCGCACCGCAGCCACAGCCATGTGGGCGTCAGCGGCGGGAGCCGCCGCCAGGCCAGCGACGCCGACAAGGGTTTCTTCATGGCTGCTGCCGCGCTGGCGGTCTCCCTGATCATTTGCTGCGGCGACGGGGATAATGACTGAGACTAGGCAGGCGGGGCCCGGAGGACGTCACACGGGTCAGGTATCCGACCCCAAGGGGCAATAAAGTTCCTGGTGATCCTTCGGAAGGGGAAAAGGGGGCGATGGGGGGCCAGGCACCGGTCGTTTAATGGATGGGATATTCACACACGCTCTGGTGATCCTGTGCGGTCTTCTCATACGAGGTGGTGTCAATATCTTCCGCCCCCGATCAAATCATCCACCCCTCCGAACCTATTCCCGCCTGCCTAAGCACCTCGGAAGACGGAATGGGTATGCGTACCCGTCGCCTGTGGAGCGTAACAGCGCCCAGGTTGTCCCCCCCATCGACGAGGGATCCGTCGTCCCCTCCCCCCTTTGATGGTCTCATCAGCTCCTTTGTATTTTCATGCACGCGTACCACGCAAGGTGGGGATGTACCGGGCGACACCCTTCTTTTGGTCCCACGCTAATGGCCGTACATGCGAGGCAGTCGTCCTCGAGCGGACGGCCGCCTTGGGGTATGTGCGCCACGGCCGGGGGGCTGCCTGGGTGGGGGCAAGCTGAACATGCCCTGAGAACCTTGTGTGTGGCGGGGGAAGTGATCACCACCCTTGTGCCAGTGCTTGCTTCGGATTGTCAGCGAGGATACGGGGTTTCTGATTCAGGCAGATGGAGTTGCGATGGGGGCCATGTGGCGTCGCCACGTGGGATTCGCACAGGGGAGTGTTGGCGGCCGAGACGAAGTCGGGAATGGTTCGTGTGACCGTGACCTGCATATGCGGAGGGTGAAAAAAAAGGGCGGCGGCGGCGGCGCGGCACGTCTTTGGAAGATGAGTGACGACGGCGACGATTATCACGCCTGAGATGGTTGAGATACAGTTTGATCGTGTCCGAAGCATTCCGGCTGCCTTCCTCCATCAGCTGGTGGTGCGTGGGGATCTAGGATTTGCTTTTGTTGCCCAATGCTACGTATTCGTATTGCACACTATTGTATTGTGCAATGCGAGTGCGAAGAGTCTTGAAGCCTGTCCTGAAGCTTGCTATAGGTCTTTGTCTTTACTGCGAGTGCCACCATGGAAGCAGTGTCTGCTTATGCCTACCAGATAGTTCATATGCATCCAACTCAAGACATCGTGCTCCCGTGCGCGTATCGGCCAGAGACATACCGAGTCTGCTTGATCTTCTCGTCAGGCCTCTCGGCAGTGTCACGTCATGACAGTCCCGACACCGACACCAAGGGAGAGGCTCCGCAATTTTACCACATAACTTTAAAATTCCCATCTATACATCCATATACATGCCTACATAGTCTACACACATCCATGAACAACTGCCGCGCGCTCCCCACAATCCGACTTGGCAAGCAACACGCAAGAGGAAGGGAAGGAAAGAAAAAAAAAGGGGACCAGTCCTCAGGTACTGTGTAGCACCCGCGTCGGGACGCGGTGGGACATAGGGCAAGCAAGCTAGGGCAAGCAACGCATAGGGAAGTGTTCGTCGAGGTCGTCGCCGGCTTGCGACTCAGATCCCTGCAAGCCCTTTGTAATCGAGGCCCCAGAATTGAACATAACTCGGAAATCCCCGGCCAGCCCTCCCGCCAAATCTCGATGCCTGGGTAATAATAAACTACACAGTGAGCACACAACACAAGCACATACACGCGCACACTTACACAAGCACCGAGCGAGCTCACGAGGAGGGGCGGAGGGGGGATGGGGGGGCGCTGAGAGGGAGAGAGACAGTCAGAAGAGGACCAAAAAAAAAAGGATCGTGACTCGCCGCCCGCCCGGGGGGCAGGGGCGTGAGGATAGATAGGGCGGAGGGGAGGCCTGGGGGCCTGCATGGGGGCCCGGCGGCGCAAAGGGGAAATGACGATTGACCGGTGATGCGCGCAAGGAAGTGAGCAGAGGGTGGCCCACGACGTCAAAGCGGCGGTGTCGTAAGGGCGCAGGACAGTGTCTGCGGCGGATCCAATTCTTTTGTAATGCTTCGTGCTGGCGCGCGCGCGTGTGCTCCTCCTCAACAAAGGGAATTACCGATGCCTGGGCTTTTTTTCCCCCAAGTCTCCCCTGGTCCGCCCCGGAGGTTTGCTGAGCTGGCACGGTGTTCGGCGGTGTGTACGAGGAGGGGGGGGGGATCACGTACATTGACACATGATATCTCGATCCTCGTCTATCGTGAGGGCGCTTCCTCCGGATTTTCAATTGGCATGCCTCACTTTGCTATGACGTAGGAACACTAAATATATCAGGCAAATAATGGGACATCTGACGGGAGACTCAAATTCCGTGTATGGTTGTATTGCTTGATACCTGAAGGTATCCACAGGCTGTCCTGGCCCTACGTTGAATTCAGGCCAAGATCGTCCAGGGAGAAGAGTCGCCCGAGCAAGTGTGGCTTGCTGGTGACCCAGCCACAAAGAGAGAAAATATACCAGAGCAACTCGGTGATAGGCGGACCTAGAGCTGCGGTCGGATGGTGTAAGTCTGACTAGCCGCCATTACAATTCCTTGCACCACCTGGAGAGGATAGCATTCAGCTTTACAGCAGCGGGAATCTCCTCCAGGGTCACGTCGACCTTGCACATCCGGCCGCCTAGGCCGGTTGGCAGGAGCAGTCCTAGTGATACAAGTCGTTCCCAGCATATCTCGGCGACGCCTCGCCCCCAGACACGCACTCCTCCTCCAAGCGCCAACATGCCCGAGGTGGCACTCTGCACTCTCTGCCTTCCTATCAACGTTGTGTACTCGTCATAGGCCATCGCAAAGTTGACCGTGTCGGTGTGAGCGACAATGTCGAGGCGGGCCGCGGAAATGAGGAGTGACAAGTCCAGATCTGAGAGGGACTCCAAGAGGTAGAGCTTGGAGTCAGGTGGGTCGATGGACGGGCTGAACTCGGGCGTAATTCGTAGGGAGAGCTTTGACGGTGTGATTGCCGCCAAAGGGAGCACACAGCTGTTGAGGAAGGCTGGCACCGACTTGGTGCTATAGTAGTGATACTCGAGGAGGTCCTTGAGCCCCTGGTCCTGATATAGTGCCTCGATCTTTTTCGTCCAGTATTCCTGAAATTTGGTGAAGCCTTGCAGAGTGACCGGAAGCCCTTCTGCCTTGGCATCCTCGTCGTCTACCGTGAGGCCCTGCTTGCATACCGCCCAGTAGGACGACAGCGTCTTCGGCAGTGAGAGGTAAACGTAACGATGGCTGAATCGGCTCTTTACTCGCTTCTCGAGGCTCTCCACCACATCAATCCTGTTGGTAAGACCCAGCACAGCAATTGGTGCTTTCCTCGCTTGGGCTATGTCGAACAGGTTGTAGAGAAGTGTCTGGCGTGCGTGTGTAGCGAAGAGATCGAACTCATCAATGATGAAGACCACCGATTTGGAGGTGACCCCTTCGTGAGATTCTGCAATCTCCGAAGGATGTGACAGCAGCGCGAGCAGCGATGCAAGCGTGTCTGCATAGTTGTTCGTTTTTCCGATGAGGTCGTCCTCCACTTCCATCTCCTTTCCCAGTTGCCGCCATATGTCCTTCAGCGCCAGCTTGTCGTCCGTGTGGATGAATCCATTGAGCCGCACGACGTGGAACTGGTCGCGGTGTTCCAGGCCAATTTCGGACAGGACCGACTCAACCATCGTCGTTTTCCCACAACCCCTGGCGCCGATGACGAGCATGGAATTGCCCTCGCCCGCCAGGACGGTCTGCTGGACGAGCTGGAACGTCTTCTCGTATGCCTCGTCCTGGTCCCGTAGCCTCATTCGGCGTCTGCCGGTGCAGCGATCCAGCAGGACGCGTTTCAGGGAGCTCAGATGCTGCTCAAAATTCGGGATATCGGGCGCGGCTTCGACAGTTGCTTCTGATGCCTTCTGATCCTTGGCCGTCGACCCGTTTGCTGTCGTGCTAGATGGGGCTAGGGAGCAATCTTTGCACAGCCAATCCCCTCGTGGGATCCTAGGCACGCCGTAGCACTTTTGATGCACAGCAAGATCACAACCGTCGCAGAACAAGATCTGGTTCCCGGTCTTGGAATCTGGCTTGTTGCACAGGGCACAAACCTCATCATCCTCTGCCGTTTCTGAGTCCTCGCCGGCGTCCTCGACCGGTTCATCTTCGGGTTCCTTCCGAGACTTGGTGGATTTCCGAGTTGGGTTGACTGGCTTTGTCGATTTGTCTTCGAATAACACCTCCCCATTTTTGGGATTGTCAAAGGCGACACTCTTGGGGGCCTGGCCACGTTGCCTCCTGCTAGGAGTGAGGATGCCCTTCAGCTGGGGCTTGGCCTTTGATGGAGTCCGAGCGGCTGGTGCTTCATCTGGGTCATGAAAGTCGTAAACATCGTCCTTGCCCTTTGCCTGGCCATTTTGCTTATTTTCGTCGCCGTTCGGTGCATCTCGCGATCTGGTGGCAGCTTGCCTACCAGTGAGCCTAGGCTTCTTGGACGAGACGTCATCCTCGTCTTTCCGCGGGCGGCCACGCTTCCTGCTGGGTGCAGATTTTGGTGGCATGATGAGTGCGAGAATGTGTCAAATCAAGACCACGTTAAATAACGCCGCCTATGACCTTATGAGCCCGTCTCCGCCGAGAGCTCAAGGGTGCCCCGGGGACATGTAGATCCGTTGGGATGTAGAAAGGCGGAGGGATTTCAATGGGTCAATTCAGCCAACAGGTGTCGCTCAAAAGGCCAAGGAAACGACGAGGCAGGAGGCGCATGAATGCCTTTGTGATGCGGCGCCTCGGTATGGTGCCTGGTCCTGAGGTGCACACTGGCTGTCAGTCTCCTGGCGTGTGTCCAGTTGCTGCCGAAACGCGACTGGGAGACGCGACCCGACAGGGAATAAATTGATTTTCAGCCACAGCAACGCAGTGTGGCGCAGTCGCCCCTGAACCATCAAATCCAGTGTAAGCCTGTACCAACCTGAATTCCAGGCAGACCTGAATTAGCATTGATTTGACTAGTATTCAATTGCTTTTATATGATTGAGGAGAATTCCAAATTTCCAAATTCTGCGGAGAATGCGAGTAGGCTAAACCAAGAACGAGTTTCGTATCCCAGGATCATTCATTCAAAGTGGTCTCCCACGGCTTCCCAGAAAAGTCTCGTCCATATCTGGTGGCAATTGGGTTGCATGATTCTATCTCAAATCTAGAGACTTCTAACCTTAGAGGCTTTTTCTGAGTAGACCATGGTAGCCACGTGTGGTAAGTGAAGATAGAGAAACACAGCAAACCTCAAATTTTGGACTACTTCAAGATGCTTATATTCATGGGCAACCTGCCACTAGACAGAATGGCCTGCCGGTACCACGAAGATGGGCCCTCGGCCCTCGACATTGCAGAAAAGAACGTGAACGCAATGCCCACCTGAACTCCGCAACGCCATTCCCCTACTACTCATTTTCCATGCCTTAAAAATCTGGTAAATACCAGATGCCGTGCGGGTATTCATCCATCATCGAAATCCAGATAGCTCCTCTATCAGGATCAATCAATCTGCATGGTATCGTCTCCATCAAAAGCCTGCCCCTGTGGCTCGACTGGGACACCTCTGCCACGACCTGCAACCAGCTCCCTCCTGATCTCAGGTCCGATGGCAGAGTGACCGTGGGTGAGTAGCAAATCGAGTAAAGCCTACGGAATAGCATGTGAGTATTCGAATGTAAAATGGCCAAATGACCACGCCGAGTTGGGGAGTCAAGCTGTCCTCCAGGGTTGGGAAAGCGGGAAGTTATGGGATACGCATTCTGGGTGAATGCCACAAAGGCTACGCTTTACATACCTCTCGTTGGTCCTCGTTGATATCGTTTCGATACCTCTGAGCGAAACTCAGGAGACACTGATGCCATAACACCGGCAGTTGACGCCCAATCTTTGATTCTGATGGCCTCTCCATAGCCTCGGCCTCCTTTACAGCCGCAGGGTCGACCGACCTGAATCGCAGGAAGAAGAACACCAGCGCGTCAATGACCTGGTACGGCAATGCCAGCCCCTTGTCGAGCAAGCACTTGATGAAGACATTTGTGGCAGCAGCGTTTTCGCCATTAGAGGCTTGCTGGGCCGCCAGGTCGCAAAGCCCCTTCAGTCCTGCTGCCGAGTGTAGAATGGGGATGGAGACGCGGGCCATGACGGAGGAAACGATGTGAGCCTCGCGCAACGTGCACGTGCCCGAGCCGACGAGGGGGAACAGGATTCCCTTGAAGAAGGCAGATGGTTTGTATAAACTCTTCTTGAGCGAGTTGTACAGGTGAACATTCCTGCGGCGTCGAGTGTCAGTACTTGGCGATTATTTGGAAATCACATGCAAGTACATAATGTCACGGAGCAAATAGTCCTTGCAAGGCACACTTACAGCTTCTTCGTCTCGTAGATCTCGTCCCGCACCCGAGGCAGCACCACTATCTCGAGCCATCGCTGGACCACAGCTGGCTTCGCCGAGGCGAAGATACGGGTCAGACCATAAATCGCATTTGGAGTCCAGTTCTCAGGTTGTGCGACCTCGACAATCCTCTCCCAGTCAGGGACTGTCGGAAGAATCTTCATAGGTTTCGGAAGTGGCCCGCTCTTCCAACGGCTCAGGATCATGCCGCACCTAAAAGAGAGTCAGTACGGCGGCATTCTGTGTTATTCTGTCGGATGGATAAACGACGCACTTCGCATAGACCTCAATGACCTTGGGGTGCAGATCCTCTTCAGGGAAGTCTTCCATGCCACCCACGTCCTCCTGGTTCCCTCCGCCGGCTTCGAACGCCTGAATTTTTTGCATGATCAAATCCGCCAGATTCGTCCCTGCTTGTTGCTCCTCGCCGTCGGCGGGTTTCCGGTCCCAGCCGTGCTTCAACAGCGGATCCTCGTCGGCTGTCAGGAACTTGTTGAACATCGCCAGGTCCTCAGGTGCGACCTCGGCGCCCTCGAGCTCGATCTCCTCCTCCTCGCCCCATGCTTCCTCGTCGTCGAATCTGCTATCGTCCTTGTCGTCTTCTTGCACAAATCGCGAATCGACATCGAAAGCGCTCTTTCGCGACTCCGCGGCGGGCTTGTTCTGGTCGTCGTCCTCGTCGGCGAGCTCCCGGCCTAGTTGGAGAATGCGCGCTGATTGTTTCGAATTCACAAAGTGGTCCTCTTCTTTCTCTTCCTTTGCTTTCTTCCCTGTCTTCCCAGATCTCAGGATACCGGCGCCCCCGAGGATGTCGGCTTCAAGAGGGTTGTGGCGACGCCCTTGGCGCTCGCCCACAGGCGTCGTGGCTTTAGGCATTTCCGATGAGGCGTACTGTGATTTCAAAAGATTCTCAAAGTCTGAATGGTGTCGTGGGATTCTTCGACTTCGAGGTCGCAGGGTTGAATACTTCTCAGGCGCATTCCGGTAAGGAATTAGGAAAAAACTTGACCGACTTCCTTTCCTGATTGAGTTCTGCCACCATAACCTTATCGATAAGCACACGTCTAAGCCGCCCCCACCAAGCCCACCAAGGCCACTGGAGAGCAGGCTTGACCTTTTGTTGCCTGCCCCGCCATCAATGTGGTTCATTTCATCCCTGGCCCCCTTCCAAAAGTTGTAAGTGGCCAAATTCTATTCAAATCTTTTCTAAGTACACATATCAAAAGCCCAAAGCCCCTTTCACTTGAAAATGCCCACCGAGCTTGAAGAGGTGTGTGTGACATGTCCCGTGGAAACAGCAATAGAGCTCGGCTAATTTTCCCTACAGCTTGTCGGCTTCATCGCCAGCCCGAACCCACAGATTAGGGCAGTTGCCGTGGAGAACCTCGTTGGTTACTCAACAGCACAACCGTCCATTTTCAAGATCAACCAATTGGTCCCAGTCAAGAACCTCAAAGTTCTGATACAGGACCGTCCAGTATGTGGTGTGGTCTGTAGGGCTTCGAGAAACTTGCCGTACTGACTGACTGCTAGCAAATCGCCCAGCATGCACTGACGATATTAGTAAATATCGCCGCGGACACCGAGGTCCTCGACTTCCTGGCCACAGATAAAAAATTCCTCGATGTTGTGTTCTCGCGAATAACGGTACGCTACTTATCCAGCCTGCTCAGCTGCGGGACCTCAAGGCGGTAGAAGCTGCGGCTGGGGCGATCACTTCATGGGCTCCACGTGCTAATGCAACAACATCTCTAGAACCCTGCAGAGCCTAATGCAAATCTTCTGGCAATGCTGCTAGCGAATTTGGCCAAGTGGGATGGACTGAAAAATATCATCAACCGGAAGCAGAAGGCGCCCGAAGGGCTGGCATCAGACGACCTGGTCATTAATCAGCTGGTCGACCTCTTCGTGAAGGGCGCCGATGGATCCTATAACAAGGATGCCGATTATGACTACCTTGCGTATCTGTTTGCTGACCTTGCTAAGCACCCAGAAGTCAGACAGTATTTCGTCAAGCGGCAAGAGTACGATTCTGTGATTCCTTTGACGAAACTCAAGGTTTTCACCGAGCACAAGTCCGACATCAGGCGCAAAGGAGTGGCGAGTACCATCAAGAATGTTGCTTTTGATGTCCCCTCTCACCCTCTGTTCTTCTCCGAGGATGAGATTCATGTTTTCCCGTACATTCTGCTGCCGATAATGGGCAGTGAGGAATACGACGAGGATGATATGATGGCAATGCTACCGGAGCTGTCATTGCTGCCACCAGACAAGGAGCGTGAACGCGACCCCAGCATCATCCAGACACATGTGGAGACCTTGATGCTATTCACTACGACTCGAGAAGGGCGAGACAAGATGAGAGAGATCAAGGTCTACCCCATCGTCCGAGAGACACACCTGCGTGTCAAAGAGGACGGCGTGAAGCTGGCTTGCGAGCGGTTAGTCCAGGTGCTAATGCTAGATAATGAAGTCGAGGAGGAGACACCACGTGTTGTGGAGTTGGATGATGACGACGACGACGACGATGGGAAGGTGGTAGAGGTATAATCGCGAACTTCAGTCAAGAGAGCTCTTGCAAGCTCCGGATACCGCGGCTACCTTGGGACTCCGCGCCCAATCCATCTCGGTCAACTGAATGAGGTGTAAGGGGCACGCGGCCATGAATTCATCGCGACGCATTAACGCCAGTTCCGCGTGAATCGGCGGCACTCTGCGCTGGCTTCAGCCCCGGCTGATCTGCGCGGCTCTGCGTGTATTTGTCTACTGGATTGGGGACCGAACCCAGAGCGCGAAATATGCGGTCTGCCGCTTGATTGGTGGTAGCTTGTGGCTACCTCGTGGAAATAGCACCCTCAATTCAGCCTGTCACGAGAGGGTCGGGCGGCCCGGTAGCTGGTCTTCCAAATATCATGGGAGACCTGGTCGTACTGGCTGACTGGCAGACCATGACAGGTGGCATGACAGAGAAAGGTACCGCGCTATAGAGGCAATGAAGCCACAAACCTTGGGCCGCATACAAGATCTGTGATCGGCGAAGCATGAACTAGTCCGTGGGGCAGCTCACGACAGAGGGTACCCTTGGACGACTGGCTCGATCCGGCAGTCTGGGACCACAGGGGAAACGTGACACGTTCCGTCATTCCGGTTGGTCGAGCAGACTCTGCTCTGAACCATGGGGATATATCAGCGACCCCGGTCTCGACGATCCATCCCGCTGCAATTACGAGACGGCTGCAGTGGAGAAGACGGGGTGGTATTCTAAGATTGGAGTCCTGCAGCTGCCTCGTGGTCTCTGCAGCGTCCATGTCATGCTCTTGCATACAGACGTGCGGCTCTGCAAAACAACGAGCCTAATGTTCTTGGAACACCACGTCAAAACATGGAGATCATGTTGCCAATGTCTTGGTAGGCTTGGAAAAATGTCTTGTCGATGCTTGTCGATGCTTGTCGATGCTTGTTTCCAAGACCAAGACGGCAGCTTACCGCTGGGCGCGTGCGACTAATACCGATGAAAGCGTGTGGGAGCCAAGATGCGTCTTGGCAATTGATCCTCTGCAGGATTAAAGACCGGCCTGAACACCCTCCTAATTTCGTGCCGACTCAAGGCTCGAAAAATATCAAATCGTCGCTTCAGGAGCTGAAAGGCATGTCGTCGGGACAAATAGTGGGGGACTTCTGCCGTCCTATCACCGGGCTGGAAGAACTTCTTGCATTGACCAATAGCAGCTGTTGAACGGAGAACGTGGGCCACTTGCACATGTCAATTCGTGGGGAGGCTGGGTCAGAACGGGGACCCCTGCCGGTTCGTGCAACGGCGCATGCCTTCTTCGAGCCTCGCCTCTCCGGATCTTTCGAAGCTTGACGACGCCCCAACGTCGTTTAGGCTGAGCCAAAGGAGGGTTTTTCGACGCCGCTGTCCTTGGCGCATAAGGTGAGGGCGTCCTTACTCCTTCAGGTCCCCATCATACTGAACGGGGCGTGACGGGGCCCAGGGCCAGACTATCGTCCAGTAATTGGGCATCCGCACGCATCTGCGTTTGCCTGTTGGGATTATCCACGAGAGACACATGCTCTGAATGATTGGCAGCGACCGATGCCCGGCATCTCCACCCCCACGGGCTGGCTACTCGATGGTGGCACTAGATGGTTGACGAAGGGCGTTTCCGTCACCCTGGCCGATGATAAGGTGCCAATGACAGACGCGGCTTCAGTGCATCAACAGGCACGGCACGAGGCGGATCGTCTCTATGTCTCTCGCTGGGATAAGGCAGGATCGATGTAATAGCAAGGCTTCGATACTCTAGTGGACGGAAGGATCTGGCTGGAACATCTCGGATGCTGCTTGATGTCTACACCCCGCCAATCACTGGACCCGGAAGGTTCCTCGGCCTGTCAGAGACACCGAGCGCAAAGCGTATCAATCTCGGGCTACTGACCCAGGGCACCAGTGAGGGTTGGTCTTTCCAGTCCTTCCCCATTGCGACATCCGACCGAAAGCTTCTAGAGCCTGACCCCCAGCCCGTGCTTTTGCCAACAGGCATCCCTTCCCCTCAGCCCGAGCCTGGGCCGAACTGCAGAGCATGGATCTGTATCAACCTTTTCTCGAACCAGCGAACTTGCCGGAGGTACATGTGCCTCCAGTTTTGGTTTTCCAGTTGTGCGAACAGACTTCATTCCGAAATTCAGCTTCATTTATTTGTTCGAGGACAGTGAATCATTCATGATCAGACGATCACTTAAAACTCTCCAGCCTCTGAGCAGGCGTTTGCAAAGACACGAGGTCAGCCTTCGATATCCGGTCATGGTATCGTGACAAGGTGGTGAATGGGCTGTCTCATCCTTACCAACATGTCTGGTAGCCTAGTCAGACTAGACCCGGGGCTACGGGGGCGGTACGTATTTGACAAGGGATGGAATGTTGCTCGTTGCATGCAGATACGTACTCAAGTACCTTTCACTAGGGGACCCGCATGTCTGAATATTAAACTGCGAACCTTGTCCACATCAGCTGCGGTCAGCACGCCGTGCACGCCCTCTCTGTCTTTACCCTTAACCCATAAGGCTGCCCTCTTTTATCTTTCCCGGGAGCATTTCGTAGATCGACCGTCTCTTCTGCATCTCAATTCGGCTCTCGCTCTCCCTCAGCACCACGGGTTTTGTTGCTCATCGACACCGAAAGAAGAAGAGCTAGACACCGGCCTTCACTTACAATGGCCGAGTCCACGCAGCCCCGAGCTGTCGACAAGACGTCGGGTGGAAACGCCGCCTACCACAACTTCCACAACGATTTCCTCCAGTCAGTCCATCCTGATCTCGCTGGTTTCCACGGGAAGTCTTCGTTCTCCTGTTTTCACGATAGCTGACATTTGGATGCCACAGTGTCCAAGATCCCAACGAGCGTCGTCGTCTTGCCCTCGCTGAGATCGACAAGGCTCCTTTCGGTTGGTACCATGTGAGGGCTATTCTGGTCGCCGGCGTGGGTTTCTTCACAGACTCGTATGATAAACTCCTCCTTTACTAAGTGGCACACGACGTGAAAACTAATCAACCTCGCCGCTAGCTACGATATCTTCGCCGCTTCCCTCCTGACCCTCATGCTGGGCATTGTCTACTACCCCGGCGTAGGCAAGATGCCTGTCAGTTCCGACACGGCCATCAAGCTTGCTACCAGCGCTGGTACTGTCATAGGCCAGTTCGGCTTCGGTACTCTCGCTGATATTGTACGTCCATTGGATCCTGTCTCAGCTCCTTGCCGCCTCTAGTGCTGACCAACCGCTCTCTAGGTCGGCCGCAAGAAGATGTATGGTCTGGAGCTTATGATCATCATCTTCGCGACTGTTGCCCAGGCGCTCACCAGTGGCTCTCCTTCTATGGATGTGTACGTTTTCACACGCCTCTCTGTACTTGAATCTTGTTCAACTTTTAGCTTACACATCTTTGCACAGTATTGGACTCATCATCTTCTGGCGAGTGCTCATGGGAATCGGCATCGGTGGTGACTATCCCTTGTCATCCATCATCACGTAAGTGGCCCTTTGAAATACTTTGACGGTTTTGTGCAAGGTTCTGCCACCTGTCTTGGACACCCGCATGACTCCATTCTTGATAAACTGATGGCTAACCTGTATGTAATAGTTCCGAATTCGCGACCACGAAATGGAGAGGAGCGATGATGGGCGCTGTCTTCGCTATGCAAGGAATTGGCCAGCTCGCTGCCGCCTTTGTGATGCTGTTCGTAACCCTTGGGTTCAAGGACGTTTTGGAGACCTCATCCAAGCCGGCCAACTGCACTGGTGATTGTGCCGTCGCCGTGGATAAGATGTGGAGAATCCTCATCGGATTCGGCGCTGTCCCCGGCTGCGTCGCTCTCTACTTCCGTCTGACGATCCCCGAGTAGGTTCAACCTCTTTCATCCTCAACGATACATGACCGATTACTAATATGGCCTATCATCTAGGACTCCCCGATACACTTTCGACGTCAAGATGGACGTGGAGAAGGCCGACGAGGACACTAAGCTTTACGTCAGTGGCAAGAGGGGTGAGGCATCTGTCGACGAGGTCGCCCGCATGGCTGCCCAGAAGAATGCCGCGGAGAACATGAAGGTCGAGAAGGCCAGTTTCAAGGACTTCATGCGTCACTACGCTGTTCCAAAGAATGGAATGCTCCTTGCCGGGTAAGAACTCCGTCGTGTCCTACCTGATCACCCGCTCATGACTAACCACGTGTAGCTGTGCTCTCTCTTGGTTCTTCCTTGATGTTGCCTACTACGGTCTTTCTTTGAACAACGCCACGATTCTCCAGGCCATTGGCTACTCGACCAAGGGTGCTAAGACCACTTAGTAAGTGCCGCCCTCAAGCAGCCACTACCCAGGGCTCCATGACTATAAGCCGTCTCCCCGTGAACCGCCTTACTAACCACGAGTAGCGAGGTCCTTTACAACACCGCGATTGGCAACCTGATCATCGTCCTGGCCGGGGCCGTGCCCGGATACTGGGTCACCGTCGCCACCGTCGACACGCTGGGCCGCAAGCCGATCCAGCTGGGCGGCTTCATAATCCTCACGATCCTGTTCATCGTCATGGGCTTCGCCTACGACAAGCTGGGCCAGAACGGCCTGCTGGCGATCTACGTGCTGGCGCAGTTCTTCTTCAACTTCGGGCCCAACTCGACCACCTTCATCGTGCCCGGCGAGTGCTTCCCGACCCGGTACCGGTCCACGTCGCACGGCATCTCGGCCGCGTCGGGCAAGATCGGCTCCATCATCGGCCAGGGCGCCATCGCCCCGCTGCGCACGCGCGGCGCCACCGCGGACAACGCCAACCCGTGGCTGAACCACGTGCTCGAGATCTTTGCGCTCTTCATGCTGTGCGGCGTCTTCTCGACGCTCATGATCAAGGAGACCAAGCGCAAGACCCTCGAGGAGCTCGCCGAGGAGGACGACTACGCCGCCACGCGGGGGCTCCCCTCGCAGGCCGGGTCCGGCGAGGGCGTCCTCGAGAAGGACAGGGACGCGCGGACGCCCGAGGAGAGCGTCTAGGCTGGTTGGACACCAGAGCGATTATAAACTTGCGTCGATTTTCCCTTATGTTGTTGTGGATACGCACACGCGAACACATACACCACCCTGCGCACCGGCGGTGGTGCTACAAAAGAATACCCAGTCTTTGTTAATATGGCATGGTTGCATACTAGTAGTGGTTAGTTAATAGAATGCGAGAACGGCCTCTTTCCTGCTGTACACAAGAAGCTAGCTACTAGTGTGCACATGCCTGGAACCATGAATTACATCTTTTGCCATGTCGGGCGAAGTTGCCTCGGCATGCGTCAACTGTCTTGGGCTTTGCCGCGGACCATTGCCGCGCGCGCGCGGCGATCGATACGCATCAAATGCTGAGCCGCGCGCTGCTTGGCCTTATCAGGCTGGTCTGCCGGCACCTGAAACTGTCAAAAGGGAAAAGCAAACAACCATGTCCAGCTGGACCTCTGTGCGGTGTGCAGACACACACCCGGGCATGGATCGGTGCTAATTCCTGACACTGACAGGTTCGAAGCCCCCTCCCCCGCCTTCCTCCTCTCTGTCTGTCTGCATAAAACCTACCGTTACGTGCGCCGTCCGGCGCCCGATGTTGGAGCCGAGCCGTGAGGTTGTATCGATCCGACCTCCCGCTGCGACGGGCCATTCTAGGCCAGGGCGCCGGTCTCAGAGACCCTCGGACTGGTCTGACAGGTTACAACGACACACGAGTCTTTCTGTCTGGTGACTGTGTTCAGCTTGCCTAGGTGCCTCTCTGCCTGCCTCTCTGCCTGCCTCTCTGCCTGAGTTATGCGCCGGGACTAGAGAGAATCGGAGCTCCGGGAGATCAATCTTGGGCTTGTCTCTGCCGGCCAGCTGGTGATATCACCGCCCGCCCGCCCTGTGCTGTGCTGTCTTCGGGGCGCAGAACTTGAGACCGCGAAGCTTTCACGTTTCTCACAACAGCGTGATAGTTACTCTTTCGGACGGGCGGGCGGGTGCGTGCGGAAAGTCTGGTCGGACGGCAATGAGCCTGTTGTAGTATCAGCCATGACACAATTGGGCAGGGCTGAGTACAAAGTTTGTCCAAAACGTATGTCAGGAAAGCAAGTAGTTTTTGTTGTTCGGATGGTATGAGAGGAATCATCATTCATCCCTGCCGATGGTGGCATCGCTGGAAAGCGAGAATCACTCCCCAAAGTACCTAACCTAGGTAGTCTAAATATACAGGTTTTAAGATTGTGCGCAGAAGGGGGAATAAACAAACAAGCAACAACAAAGAGGAGAACAGAATAGCATGACATGACATGAGCCCATCAGAGGGCACTATTTCGACCACTGACGCCATTAACAACACCGTTGACACCGTTCACGCCGTTGACCTCGCCCAGGCCGGCAAAGATGTCGTCGAACTTGTCGGCGGCGTCGGCCACGCAGTCGTGGCCGTAGATCATCTTCTGGACGTCCGGGCTGGCCCACTTGTCCGGGACGGCGCCCTTCTTGTCGCGGTGCTCGCGGAACTGGCGGTCGCGCTCCTCGCGGGCGGCGCCCTCGCCCAGGTGCAGCTGGCGGCCCGAGTAGGCGGCCATGTCGACGAGGGTGGTGCAGCGGTCCTTGCGCAGGACCTCGTAGGCCTTGAGGGCGCGGGACACGGTGCGGGGCCGCGTGTCGGGCAGGCGGCTGAGGACCTCGGCCAGGACGGCGCCGTCCTCGATGGCCATGGCGGCGCCCTGCGACAGGTGCGGCAGCGTCGGGTGGCAGGCGTCGCCCAGCAGCGCGACGGAGCCCAGGCTCCACGTCGACAGGGGCCGGTGCTGGCGCAGCTTCCACTCGCAGACCTCGCCGTCGGGCACGAGGTCCAGCATGCGGTGGACGAGCGGGCAGAAGTCCTCGAAGACCTTGACCATCTCGGGCTTGGAGCCCCTGGTGGTGTAGGTGGCCGAGACGCCCCTGGCGAAGTTGTCGTCGGGCTGGGCCGAGGACAGGTTGTAGATGGTCTTGTTGGCGACGGGGTAGGCGATGATGTGGCGCTTCTCGCCGATCCACCGCACGACGCAGTCGCTGTCCAGCAGGGCCATCATCTCGCGGTCGTGCTGCATGTCCTCGCGCTTGAGCATGATGCGGTACGCCGCCTGGCCCGTGTCGGCCTCGCCAAACTCCTCGCCCAGGTGCGCCAGGATGTCCCGCCGCGTCGTCGACTTGATGCCGTCGGCGGCCAGCACGATGTCCGCCTCGACCTGGTACGGCCTGCCCTCGCGCGGCTGGACCGTGAAGGTGGGCCGCGGGCCGAACGAGTCGATGCCCTCGATGCGCGACGAGAACTCGAAGCGGATGGCGGGCTCCTTCTTGCAGCCGTTGTACATGCCGCCGGCCAGCGATGACCTGTGCCCCGTGCAGTGTGGGTAGCCGTACTTGTCCTCGACGTCGGGCATCTCGACGTGAGCCAGTTCCTGATCTGTGCTGCCCTCTGCAGGAGCCCACACGTCTCTCGTCAGCAAGTCGGATCTATATCGTCATATCCGGGATGAATAATGATGCCAGCCACGCCCAAGCACACTCACGCCTTATACTGGTCTCCTTGACATTGGTCGCCTCTGCGTAGATCTCCTTCCAGCACCCCAGCCGGTCGAGGATCCGGTTCATGTTGGGGGCCAGCTGGATCCCGGCCCCGACAAATCCCAGGTTTGACGCATTCTCATAGACGGTTATGTCCTGAAAGCCTTTCTTCGCAAGGGCCAGCGCGCAACCCAGACCACCCATGCCTTTAGTTGAGGGTAGTGTCAGTAAATGAGTGTAGTGTATATATCTATGACGGGACTAATGCGTCCGCTGCGCCACAACCAAGATCGGGGTAGCCCAAAAACTCACCAGCGCCGAAGACGGCTATTTTGAGGTCGAGTTTGTCTCCCATACTATAGGAACCCATCCTGCTGGTTTCTGAAGCGATCGAAAGCAAAGAGAGGAGGGGACGGCAGACACCTGGCCAGGTGGAAAGTAAGACGGCTCGCCCAGAGGGAATGGGAATGAGATAAGCCGGTCGATAGGCGCATATAGAGAACCCCAAAAGGGCTGGGCGATCTGGGAGATCCTAGATCTTATGTGGCGTAGGAGCGGGAAGGGTGGTGCCCGTCCTGGTGCAGAGAGACGAGGAGTGGGCCGTGGGGAGGCAGACAGACAGACAGAAGAAGCAAGTAGGGCCGCCCGGATATAACACAAAGTGCAATATGGCCTATTGTCTATCCTGCCTGGTCACGGGCCAGAGGTCACAGCAAGACAGGAAGGACAATTAAGAGGCAGCCTCTCAGGAATGGGGGGCGGTTAAATCAGCGAGCAGGTTGAGCGGACATGATCCAAAAGAGGACGTGGACTGCCGGGCCTAATAATAAGAAGAGACGAGGAGACGAGGAGACGCCGACACCAACGTGGCCGGCTGGACAGTCCGTACCATCATTGCTCTCTCTCCACACACACACACACACACACGCACACGCACACGGCACACCCAGATCTGTGGGCGTTCGGGAAGGGAATCTGCATCTGCACTGGGGAATGGGCAGGGGACTGCGGTTGACGCCTGGCGCCCGTGTACCCTTGTACCCTGCCGGCTCCTCCATGAAATCTCCCCAGTTGACTCGAACGGCACTGCAATGAACTTCACAGCGCCAGAAACAGCAGTTAGAGGGAGGGTAATTGCAGGTCGAAGTGGAATCGGGCGTCATGCCCAGCAGGTGCTGGCAGGGCGTTGCGTAATATCTCGGCAGCTACATCTCGGGCCCGACCGCCCTGGGCGACGGGTGCGGGGAGGGGCTGTCGTCGGTGCTCCTTGTGTGCCCCTCGGTGGATCGGTGGACAGGGTGGACTCAGCCCAGGTGAAAGTGTGCCTGGAGGCTCGGGGGACAGAGGCAGAAAATAAAGAGCCGACAGAGTTGATACTAGCAGGACTGGCCCCACGTTAATGGCCCATGGTCTGGTTTGCAAGGCTATATACACTTCAGCACCTGTGGCTAGCGATCAATGTGAACAAAAGCTACACCACTGTTGTACCCCCTCGGCCCTTTTCTTTGCAGCAGGTCAGAATCATCCAGAAGAAAAAGGCCACACTTCTGGTGGCCTTGGGGACGCAGGCACCGGCCCGCTGTCAACGGCCAACGTGCCCAGGCCGGTCATCCATGGCTGACTGCTACTGTTATCTGCCGTGGCTGCACGTTACGGTCATTGACTGCACTGCGCAACTCTGCACAACAACAAAAGAGGTGTCGTTGTACAGCACAATACGTGCACGATAAATGAGCGTGCTTTTGACCGACGGGCCAGCTGACCTCGCCCCCTCGGTGGCTGAACTATACCCACGAATGAATACTTGGGTACTTGGCCACACGGCCTCGGCGTACCTACTAAGCAGGTCCCTTATAAAAGTATCCGGCCACAACTCCAATTTCAGCCCCTAAGCGCTTTAGGCGCTTAAATAGCCACACTACTTCACATTATCAAATTATATAATATTTATATTAAAAAAAAAACACTTAACAGTTTATTCTCTTTCTACCACTATCATATAACTTAATCCACTATTTAGATATATCCTTATATATTTATATAATTACCTTTAGGTTAACAGTTTACTAACTCTCTTTAATAAGTTATTATAAGTTATTAATAAATTAATATTTATATTATTTTATATATAATTTAACTATATTAATATAATAAATATTCTTAATAGGGTTAATTTTAAAATAGTAATAAAAATTTAATATAATAAATATACTTTCTTTTTTTTAAAAGTCTTAAATTATAACTATTAAATATATATTATTACTATTCTTTTATATAATAAATCTATATAACCTATAATACTTCTTAATATCCTATAAATATACTTATATATATATTTATATATATTAATATTAACTTTATTATTATTATTTATATATATTTTATATTAATAAAATAATAACTTATAACTTTTAATTCTATTACTACTATATAATATAAAGTAATTTAATCTAATAATTATTTTTATAGAATATTTAAAAGTTTTTTACTTTTGGTTATTATTAACTTTAAAGTTATTAAAAAGAGTATAATAATATTACTTATAAACCTTCTTTAAAGACTTTTAAAGAGTTTACTCCTTTATAATCTATATAGCCTTCTTATATATAAGCTTTTTTAACCTTCTTTTAACTTTTTATTAAAAGAAGTATTATTAGTTAATACTATAAGTTTAATCTTATTAGAAGGGTCTACTTAATAATTAAGTTTAATTTTATATATAATATATTTTTATAATCTTATTAAGTATTTTTATTATTACCTAACTTCTCTTTTAAAATAATTATATTAATTAAATAGGTCTATCTTTTACTAAAATATTATTTTATAAGCCTTAATTTAAAGCCTTATATTAAAAGTAATACTTTATTATAATTAATAAATAATTTTATATATTCTATTAAAGTATATTTTATTAAAGTTTTAAAAAAATTAACTTATCTAATATAATTAAGTATAAATTTTATAAGTGTAATTATAACTAAATAAATTAAAAGTTATTAAAAACTAATAGGTATTTAAATTATTATAATAATTAAGGTTAAAATTAGGTTATTATAATAACTAGAAGGCTTTATTATTAAGGTAATACTAAATTATAATACTCTTTAAGTTTTAAAATATTAAAATACTTAAAACTTATAATTTAATAACTTAATTAATATCTTACCTAAAAAGGTTAAAATACTTAAAGAATTAATATATACTCTATATTTTAATATATTTAAGTATATTATATTTAATTAGACCTCCTTTTAATATTATAATAATAATATTTTAATAAGTTAGATAAATATTATTTAATAAAGTATTTAATTTTAAGTAGATTAATAATAAGAAATAATACTATATATAATATAGTTGTTAAGGAAAGTAAGATTAAAGTTTGGTTGTTTTAGTAAGGAATGCAATAAATTGGAGTTGTGGCTGGATACTTTTGCAGCCCGCCTGCTAAGTAGGTACTATAGCCGCACATATAATAGTACCTAGGTACGGCGCACAGCGCACAGCACACAGCATGTACATAACAGCCCCGGTATGCAGCTCGCTTAAAATACTCTAAAGCTCGGTAAAGAACTCTATCCGAATTAGGCTTAGCTTGGTGGGGACCGTTTTTTACGGGTACATCGAATTATACGTAATATTAAAACACATCCTAAATGCATCCTAAATGTATTTTAAATACATTTTAAATATATTTTAAACGTATTTTATATTTATTTTAAATATAAATAAATACTTAAATAATAGTTAAATAAATAATTAAATTAATTATTAAATAAATAATTAATTAATTATTAAGTAAATTATTAAATAATAAGTAAATAATAATTAAATAATAATTAAATAATAATTAAATAATAATTAAATAATAATTAAATAATAATTAAATAATAATTAAATAATAATTAAATAATAGTTAAATAATAGTTAAATAATAATTAAATAATAATTAAATAAATAATTAAATAAATAGTTAAATAAATAGTTAAATAAATAGTTAAATAAATAAATAATTAAATTAATTATTAAATAAATAATTAATTAATTATTAAGTAAATTATTAAATAATAAGTAAATAATAATTAAATAATAATTAAATAATAGTTAAATAATAGTTAAATAATAATTAAATAATAGTTAAATAAATAAATAATTAAATAAATAACTAAATAAATAACTAAATAAATAATTAAATAAATAATTAAATAAATAATAAAATAAATATTTAAATAATTAAATATTTAAATAATTAAATAAATAATTACTTAAATAATTACTTAATATTTATTTATTTATTTATTTATTTATTTATTTATTTATTTATTTATTTATTTATTTATTTATTTATTTATTTATTTATTTATTAAATAATTAATTTAATTATTTAAATTAACTACTTATTTAATTACTTATTTAACTATTTATTTAACTACTTATTTAATTACTTATTTAATTATTTATTTAATTATTTATTTAATTATTTATTTATTTATTTATTTATTTATTTATTTATTTATTTATTTATTTATTTATTTATTTATTTATTTATTTATTTATTTATTTATTTATTTATTTATTTATTTATTTATTTATTTATTTATTTATTTATTTATTTATTTATTTATTTATTTATTTATTTATTTATTTATTTATTTATTTATTTATTTATTAAATAATTAATTTAATTATTTAAATTATCTACTTATTTAATTACTTATTTAACTACTTATTTAACTATTTATTTAATTATTTATTTAACTACTTATTAACTATTTATTAACTATTTATTTAACTATTATTTAACTATTTATTTATATTAAAAATAAATATAAAATATATTTAAAATACATTTAAAATACATTTAAAATGCATTTAAAATGCGTTTAAAATGCGTTAAAGTAAAATATTTTGTAAAATTTAAGTACCCTTAGTTACAAGGGGTATCCCTACATATAACCTACCTAACCTCTTTTAGAAGAAAAAAACCCTATAATTTTAAGCGAACTTTAGCGTATTTTAAGCGAGCTACCAGCCCATAACAGCCCGACAGTCTGGGAGACTAGACACCTTTGGGCAAGCTGGGCGACAGGGCCGCAGCGGCCGAGGATAGATGGATAACGGGCCCACATGACCGGTATCGCCGGCGCCCGATCTTTGGGCGACGCTGACACCAAACCTTGGAATCCGTCGGGTCGCCATTCCGGGTGTGTGGTATTGTGTAACACTTGCTGCTGCATCAGCGACTTCACAGACAGGCCGAGGGCGACCACCATCGACCAGACCACCGCTGACCACCAGACCACCACATTCCCTGACTAAGTCATTGGCGCGCATCAAGCTTTGGACTAATCCTCTGGATCACTGCCCGCTATGCTTTATCTGTGTGGTGACCCGACTGCCACGGCGTCGATCTCCAGCCTAGTCGGTGTGCCACGCGCTACATGTCCTACTGCATCCTACATCATCGGGGCAATTCACCTCCACCTCCTCTGCGCCAGGTGCCGTGTCTGCCCTCCCAATTAGGTTTCTTGCCACAGCGCCGCAAGCAATGAAAAGAGGCGGGCAGTCGCACTTTGGGAAGCAAAAACATGTCTCGGCAGCTTGTCTCGGGACTGTGGTCCTGGAGAATGAGATGATTTGCCGTAAATGCCAATCAGTGCATATGATATCACTTGCTCTGCTTGTACAGGCAGGTGATCGCAATGACGATGATGATGTGACTGTCCATCGGTATCTATCTGCAGTCGATCCTCGCACTAAAACAATTCAATGAACCATCACTCAAACAAATCCCACCCAACTCAGGACACCGAATCCATAAGCGCGCGTGTAACAGCAACTGCACCCTTGCCAAATGCGAGCGTGAATACGGATAAGACTGGTGCGATAGACAATCAAAAGAAAACATGAGCATGGGCAGTGCACGTGGGCAGCAGATGCGAAGCCCCTTTGCAGAAGCGTAAGTGACGGAGCACCGGGGCTTATTCATCCTCTCCATGTCCCATCTCGGATCCATCTCATCAGAACCTTATCTCCACCCTTGTGGTCTGTGACATGCTGCTGAGCGGCACAGCATCTGCGCAGCGCCTGTCGCTTGGGCTGCTGTTGGGGCAGTCGCTTAACAAGTTCCTGCAGCCGCGTGCGAAACTGTGGTAGAGGTCCCTGATGAGGCAGTGAGGTCGGGATGGTTGGCTCTGGACTGGGCTGGCTGGGCTGGCTGGGCTGACTGGCTGGTTCCTCACGTTGTGGTCAGGGAGGGCTGCCAGGTGGGCGTGTCGCAGACCGAGCAGAGACATGCGGCTGGCCGAGGAATGGTTGGATAGGACTGGGCTACAAGGGCCCGCCGTTATTAACGTTGTAGCCGCCTGGCCCAATCACGGCCTGCTGCACAAATTGGAGAGGCCTAGATCGACCTGCTGCAGCCAAGGGACCTGAGCCACTGATGTCACTGACCCCGGGCCTGTCCCTGGAACCACCCAATCGCGGCCTCCCAGCGAGCCCAGCGAGCCCAGCGAGCCCAGCGAGCCCAGCGAGCCCAGCGAGCCCAGCGAGCCCGGCGAAGCCTCCTTCCACGCTGTGGCTAAGCCCCGGGCTGCCCAAGGGTAGACGCCAACCCAGTTTTGTTTCACCTTTTTTGACGACAATCGCTATCAACTCATCCTCAACCCAGCTTTATGACTAGCTCACCCGCGCCCGGCCCTCCCTTTGGGACTGGCCCCTTCCCTGCCTGCTCCCTCCCTCCCTGGCTCCCGTCATAGCTTTCCCTGCTATAGTTGGCGCTAGAGCAGGGCAGACCGTCTTCCTCCTCCCTATATGCAACGCCATTGTTCTCGACCTATTTGTGTACACAATTTCCCACCTTCGAAACCGCGTCCGAGCAAGAACACGGTACGGCACGATACACAACACACCACAAACACACACCTGCCCTTTGTCCTTCTTTGAGGGGGCTTGCACGTTGTGTCATGACAACGTCCTGGTGACCGACCACTCAATACTCACTCGCCCACCGCTGCATCTCCACCGCCACAAACCGACCGCTACTCCTCGACAATGTCGTGACCATACCTACGATTCTCCATCCCGATCACCGACCCCCACTATCACCGTCCCTAGATTTCAAAGAACATCCTATTGTTTCCTAGACTGCTGGGTGCAACTTTCACCCCGTCCCGCAAAATGTCGGATCCTTTCAAAGTCAACACCACTGCCACTGATGCCTCGACTGCCAAGGATGTCGCCGGCCAGGGCCTCGAGACATTCCTCGCCTCCGTGGGCGTCGCTCTTGCTGTCGCGTTTGCGCAGGTCTCCTTGTTCCTTCTCCTGAGGAATAAGATCGCAAGAGTATATAAGCCAAAGTCGTTCTTGGTGCCCGAGCGAGAGCGGACGTCAGTTGCCTATCATGCGCCCTGTGAAGTTCCTCGTCCTCATCTGTGTAGTTACTGACATTCTTTCCCGCAGCGACCCTCCGCCTGTAACGCCATGGGCGCTCATCAAGACCATCATGACCTTTAGCGACAGAGAGATCATCAAGAAATGTGGCCTGGACGCCTACTTCTTCTTGAGGTACCTCAAGACCCTCCTGGTCATTTTCATTCCTCTGGCCTGCGTCATCCTGCCCATCCTGTTACCTGTCAACTTCATAGGCGGCTACGGGAAGAACCTATGGACCAACGAGACCGACGAGGACCCCGCCAGCAATACCACTGTCGTCGGGCTCGCCACTCTGTCGTGGGCCAATGTCAAGCCCGAGAACGCCGACCGTCGCTGGGCGCATCTTATGTTGGCAATCCTGGTTATTGTTTGGGTCTGTACCGTCATCTTCTTTGAGATGAGGGTCTACATCAAGGTCCGGCAGGACTGGCTGACCAGCGCCGAGCATCGGCTGAGGGCCTCTGCCAACACCGTGCTCGTCTCGTCTATCCCGGAGAAGTGGTTGTCTGAAGAGGCATTGCGGGGACTGTTCGACGTTTTCCCAGGCGGAATTAGGAACATCTGGCTGGTAATACCTACCCACTCCAATTCCTGTATCATGGCTGACTCATCCGCCCGTAGACACGCGACTTTTCCCCGCTCCTTGAGAAGATAAAAAAGAGAGAACAGATACATCTGCAACTCGAATCTGCAGAGAGCGATCTGATCCGTCAGTGCAAGAAGAACCAGCTTAAGAAGCGTGACCAGGAGGAGAAGAAGAGGCGGAGGCAGCTCAGGACGAACAAGCCCACAAAGGCCGAGAGACTGCAAAGGCAAAAGGAAGAGGACGAGCTGGCCAAGCGCAGGGCCGAGACCGAACAAGGAATTAGCTACGGAGACCACGAGGAAACGCCCCACAATCCGGAGCAGGTTGCTAAGGAAGGCCCCGAAACTAACGAGCTCGAGCCTCAGAAGAATGGACAGATGCTGAACCCCTTCGCCGACATAGGTGGTGGGATCCTGAAAGTCGGCCAAGGCTTAAAGGGCGGCGCGAACGCTATCGGTAGAGCCGGTGCTGGCATAGTGGGCGGCATCTCGGCTATTGGCCAGGGCGTCGATAACGAGCTAGAAAGAAGCGGCGGTTTCCATTTCGTTCCTCAGGAGCCCGGACCGTCGGCGATGGCACATGCTCGATCTGAAGACCGCCGCAACTCGCCCACGGACAGACGTGTGCAAATATTGGTTGATGAGCCCAAGCAGTCATTCGCCACAGAACGCAGCGATACCCCGTCCGAGCTGTATGGCAAGCAGTCCATGCAACAAGAGCTTCAACCCAAGCACTTTGGCAATACAGTCCGGAAATTGGAGAATGTCGAAGATTTGTACGACCACGAGAAAACACGGTGGTATCAGTTCTGGAAGCCGCCTTCCGGAGGTTACGCCTCACCAGTCCCTCAAGGCGCTGAGGACAACGAGTACCCATTTACCGACAAGAGATCGCTTTGGGCCAAGATCAAGCAGCACATCCCGTTCATGGGCGACGAAGAGGTGAAACAAGAATACCCTCCGTTTGTCAACCCCGGACAGGAAGAGGACTACAAGGAGAGAGAAGGCGCCGAGTGGGAGAAATGGATCAAGCCTAAGGATCGTCCTCATCACCGACTCGCCATCTTCGAATGGACACCGGGCTGGCTGCCGGGGCTGCCCTTCCTCAACAAGAAAGTCGACACGATCTATTGGTGCCGGAAGGAGCTTGCCCGCTGGAACGTGGAAATCGAGGAAGACCAGAAACACAGCGAGCGTTTCCCCGTCATGACTTCTGCCTTTATCCAATTCAACAACCAAGTGGCAGCTCACATGGCCTGTCAGAGCGCGATCCACCATGTGCCCAAGACCATGGCCCCAAGGGTGGTCGAAATTTCACCCGAGGACGTCATCTGGGACAACATGGCAATGAGTTGGTGGATGCAGTGGTCACGGGTTCTGCTCGCCTGTGCATTTGTTTTCGCAATGGTCGTATTGTGGACGATTCCTGTTGCGTTCTCCGCAGGTCTTGCTTCCATCGACGATCTCATTGCTCAATATGAATGGTTGAGCTTCCTCAAGGTGAACGAAAAGGTACACGACTTCGTCAAACTGGCGGCAGGTGTTTTGCCACCCGTGATCCTGGCGATCCTGCTGGCCCTTGTACCAGTGATTCTCAATTTTGTCGCAGAGTTCCAAGGTGTCAAGACTGGCTCGTCAAAGACGGAGTGGGTGCAGACTTATTACTTCTTCTGTGAGTATACCCGCTGTGTGGAAAATAGAATCCTCCTTACTAACAACCATAGTCCTCTTTGTACAAGTCTTCCTCGTCGTTAGTATTTCGTCTTCAGCCATTAACACATTTATTTCGGTTGCCGCACACGTCGAGAGTATTCCGACAGTCCTCGCCAGGAATCTACCAGAGTCGTCCAACTACTTCTTCTCGTACTTGGTTCTCCAGGGGGCCTCTGTGAGCTCTGGAACCCTTCTGCAAGTCGCTGGCTTGGTAAGTTGGATGTACGTTACTCGCGGCGCTGTGACTTGAAAGCTAATGAGATCGCAGGCCACGTGGTATTTCCTCTCCAAGCTTTTCGACAACACCGTCAGGGCGAAATTCAAGCGCCAGATCACGTTGCCCGAGGTCAAGTGGGGTTCATTCTTCCCCGTGTACACCAACTTCGCGTGCATTGCCATCATTTTCTCCGTCATCGCGCCCCTCATGACAGTGTTCGCCATCCTCAACTTCGCCATGCTTTGGTTCGCCCATCGGTACAACATGCTTTATGTGACCCGCTTCAGATCAGACACAGGCGGAGTTCTGTACCCCAGGGCCCTCAACCAGACCTTTACAGGGCTCTATGTCATGGAAATCTGTCTGCTCGGTCTCTTCTTGCTCCAGTCGTCATCTTGTTATCCGCAGGCTATAATCATGGTCATCGCCCTGGCATTCACGATTCTCTACCAAATATTCTTGAACCTCGAGTTCGGCCCCCTACTGCGATACCTCCCCATCACGTTTGAAGACGAGGCCGTCTTGAGGGACCAGGCCTTCCAGAAAGCACAAGACCGACGTCTGGGGATCATCACTGATGATGACGAGACGACTACTCTTCGAAGCATCAAGACATACGAAGATGATAAGGATATCGAGATGCAGGACCTCGATGGGCCGACAGAACGGGCACCCGGCTCGCAGCTCCACCAGGACTCGGCAGCGAAAACCCATCGCAAGAACTTGTCTTCCGGAGGAGGCAGCCTGCGGACGAAATTCTACAACCCGGTATCGACACTTAAGCACGCCGGCACCTGGGCGGTCCAGAGCGGGAACACCATGCGCAACGCCACGCTGGGCAAGGCCGAGGAGAACCTCAAGACGGCAGCCGAGTACAGGCGGCAGCGGCGCGGCAAGGAGCTCGAGGCGCAGCGAGCCATCGGCGAGGCGCTGTACGGCGGGTTCGCGGACGAAATCGAGGACCTGACGCCCGAGGAGCGTAACCAGCTCGTCCAGAAGGCCTTCACGCACTCGGCCGTGCGCGCGCGGCGGCCCGTGGTCTGGATCCCCCGCGACGACCTCGGCGTGTCGGACGACGAGGTGCGCCGCACCAACGACTACAGCGAGCACATCTGGATCAGCAACGAGGGCACGGCGCTCGACTCAAAGTGCCGCGCCGTCTACGGCCGCGCGCCGCCCGACTTCTCCGAGCTCGACCTCATCCAGCTCTGATTGATGGTTTTTTTTTTTTACTTACCTCTTTCTTGTATTTTGATTCTTATTGCGTTCCTGCATAAGGCGACGGCGTTTTTCCTTTACCTTTTGGTTTGGCCACCACACCTTTTCGGTGGCACATTCAAGGAGTTCCTGATGATATGATTTCTGGCGGCTTTGGAAAGAGCGCGCCATCGGATCACGACAAGACGCATTGCAGACAGACAGAAGACAGCATGGCAGGCAGGCAGGCCGTGCATTGCATTGCATATATACAGAGCGTTGCAGAGAGTGCATTTTCATAGGCATTAGAAATGAGCTCAAGACGGGGGTCTGGTCATATGTGGATGTTCCTCCCCCAATTCATCCTATTTTTACCTACAACTTGTTTGTTCGTCGCATCTCGCCCTCGCTATCGTGAGTGACCTTGGTGGGTGTCATTTGCTGGAGCACGGCTGGCTCACCGAGTGAGTTGCGGCACAGCTGGCTGGTTGCGTTACACGTTCACGTGGACAAGTTTGTGAAATGATATGGACATCTTTTGCTGCTCCCGTTCCTATCTATCTCTGTAGGGGCGGCAGATACGTAAGACAAAGAGGAAAGAAACCAGGTAGAATCGTAAGAACGTGCCGGACGGTTAGGTAGAATTAGAAAATGGTATCCCTCCCCGAGGCTGTTATATTATAAAAATACGTTTCCAGATAGTTAATAAAGAAATACTATTTTTATATATATAATTACTAAAAACAATTAAACTATAAAGGGCTTTATTAAATAAAAGCATTTAAATACTAAATAAAGGATATTTAATATATAAATAAAAGGGTAGAAAGCCTAGTAGTTAATAATTAAAATTTAACTCTATTTACACTCAAATTCTTAAAGATTATAAAGCTTGAATCTCCAATCCCAACTAAGTTAACTAATACCTTCCTAAATAGGACAATAATAGCCTACTATAACTAATTAAAAGAAAGTCATATAATACCCCTTACTTATACTATTAATAATATACTTAAAATCACCCTTAATACTCCCCTATAACTTAATAAAAACTATATTTATAAAATAATAAAAATATTTTTATACTCCTCTTTTATACTTTATTTAATAAAAATATTCTTAAAAATCTTTATATAATCCTTTACATATAAAATTACTTAAAAACAACTATTTTATAAAACTTATACTAAAATTATTTTATAAGAAATACTACATTATAACCCTTATTTTATTTATACTTTATAATTATACCTTACTTTAAAAGAATAAAAGATTTTATATTATATTTAAATATCTCTTTAATTATAAATACTCCTTTTATAACTTAACTTTATAATTACTTTTAAATAAAGTAAAATCTATTTATACTTATATTTTAAAATTATAAAAATTTCATAAATAAAATTATTATTAATTCTTTACTTATAAATATTTTAAAATATTTATATTAAAATTACTTTATAAATTTTAAGATAAAACCTTATAAATATAATAAATATATAATACTTTATATAAAAATTAAACCTATTTTATTAGAAAATATTTATAATAATATATTTAAATTTAATAATTATAACTAATTTATCAACCCTTATATTAAAAGATTTAAATTAAAAGATATTTTTAACCTTAAAATATTTTTATTTCTAATAACTATAGTTAAAAACTATAAAAATACTTTTAATTTATACTTTAACTTAATAAATATTATAATATAAGATTAAATAAAGCTATAGATTATATTAAATAATATCTATTAATTTATAAAAATTTATTAATATATATCTTATAAAATATTAAAAATTAATATATATATATATATATATATATATATATATATATATATAAATAAATTTATAAAAATACTTATAAAATATCTATAAAATATAGCTTTATTTAAAAGATTTAAAGTCCTTAAATTAAAAGGTTTATTAAATTATATTATATAGTCTATTAAAGCTTAAACCTTTTATTAAAAGAAAATTTTACTAAAAAATAATAATTTTAAGAATTTAATACTTAAAGAAGACTAAAAGTATTAGCTTATATATAACTTATAGTAGTAAATAGCCTATTTATATATATAAAAGATATAAAACTATTAAAATAATGTAGAAAAACTATAAAATTTATATTAACCTACTAGATTTACTATTAAATTTTTACTATTAAAAGAATTTTTAATATTTTACTAGATAATTTTAATATTATAAAAATTATTTAAATAAAATTAGTTTAATAATTATAAATTTATTTACTAATAATATAAAATTATTAAATTAAGTAGTTATAGTATAAATATTAAACTTACTAAATAATAAATATATTAAATTTATTTAGAATATTATTTAAAGTTTATAAAAACTATAATAGTTATAATATAAAGAATATATTTTCTAGCCTTATTAATAAATTAAGAGGAAAAATAAATAAAAATAAAAATACTTTTATTATTAAAAATAATAATAAAAATAAGAAAAATAAAAAATATATTATAGTATACCTATTATAAAATAAAGAGCTATATTAAAAATAATTACTATTTTCTTTACTTTAAAAAGTATTAAAAAGCTAGGAAAATAAAACTAAAATTAATAAAATTATAATAATTTTAAAAACTTTAAAAATAATAGAGAAAAGGAATTTTTAAAATAAACTATTAACTACTTATAACGAAATTAATAAAGAAAGTAGTAATAAAGAAATAAAGAAAAAGAAATAAATATAATATAAAAATCCTAGTTTAAAAGAGGAAAATCATTAAAATTTAATTTATAAGATTATTATAATGATAATATAAATTATAAGGAAAATATAAAGGTATACTTTATATATAATAAATTCCTTAATAATAATATTATTATTAATAAAATCTAGACTATATAAATAATATAATATATATAAAAATAGTTTAGAAATAAATAAAATAGAATTTATTTTAAATATATATATAAATATATTTATTATAAAAATATAAATCTTTTAAATAATATTAAATATATAAATATTAATGTTAATTAGGAAAATATTAGTAAAATAAATATTAAAATAAAAGGAGACTTAAAAATAAATATAAATAATAAAATATAATTTTAAATAATATATATTATACTTTAGAATTTAATATAAATATATTAGGTTTTAAAACTATAAAGTATATATATAATATAATATTTAAAAATACTATAATAAAAGTAATAAATAAAGTCTCTAATAAAATAGAAACTATAGGCTATTATAAAATAGATTATTATATATTAAAATAAATATTTATATAAATATAAGTAAAAATAAATAACTATTAAATATAAGTAAAACCCTCCTTTAATTATTAATAAAGATTTATTAAATATATATTTATAGCATTACAAGCTAGGTATATATATATAGACTTTTACTTATAATATTAAAAATAATAATATAAATATTAAATCTTTTAAAGAAAATATAAAAGTACTATTATATAAGTATAATATATATTAAAAGCTAAATATAATACTAAAATAAATAAAATAAGTAATAACTTATATAATTATAATATATTAGAAAGGATATATAGTAATATAGCTAGTCCTTTTAAAAATACTTATAATAATTATAAATATTATATATTATTTCTAAATAAAAGACTAAATATCTTTATACAGACCTATTAGAGTTTAAAGACTAAATATTAGATTTTTAATAAATATAAAAATATAATAGAAAATAAAATAAATAAAAGAATAAAAGAATTTAATATTAATAATAATATTAAATATATTAATAAAAATTTAAAATAATATTAAATAATAGTGGAATTATATATAATAATACCTCTTTTATATAAAAGAACTTAATAGTTTTATAAAAGAAGGAATTTAATAATATTAAATAAAGTAAAATACTTATTATTATAAACTAATTTATTATATAAACTATAAGGAAGCCGCTATATTTAGTGTATATTTATATAATATTATACCCTAAAAAATTTAAAATAGAAAAGTTTATATAATTTATTATATAATTATAATTTACTTATAAATTATATTAAATTATAGGGATTTATAGTATATTATAATAATAATAAAAATAAAAATAAACTAGACCCTAGAATAAAAAAGGGTATTAGTTAACTTTAATAAGAATAATAAAGTATATAAAATATATACTAATAATAAAATAGTATGGACTAGAGATATAAATATCCTAAAAGGTAAATATATTATAAATAAAGATAATAATCCTATATTTAAAGAAAATAAAAATAGAATTATATAATAATAATAATAATAATAATAATAATAATAATAATAATAATAATAATAATAATAATAATAATAATAATAATAATAATAATAATAATAATAATAATAATAATAATAATAATAATAATAATAATAATAATAATAATAATAATAATAATAATAATAATAATAATAATAATAATAATAATAATAATAATAATAATAATATAATTAATATTATAGAATCCTATATAAATTACTACTTTATATTAGAAGAAAGGACTCTATAAAATATAAAGCTTTATATATTATAAAGAATATACTATTAAGTAATTAAATAATAATATTAGAAAATAATATAAAAACCTTATATATACTAACTATAAGTGGAATAAATGAGCCCTCTAGCTTAAAAGAGGCTATATATAGGGAAAAAGTACCTTATTAGGTAAAAGCTATAAAAGATAAAGTAAATTTATTTATAAGTTAAAATACATATAATATAATAAATATAAATAATATATTTAATACTTATAAGCCTTTAGGGGGGAAGTAAGTATTTAAAAAGAAATTTATAAATAACCCTAATATTATAAAGCCTTATTAGGTAACTAATAAATTAAATAATATATGTTATAAAGTTTATTAGGTAGTATAAGGTTTTAATTAAAAAATAGGGGTAAATTACCTAGAAATCTTTACTATTATTTATAAACTAAAAATATAAATATTATTATTAATAATAGTAATAAATAAAAACTATTATATATATAGTTATAATATAAAAATATATTTTTATACTTTAATATTAATAAAGAAATATATATAAAATTACTTTTATATATATAAAAAAGATAGTATAGGTTACTAAATAAAGCTTTATATAGCTTAAAATAAAGCTTTAATTTATAGTATAAATATTTAAAAAAATTAAATAAATTAGGATTTAAATCCTATCTTTATAATAAAAATATTTATAAATAATAAAGAAAATATTATATTAATATGCTATGTTAATAATATAATAATAATAAATAGTAATAATAATAAAGTTAATAATATAATAAATAAAATAAAAGAAACTATAAATATAAACTATTAAGAAGAGTTAATTTTCTTTTAGGTAATAATATAATAATAAATAGAGAGGAAAAACTTTAATTATAAATTAAAATAAATATATTAATAAAATTTTTAAAAATTTAATATAAATAATAATAAAGATATAAAACCTAAATTAACTCCTTTTATATTAGAAAAAAATTAATAAAAATATAAACTAAGCCTTAAAAGAAGAAATAAATAATTATTAAAAATAAATAGGTACTATATTATTTCTAGGCTTAAAAGCTGTATAAATATAATATATTTTATATGTAATTTAGTTAGATATATATCTAATTCTAGTAAAGAATATTTTAAAAATTAAATAAATTATAGGGTTATTTATTAAAATTCCTAAATTATTTAAAATATATAAATGTAATGGAAAATTAAATTTATATAAATATTCTAATTTTAATTAGGTAATAACTTTAATAATAGATGATTTATATATAATTATATATTTATATTTTTAAAAATAATAAAATAATTAACCTTATAAGTTATAACTTTTAATTATAAAAATATTTATATTAAATAATTATAAAGTTAAATATATAGCTTTAAAAGAAGCTTTTAAAAGGTTATATATTTATATAATTTATTAAAATATTTTAATATAAATTTAAATTTAAATTTAAATTTAAATAAACCTTTATATATATAAATAATAATACTATTATTAGTTTAATTAAAAATTAAGTTTTTATAAAAACTAAATATATAAATATAATATATTATTATATTTAAAATTTAATAAAAGAGGGTTAATAACTATAAAATATATACCTTTAAAGAAAAATATAGCTGATTAGTATATTAAACTAATTAAAAGATTATTATTTATTAAATTTAAAGATTTATATAATTTAAAAGAAATTTAATAGTAAGTTTAATACTATTTATTAATATATTATAGTATAAAAATAATAAATAAAAATTTTAATACTTTAAATAATAACTTATAAATATAAAATTAATAAAAGTTAAAATAAATAGGTTTTTATTTTAATAATTTATATAGTATATAAACTATATATACTATAAATACTATATATAAAATATATAAAAGTTAAGTATATAGTTTAATGAAATTATTATATAAATATAGTTTTATAAATACTATAATATAAATATAAACTTTTAACTTAAATTATAAAAATAACCTTATAAATTATAAACCTATAAAATAATATAATAATAATATAAATGACTTATATAAAATAAATGCTAAATAAAAATAATATATTTAAATTATAAGAGTTTAAGTTTAAATTATACCTAAGTAAATTTTAAGATTTTTACCATATAATAGTATATTTTTCCTATAATAAAGGTTTTTATTATTAATAAAAGTACTATTTTCCCTTTTATAAAAGGTTTTAATATAATAAATAGTATATTTTTTTATATATTAGGTTTTATTATTATATAAAATAAGTTATTTTTTATAAAAGGTTTTAACTTAATAAAAGTAGTTTTTTATCTAAAAAATTAAGGTTTTTAACTACTAAGTATTTTTATATACTTAATTTATATATATATATATAAATAAATATATATATATAGCTTATAAGGGGCTATAAAAATATATTTCCGGATAGTTAATAAAGAAATACCGTTTTTATATATATAATTACTAAAAACGGTTAGATTATAAAGGGCTTTATTAGACGAAAACGTCTAAATACTAAATAAAGAATATTTAGTGTATAAATAAAGGGGTGGAAAGCCTAGTAGTCGATAGTTAGAATTTAACTCCATTCGCACTCAAATTCTTAGATGTGTCGTGGTGGCCTTTCATCCCTTGCCTCGCCCCGCCCTTCCCTTCTCTTCGCATCCTCCAAACAGAAGACAAGACAAATCCCGGTTCCACTTGCGCCCTGCCCCCCATGAACGCCGTGCGAGAATGCAAACGCCCCCATCCCCGAACCGATCCACCGTCTGTCCCATCAATTTCGAGCATCTAGCTGTTGCTGGGTGTGTATTTGCTCTCCCTCCCCCTCCAGCTGGGTTGGCCTTGTTCTGACATACAACAGACAATCCCGGCGGAGATCTTTGAAAAAGATAAAATTGTTGACCCCGACAAATAAAGGGCCAAAAATAAACATGCGGCCCACAGATAACAATGGCCAAAGCAGGGCCTGGTTCCCCGAGCCGTGCCGTGCCGCGGTCGCGGTCGTGGTGGGCAGTCCCCCTCCCGTGTCAGGCTTCGGAGGTCAGCTCGTGCACCGCGCTGCGCGTCCGTCGACCAAGCCGGCATGGGCGGCGCCACAACCGGTGGCCGAGCATGTCTATTCCTCGCGAGCATCGCAGGCTCCCCCCCATCGGCCCGTCCCATCCCACGCCGCCTAGCCCGCTCGGTGGTGTCGTGGCTGCCTGCCTGTGGAGACCAAAACGGCGCATGACACCGCATCGCACGCGGGGCGAAACGCGCCAACAGCCCCGCCCGACGTCTAGATGAGGATATCCAAGCAGCAGCAGCAGCACAGCGCGGCCATGATGCCCTCCAGCATGCCGGGGCCCCTCTGCTGGCCGCGGTTGTCCTGGTACTGGCCGTACGGCGGGCCCTGCTGGTAGTAGGCGCCGGGGGGCGGGTACTGGCCCTGGGGCGGGGGCATGTTGGGGTCGTACGGGCCCTGGGGGCCGTAGGGGCCCGGCGGGGGCGCGCCGTAGCCCATGTTCTGCTGCTGGTAGTAGCCGCCGTCCTGGGGCGGGGGGTAGTAGCCCCCTCCCTGCTGCTGTGGTGGGTAGCCGCCTGGGTATTGTTGTTGTTGCTGGCCGTCGTAGGTTGGCTTGGGCGCCTCGGGGCCCTGGCCGCCGGCGTAGTAGGCCGGTGGGGCGTCTGTTGGCTTGGACATGTTGTTTGTTTTGGGTTGGTGGATGCCCTTGGGGTGGTGGTGGTGGTGGTAGGTGAGAGGTTGGGTAGTTTCCGGTTGGAAATGACAGCTAGTTCTTGGCGATGGTGTTTTGTGCAGGTTGTTGGTGTTGGAAAGGGAGGAAGTTGGGATTCCTCCGAAGGGGGGGGGGGGATTTCGGATGCGCGGGCACTGAGCAGGTGACAGACAGGCTTGGTCTGGCCTCGTCCTGTGTTGGGTGTGTGGCGAAGCACTAGCTCCCGGCCCGGCGTTTTAGTGTGCCTGGCCCAGATTCGGTAGGCCACTGCTCAGCTGCTGTGCCGTGTACGGATAGATATTGGGCTGGCAAATGAGTGGCGCGGGGGGGAAGTCCTGGTTGATGATGTGTTGGATGCGCTATTGCGGACCACGGGGGAACTAAGGGCCAAGGTCAAGTTGAATGTGTCACGGCCGATGAGGAGGCAAGCAAGGTTACGGGGCACAGGGGGTGACGTGGCAGCCGTGGTTGATCGACGGGAGAAAGAATGTGAAGGTCTGAGTCGGGAAGAAAAGGGAGCGACGGACTAGAGAGAGAGGCAGCCGTGTCGTTGTTGCGTGCTGTAGCTGCTGCAATTTGGTTTGCGTCAAACTCGCAACGTCTCACCTCATGTTACCGAAGCTGCACCTGGAAACCCCCCGTACGGGGCCGTGGCTACTCCCGTTCCCTCCGTACAGTGGCGTGCCTGTTCTGCTGCACAGCCACATCGACAAAGTTGGTGCTCCACTCCCTTTGTTCCCAGCGCCTCGGGTGCTGCTTTAGCGTGCATGCGCCTAACCTTAGATAACCCTCAATCTCCGAGGGTTACCCCATTGCTTTGCAAGGGTGGGGTGGGGGGTCCAACATGTTGGAGGCGAATATATGTTGAGCGTACCTCACAGAATAATGCTCTATTTTATACTCGCATTCAAATCCTCTTCATGCTCACGACTATGTCGATTATTTGGCTATTCCAGAAGGCTATTCTGGCCCCGAGACAACCTTCTACATAAACAGCACAAACGCCACCAAGATGGTGATACGCGTATACCAAGTATACCAAGCCACACCCGAGATTTGATATCTGCCCTGGGCCGGCGTCGTAATTTCTCACCCATGCAGTCGGGAGCGCGATTCCCACTCGCTCGCCACCTTGGTGTGCGCCCTCCAGTCCTTCCCCACGGAGTACCCAGCGCCTACCGACACCTTCATCCGCCGCCCGCCCGGAGGCAGCCCAGGGTCCACCAGCGGCTGCCGCGGCGACCTCCCCAGCACCTCCTCCCACATCCGCCGCTCCTCCTGGTACGTCGCCTGCGCGTCCACCGCGTCCGCGTACGCCTCCTGCTCCCTCTCCGCCTTGATCCTGCGGAAGAGCGTCTCGCGGTCCCTCTTTGTCTGCGGCTGGTCCACTGCCGAGTACAGCATGACCTCGTCGGCCTCGGCCCTGACCTCCTCACCTTGTTCTTCTTCGTCGTCTCCGTCTGATGGGTAATTCTCATCTGAACCCACCGGGTCCGTATCCAAAGCCATGTCGCTGTGCTCCGGTGCAGGCTGCTGCGGGACATGTTCCTCGTCTGAAGATAGTCCTATACGCTGGATCTTGTGTCTGATACTGCTGATGTTGCGGCGCACGTCCAGGCCCAGGGCGTGTTCGACGGCGTCATATGGCATCATCGTCGCCTCGTCCTCCTCCTCGCTGGGCTTCGGTGGTTGCTCGTAGATATGCAACCCCAACCGCCGGGCCGCTCTGGCCAGCACGGCATTCTTCTCCGTCATCAGCCCCAAGGACAAGGCTGCGGCGCGGACGTCCTTCTGGCGTACCTCGGCCAGAACCTCTGGGTGGTAGTCGCGCTCAGACCGTATGCGTGTATTCGTAATGTAGAGCGCTGCCGACACCAGTCGTCTTGTCAGCGTCAGCGCGACCGAGTAGAAGTCTTCCAGCGTGGAGTGCCTTAGTGAAGGGAAGTCGCCGTCTACAGACTGCCAGTTGCTGTCTTCTGAAGCGCCGTTCATGAAAAGACGCTCCGACATTTTCAGCCAGTTCTGTGTGTTCAACCAAGATTCCGGCGCCAGCGGACCATCCACTGCCTCGTCTTGAATGGCGTCCTTGCACTTCTCTTGCGTGATCAGCCATTCTTCCCCATGCTTGTGTTGCTCATTGGTCTGCTCGACATTCTCCAGCCTCAAGGCAAGGCTATCGGCCTCCTCGTCCAATGCCCCACAGCACTCGTGACTGATCTCGACCGCCGCCGGGAAGTCTGCCAGCTCCAGGGGGTCCAGTTCATTCTGCCGCCGTCGCTGTTCGAGCCCGTCCTGGAGCAGCCTCAGGTACTGCCTGACCTCCAAGTCGCTCTTTGTGCGGATACGGCGGGCAATCCCTGGTGAATCGTCCCGGCCAAGCCGGCCAAGGGCTTCAAAGAAGCGGTCCTTTTCCATGGGAGTCCAAGTCACCGTGCCGATCTGAGATGATGGCATGCTGATCCTCAAGTCTTTGGTCTCGCGGCCGTGAGGGACATACTGGGCCACGGCGTGCTCAATGTCCTCATTCAGTAGATCCAAGTAGGTGCGGTTGAAGGAAGTCTTGGCTCTCTTCAATGGTCGGAAACCAGTACTGGAATGTGCATCTTCTGGCGACTTCCGCTTCCTTGGTCTCGTTCGCTGGGCCGGGTCGTCGTCTGTCAACATCGGCTCATGCATCGATTGGCTCCCTTGTGAGTCGCTATTCCGAGCTTCATCGGACGAGTACTCGCTTTCCTCGGGTGAGACTTGATGCGATGGAGGAGGCTGATGATGTGCAGGCAAGAGCTCTTCGCTGTCAGAAGTGTCCCTTCGGTCGAGCTCCTCTGATGCATCTGCATGGACAGCAGTGCCTCCCTGCGCAGGGTCGTCGTGGTTTTCAAAGGGCTGATGTCCTCCAGGTGAGTCAGGTCTGCTGTTCAGAGCAGCGCCACCATCCGAATCGGTGTCTCGGTCCCGCTCCATACTGATTCGTTCGCCCTGGCCGTTTGGAATTTCTCCCATCTCTTGGCTTTGACCGTAAGAGTGCCTACCCACCTCCGCTGGCTGATCCTCTGGCTCACGGTGGTCCTGGTCGCCATTGTGGGTGCTTTTCTTTGCCCTAGCGCCGTCCTTCTTGTGGCGTTTCTTCCGTTTCGAGGCGCCTCGCTCGTGACTTTTACCACTTTTGGATCTGCGCGATGGTCCAGCGTTGGGCTGAAAAGCCTCCATGTCGGCATGGTCACTCATGTGCCCAGAAAACTCCATTTTGTGCTTGCCAGTCCATCAATAAGTGGCGCGACTAGGATCACGCTATTGATGGTTGGTCGGTCCAAGCACATATCGATAATCGCCCGACTCGCAGCATCTGGTCGGCTAACATCACAAATTCTTCAAGGAAGAGGCTGGTCTCATTCTCACTTGGTGGTGGTGTTGAAGGAAAGTTTTACAGAGCTTCGGCTTCAATTGCAGGGGTAGGTGCTTTAGCGCGACCCGCCCTTGAATCTAGGGTCAGGGGTACCCCTGAAGTTTGTGGGGGGCTGGGGGGATGCGGTAGCCGCCTTGTCCATTCGGCAGGGCATCTCCTCAGCCTTATAGCTTTTCCTCAACGTCCGCCAACGGGCAAGGCTGAGCACATCATGCTGCTACCAGTGTTGAGAGGCTTCAGGGCTTCAACAACACTGTTTATCATACCCCGGCCACGGAGGGTGATCCACGCCGTCCCTCGGGTCGTCCTTCGTGGTCCAAAAATCTCATCTGGGTGCATAAGAAGTTATGCGACCCAGCAAGTGCAGCTTCGGGACTACCAGCTGGAATGCATTCAGTCAGTCGTGTCAGCTCTCAAGAATGGGCACAAGAGGGTCGGCATATCACTTGCCACTGGAGGAGGCAAGACTGTGAGTGTTCTGCAGTATTTCTGATGATAAGCGCGTCACTGCGTGGTTCCCCGCAGACTCATTATTCACCTGTCTGATATGTGTTGTACTGACTATACATAAGGTAATATTTACACAACTCATCCAACATATTGAGCCTCCTTCAGAAAGGGCTACCCAAACGCTTATTCTGGCTCATCGGCGGGAGCTCGTGGAACAAGCAGCTAGGCATTGTGTCAACGCATACCCGGACAAGACTGTTGAGATCGACATGGCCAAGACCCATGCCAGCGGGGTAGCCGACATCACCATTGCCAGTGTTATGAGTCTCCAGAGGGAAGATAGGCTCGAGAAATATAACCCAAAGAACTTCAAGCTCATACTTGTCGACGAGGCTCACCACATCGTAGCCCCGGGATACATGAAGGTCCTCCAGCACTTCGGGCTGTCCACCAAGAGAGCGGACTCGCCGAATCTGGTCGGTGTGTCCGCAACTTTGTCTCGGTTTGATGGGCTGAAGCTTGGCTCCGCGATCGACGAGATTGTCTACCACAAGGACTATGTCGACATGATAGACGAAAAGTGGCTGTCCGGCGTCGTCTTTACCACCGTCAAGTCCACCGCCGACATCTCAAAGGTGAAGAAGCAAGCTGGCGGCGGGGACTTTGTCACGTCTGAACTCTCCAGCGCCGTCAATACGGACCAGGTCAACGATGTCACAGTCAGGAGCTGGCTCGCCAAGGCAGGCGACCGGAAGTCGACCTTGGTGTTCTGCGTGGACCTGGCTCACGTCGCGGGGCTCACCCAGAAATTCAGGCAGTACGGGCTGGATGCTCGATTTGTCACGGGCGACACACACAAGGTTCAGCGGGGTGAGATCCTCGATGCCTTCAAGCGGGGCGAGTTCCCCGTGCTTCTGAACTGCGGCGTCTTCACCGAGGGCACGGATATTCCCAACATCGACTGTGTCATCCTCGCTCGTCCCACACGATCACGCAACCTCCTCGTCCAGATGATAGGGAGGGGAATGAGGCTGCACAAGGGCAAAGAGAATTGCCACGTCATGGATATGGTTGCGAGTCTCGAGACAGGGATCGTCACCGTACCGACGCTTTTCGGTCTGGATCCTGAGGAGCTGGTCGACGGGGCGACCGTTGATGACATGAAGAGCACGAAAGAACGGAAAGAGGCCGAGAAGAGCAGGCAAGACAAAGCCTACGATACTGTGGCCCCGTCAGAATCCCCAGCCGTCCCCCAGAAGATCACCTTCACAGAGTACGACTCCGTATTCGACCTGATCTCAGATACCTCTGGCGAGAGACACATCCATGCCATAAGCCAATACGCCTGGGTGCAAGTAGGGCCGGACAAGTTCGTGCTGAGCAGCAACTCCGGCTCCTATCTGAGAATCGTCAAGGATGACCCCCGGGACGCGGACCCCGTCTTCTGGAGGGCCTTCCTCGTCCGCGCCCTGCCCGCCGGCATGTCCAAGGCACCCTATGCGCCGCCGCACGAGCTCCTCAGGGCAACGACCTTCACCGACGCCGTGCACGGCGCCGACAACTACGCGCAGAGGCACTTCCTGCATATCATGATATCCCGCAGGCAGCCGTGGCGCAACAGCCCGCCCACCGACGGCCAGCTCAGGTTCCTGAACAAGGTCCGGGCAGAGGGCGACAAGCTGACCGCGGACAGCATCACCAAGGGCAAGGCTGCCGACATGATCACCAAGATCAAGCACGGCGCCAGGGGAAGGTTTGCGGACTTGCAGAATAGCCGGCGGAGGATGCAGAGGAAGGTGGCCCAGGAGGAACAGGAGATGGAGCGGAAACGGAGGGAGCTCGTGACGGTTGGGCCTGTCGCGGCTTGAGGGGCTCGCTGTTGGTAGGCCATCATGTGCTCTAATGTCGGGGATCAGAGGCATATCAAGCCATGTATTTAATACTCTTTCCCCCCTTCTCTGTATAAACACAATTCTCCTCTCGGGGCAATATTCTATTTGCCCCCACTTCAGGCTTGCCTGGCATACTTTAACTCGAGGTGCAATGTCACAAATACGGAGAATGGATACACAGAGCTTGGTGCAGTGATTTGTACAATGTTATGGGGGAAATCTGGCTGTGAGCGAGACTGAAAGGGAAAGCTACTAAACTTAAACTTGCTATTAAAATAACAGAATAAGTTAAAGGTAAGAATGAGATTAATCCTAAATATTTCAATTAATTTTAATATATTTTGGGTGGAGGGGGGGCCAGGTGCAGCTGTGTCTTTGGCCACCCTGTCTGCGTTTGCAGCTGCCTGCAAACTTCAACGCCAAAGACAGGGCATCGCCAACCTCATTGTCGAATCACGCGCCTCGATTTCGACAGCCCTGCCGACTAAGTAACCCTCTTCTAGTACGGTCCAGGGAGACATTGGCTTTCACCATGGAGTCCCTTCCATCCACCACTACCCCCTCCCCTCCAAGCTCCCCTCCAGCTTCTTTGTTGGTTGAGACCATTGACTACCGCAACAACACTACTGCAGAGTCTGTCGTCCAGGAGCCTACTCAAGAGCTTCTTGGACCAGCCTCACCTTCTAGCAGTGACGGTAGCAATCGCACCATCACCCAGCGAGACGTTGCGCTTCCTGCTTCCCCTTCAGCGTCCTCTGATCACACCATCACTCGTGGTGATCTTGCTGGACCTGCGCACCAGAGCAGCCAGCCACCTCAGAACCCTCCCACCTTTCCTGCGATCACTGATCACATTGCGACCAACGCTGCTCTCGACAACCTCGAGCCACAGTACCAATACGGAGTTGGTAGCTTCCCTCACATCCACCTGCAAATCGGTCGAGAGCTGAGGGCCAAACCAAAGACCATGGATCCAGCCCCTCCTGCGCGTGTCGTTCAGCGCAACGACTGTAAGTAAACCTCCTCTCCTCTCAAGCCCTCTGCCCATCCACCACGTTTTGCAATGATCCAGAACACACAATACTTGGGTTTGCCATAGCGGGGTGATTAACAAGCACCAGTCAACTGGCCCATCCCGAACGGCGACCCCAACGACAAGCGCGTCGCCAGCAAGGGACGCACCCCCTGCCTTGGCCCCCGCGTTGTCACCTACAACAACATCAAGGAGGGCACCAAGGAGGTCGTTGAGACCCCCACCACCGCCACGGCCGCCGCTGGTGCCACCCCGGCTGCCCCTCCTTCTGCGCCTGCCAAGGTCCCGGGCGTCAGCGGCACGGAGGGCCTCGCCGGCCTGGGCGACGAGCTCGAGGCCCTCGTGCTCACCAAGGTCGAGTACGCCGGCAAGTTCCGCGTCTTCCGCGAGCGCTGGAACAAGGTGCTGGGCGAGCTGGCCGCCAAAGCCAAGCAGGTGGAGGGCGCCAGGTTCACCACCGCCGCCGAGCTGCGTCCCTTGGTCGGCGCCGTCGGCGTCATGTTCGCGGTCGGCAAGGCCGTCGATTGTGCTGCCTTTCCTGGCGTGAACGTCGGACAATTCGTTGAGGTATGTGTTTGTTGCTTTTCACACCCTTTTTCGTGTATTGTATCAGACTCTCTTCACGCCTGTGCATGGGCACTTGCCCAGACACCCACCCACCCACTCACACCAGCATACTCCCCGCCGGACCCCAGTCCCCTGGAATACGATTACTAACGCGAAAACTTTTTCGGGTCAACAGAAGGACTGTAGCCCCGAGGTCTACCTCTCGTCGCTCTTCCCGGAGCTCAACGCCTCGGCGGGTACGGGCGGCGTCGTCCTGCCCCAGCAGTGGGACTTCTCCCTCGACGCCGTCATGGCCTCGGAGAGGCGTGGCCTGCTGCGAGAGGTCTGGGCTGCTGCCGCGGCCGGCCAATGGGAGGCGGTGGAGGAGAAGACCAGCAGCACGCTGGCAAAGGCGGAGGAGCTGGCGGAGGCGGAGTAGCTCGAGCTCCTGGGCCGTACCTGGACCGGGGAGAGGAAGAAGGGAAGAAAGAGAAAGAAGGCGGCCCACTGGGCGTGCGGTCCTGAAGTTGAGGACAGCACCGCGCTTTTGTTTTGAGCGATTCGATGATACCACTTCCACTTGCGTAGCGATGGCGAATGGAGTCTGGGAGTTGCCTTTCTGAGAAACTATTCTCGAGATTGACTTGCTTTGTGATACCTCGCGAAAAGAGTAACTGCGTGGATTCGACCGGACAGTTGACTCAGACCGAAATGGGCATCCACACACACGCACCCCTTCACGGTCATATGTGACATGTCATTGACCCCGTCATCAAATAACCGTTGCGCAACGGGAGCAGCGGGAGAAGGTGTCACTGCGCAGAGCTCGGCCTAGCAGGTGCGGGCCAGAGCTTATTTAGCCGTTGAGTAGGTTCGAGTAAGTAAGAAGAAGGCTGAAAGAAGACTGAGAGGCAATGCATTGATAATATCAAGTAAACTCCAAGCTCCATTTATTCATCACGGGAACTGTGGGATTGGCGAGCCATGCAGGAAGGCGCACCCCCAGCGAATGGCCGACGAGCAAAACGGGCTGACTGGCCGGTTCTGGCTGCACCCTGAAGATCCATCCTCTCTGCAGACCAGACCGCAGTGGGGCCAGGGTGTTGTGGGTGTCACTGTCAGAAGGGCGCAACCGGGACTAACACCCTAACTGGCCCACTGGGGTCCTATCGCCGATCTCGGGCGGCCGCAGTCGCCAACGCGCGCAGGGTATTCGAAATTTCACAAGGAGTCGGGCACAGCTCGACCGACTGACGATGAGGCCATCCGTACTTCCTCTGTGCGCTCTCCCTCGCGGAAACTAGTCATTCACCCTGCAAGAGCTGGCTACCTAGGTACGGAGTACCCTCGGCCTTCTTCCACTGCCCGTCTGTCTGCTTTTTCGTATAATTCATCTGCCCAAACCGCCCCTTCCTGAAATTCCCAGAGGAAGACCTGGCGCAGCATGGACGAGAAGACAGACCACGTCAAGTGAAGCACCATCCCGTCCTTTCTCTTGCTTTTTCCTCGAGAAGGACAAAAAAACACACTCTTTTCCTCTCCTGTTCTTGCCGTGTCTTTCACTGCTGCTACGGCTCGCAATCTGTTGTTGCAGGAGAGAGACAGAGCGAGAGAGAGAGAGACGACTGTCCTGAAGCCCAAGAGATCGACTCGCCATGGCTGACCGAGACAATGGCGGCAAGCCGGGCGAACCGGCCGGCCAGATGAGCCTCAAGGCACCGCAGCACATCTCGAGGAAAGACGTGGCTCCCGTGGTTGCGGTGGTCGAGAACAGGTGGAACACCAAGAACCTCGGGCTCAGGTGGGCAGCAGACATCGCGAGCGCCTCCTGCGCCGCCGGTCTCGTTGCGCCCCTGATCTCCATCATCGACCGGTAAGTCACCGACTTCCCAACTTCGAAATGTTGTACCCCGAGACTTCCCGAAAGATCACGCCACTGACGGGGCCCTCGTCTCTGGTTTCCATGCAGATCCATAATGGAGAACGCGTCCGGCCGCGCCACCCTCCTCGACTCGGTCAAGTCCTCGCTGCGGCAGCTCGTGCTCCGCCCGCACACCATGCTGCTCTCCAAGCCCGTCGCGCTCATCTTCATGGCCTACGGCGGCACCTACCTCTCCGCCAACACCGTCGACACCGTCTACTCGACCACGAGGGACAAGCCCGCCACCCTCGTCACCTCGGGCACCGCCAAGTTCGCCCTGTCCTCCGCCTCCAACATCGGCCTGGGCGTCTACAAGGACCAGATCTACGCCCGCATGTTCGGCCCCGCCGGCGCCGCCGCCCGCGCCGTCCCCGCCGCCTCGTACGCCCTCTTCACCATGCGCGACTGCCTGACCATCTTCGCCAGCTTCAACATGCCCATGATGCTGGGCCCGGCCGTCCACGCCGCCCTCGGCGAGTCCCTCTCGAGGCAGGTCAGCGGCCAGACCGTCGTGCAGTTCGTCGCCCCGGCCTTCGTCCAGATCTTCTCCACCCCCGTGCACCTGCTCGGCCTGGACCTGTACAACCGGCCCCGCTGCGAGAGGTCCGGCCTGCCGAGCCCCGGCGAGCGCTGGGCCCAGGTCTACAAGAACTGGGGCGTCAGCGTCATCGCCAGGCTGTGCCGTATCATCCCTGCCTACGGCATTGGCGGCGTCGTCAACTCCAAGGTGCGCCGTAGCCTCATGGAGAAGCTCTAACTCTGTTGTTTTCCCCCATTCGGCACCCGGGAGAGTGTAGATATATACTAGGCACTCTACTGTTGGAGGATCGTTGATGGTGTGCGTGATGATCCTTTCTTCATATTTGCACAATAGGCGCATGACTTTCGGCATGGCGTTCCGGCACGGGACTTGTTTGTGTTTCACTTCTTTTTCCATTCGATACCCATGGACAGATGATCTTTTCTCATCTACATGATCTGTGCAAGTATAGACCACTAGACGTTAGATTAGATGACGATAGACATGGAAATGCATCAGGGGCTCCTGGTAAGGGCGCCTGCGGGTTTATGGTGTCAAAGCGGCCGAGTTGATCGACCTTCGTTCATGGCCATCTGTCAAGAGTGTGTGTGTGTCACGCTGCTAATTCACAAGAACCCGCTCTCCCTCAACGCCTTGTAAATCTTGGCCTCCGCTTCTTGCGCCTCCGTGCGCTTTCGCATGCGGCCTTCCCCGGTATCGATAAAGTTCTCCCAGAACTTGAGCCCTTCGATGCCCTCCTCACGGCAGAGCACACCGCGCTCCTCGGCCATCTCCAGCTCCTCCTCGGCAACGCCAATGCTCCAGCCGAACCTGTCCGCCGCGTCCCGCGCCGTGACGCCCCGGCCAAACTCCTGCCAGTCCCAGGGGACCTCCCTCTCGGGCGGGACATCGTGCAGGTCCCGCATCCACGCGAGCAGGGTCTTGATGGTCATCTCGTCCGTCCTGTCCATGCTCTGCACCACCATGACGCCGCTCTTGAACGTCCGCAGCCGCACGGGGAGCTTCAGCTTCTCCCACAGCCGCGCCGCCTTCTCAAAGTCCATGGGGCTGACCAGCTCCACCCCGCCCCGGGCCCGGTTGAACACGGCCCAGAGGTCGACCAGGCTGATGATGCCTCCCGCCTTCCTTAGCACGCCCCTCGCGTCGTCCGTCAGGAACTCTGCGAGGTTTCGCGCCAGCTCGGATAGGTACAGCGACTCGTTGCTGCTCCCGCCGCCGACGATGTCTTTCGTCGTGACCAGGCCCAGCTGGCTTGCCGACTCGGCCAGCAGCGCATTCGCCTCGGACGAGCCAGGGCCTCCGTTGCCCTGCTTGGAGAAGCTCTCGGCCAAGGCGATGATCTCCTTTGCGGATGCCATCAGGGCCTCGAGGTCCTCAAAAGCGGTGCCGATGACAAGCTCGTTGTTCTTCCGCCTGTCGAGCCCGCGCTGCTCGAGCCCTGCGATGCCTACCGTTTTCTTCCTGACTTGCTCGCGCGTGGACCCGTCGCCGGAATTGCCGTCCACCGCGAGAGGATTCTGGTTCGGGACACGGGGTGCGCCTTGGAGGAGCCACTTACGCTGGGTGATGGCGCCCTTGAGTCGTTCGTACAGAATCTTGTCGCCGCCCGCCCGGAAGGAGATCTTGATGCTCTCGGGGTTCTCCATACCAGGCAGCGCGCCGTAGCTGAGGATAGGGCCTGGGGAATCAGTCCTGTCTTGGGGCTGTGAGGGCTGAGCCGGCTGGCTCAGCTCTGTCGGAACGTCGTGCGAGATCAGTGGCCCGCCGCACATCTCACATGATAGTAGAGACGGATGGTTCAGGAAGGTACACCGAGGGCATTGAAAAGAGGCGTCAGGATCAGATGTCTTGGGAGGGCTGTCGCGCGCCGCCGGCGACTCGTTCCCTGCGACCAGCCCATTCCCTGCCGAGGCGCCCCGAGGACGCATCGGCAAGGGTGACACTACTGACTGCCTGCTCGTCGCATTGTTTATAGCAGCCTTTAGCACGTGCGTCAAGGCTGGCTTGATCCCACACGCCAGGCACGGCGGGAGGGGAGTAAGAGCACTGGCCGTGGCCGGGTCGAAGTTTGAGGGCACCGGATTCGAGAAACTGCAGATGGTGCAAACCCATGTCGCCGAGCTCGCAGGGGATGGATCGACAGGTGCCGGCCTCAGAGGGCTGTCTGATCGTGGGACTGGAGAGGAGTTGCTGTCCCTGGGGGAGCCCGTCCCTGCAGCTGGGGACCTAGACTGCAACGAGGAGCGTTTCGTGGGCTTGGGGATCAAGGTGACCTTGGCCGAGGATTTGAGGAAGCCCGCCTGTAGCACATGTTCTCAGCAAGGTGACCCAACAGCCACTATCATGGCATGCAGGCTTGTTCTCACGTAGTATTCATATCGCTCGACGTCCTTGAGGTCCAGGGCGACCGAGTTCTTCCGGGGATCGGCCTTATCTACATAGCAGATGCGATGCGACGTCAAGTAGACCTGCCCATTCTGGTGGTTCTGTAGCTTGTACTTCCTGCAGCGAGGTGCGACGGTCAGCGTCTACATATCACCACTCGACAGCGATCAAAGACAGCAAGCAACCGCCTCGAGGAGCCGGAGGCGGATGGGCAGCAGAGCAGGGGCGGGCACAAGCCAATGATGGATGGCACATGGATGCATCAACTAACCCCTCGTACAACCCCACATTATCTTGGACAAAGAGAAGAACTTCGTCTGGGAGATAGGCTGGCCGGAGGGCTGTTGTGAGGTCTAGCTGCTTTAAAAACATTCGTCATATCTGTTCTGGGAGACGATCCCAAATGTGAAATGGAGAGAGGGGCACACTGAAAGGCTACCTGGCCGTCCTGACTTTGTCCAGACAGACAAGACGTGCGGTATCCGGCAAACAGATGATGTCAGGCTAGCTAGATGCACCTAGCCGGCTTAGAGCCCAAACGGGGAGTGTGGGGGGAGAAGTGGTAAAGCCATTTTCACTTACCTCCGTAGCTGAGTTTACTTATTAGCTAAGCCAGCCCGTCCCGCTAGTGCCGTGCACGGCAGGCCAAATCTCACAAATGCACTTTATTGCCCGCCCCCCGTGCCTCCCTCGCCTCCCACCGCTTTCCTCGACTTCCATTCTCATTTGAGACAACAACATCCGTCTTCGTCGCCATAACACAACACATCACACCCCAACCACATCATCGCCACCACTTCTGCTACCAACAGGCGACGACGTCCACACTCTTGGACGACGAGAATTTACTGATCTTCACAGCCCCTTCCTTGACCTTGCGCGTAAATCTGTCCCTGGCCCACGAAACTATCGCGTCGCCGACATGTCAGCAAACATGATGGGCTGGGCCGCAGCGCCCGGCACCCAGGGTGCAGTCCCGCCTCCGCCTCCTGGACCCTATGTCTATCCAAACCGTAAGTGCTTCTCAACCTCGTGTCGTGTGGTCTCTGACGAGGTAGCTAACCCTCGTGGCAGCTGCATACACCCAGGTCCAAGTTCGTCAGAACTTCAGTCAGCCCTATTCCGTTCCTCCACCAGTCTATCCTGGTGCTCCTGTTCCACCATCTCCGTACGGTGCATCACAGGTGCCCCCTCCGCCCCCCGCTAATCAACCCGAGCCCGCCAAGAAGAAGATCGAGTGGCCCATGTCGGTTCGCCTCTATGTCCAGCGCTCATTCAGGCCCGAGAATTTGAACCCCTCAGTCTCAAGGACCGATATGGAACAGAAGCTGAGGGAAGTCATTTCTGGCGCCACCGACTCGGGCAAGCTGAACAGCGTCGACTGGGACAATATGCCTCTGCCCCAGGAGTTGGTCGTCCAAGAACGCAACACGCTGCTAGAGTCGCAAAAGTCCGGCCCAGGCAGCAGTCCCGGCTCGGCCAGGAAGCGAAAGTCATTTGAGGGGGACAGAGACCATGACAGCAGCCCGGCCACCCTTGCCCCGCGGGAACGTAAACTCGAAAATCGCATCAGCTACGCCGCCGATGATCGGCGTCAGATCATGGACCTGCCGTTGGCCAAGAGTAAGTACACAAAGGCCAACGAGAAGCGACAAAAACGTGCCGAGCGCTTTGGTGCTCCCCAGCCATCACCCCAGAGATCTCCCACGCCTGAACCTCCCGCCGGACCTGTAGTCGGAACCTGCGAGAAACTGGAGAAGGGCTATTTGCGTTTGACCGCCCCACCAAAACCCGAAGCCGTCCGTCCAGAGAGGGTGTTGCACCAGACCCTGGACCTCCTCAAGAAAAAGTGGAAAAAGGACAGGGATTACAACTACATCTGCAACCAGTTCAAGTCGTTGCGCCAAGACCTCACCGTGCAGCGGATCAAGAACAACTTCACTGTCGAGGTGTACGAGATTCATGCCCGGATCGCGTTGGAGATGGCCGACCTCGGTGAGTATAATCAGTGCCAGACCCAGCTGATCGCACTGTACAAGCTGGGCCTGAAGGGCCATCCCGATGAGTTCAAAGCCTACCGTATTCTGTATTTCATCCACACCGCCAACCGCTCGGACCTTAATGATGCCCTGGCGGATCTAACCACAGCAGAGAAATCGGAGCCCGCCATCAAGCATGCGCTGGATGTTCGTTCGGCCCTGGCCCTAGGCAACTACCATCGTTTCTTCCAGCTCTACGTTGACCCCTCACATATCAAGATGGGCGCGTATCTCATGGACATGTTTGTCGATCGTGAGCGCCTTGCTGCACTGTGCAACATGTGCAAAGCGTAAGTTGCCATTCCCCACCCCCCCAACCGGCTTGGAGCGGAAAATGCTGACCTGCTCTTCTCGGCACAGTTACAAGACAGATGTTCCTCTTCGTTTCATCACCGAGGAACTCGGCTTTGATGCCGACGGCGATGCTGTCAAGTTCCTTCTTCAACACGAGGCCGGTGGTCTCCTCGAGGAACGTGATTCCGTCGTCTACTTCCAGCCGGGCAAAGCCAAAGGCCACTTCGATGCCGCAAGAGCCCAGGCATTCCGCCGGGTTGACATTAAAGGCCAGATTTGACCCTCCTGGCTTCATCTTTTGTTTCGTTCATTGTTACCCGAGTGTGTCTCATGGCGCAGCCAGCATAGCGTGGCACACATGGCATACACTTTGTTGCCATGGTCGCATTTCATCTATTCCCGCATTTCCCGTCCCAGAACTAGCATCACCTATCTGCCCACCTGCCAACCAGCCCACGTCTCGAACCCCGGCCGATAAAAAACATGCGCGCTGCGGTCCAGTCAGGTGACCAACGAAGATGGCGCTGCGCAAAGCGCGTGCGACTGAGTTGGCAAGCACGGCTGTCGACATTGCGGATTGTGCCTCAATATCCAATAATGCCAGTGGAGTTCCGAACTCGGCGTCCTGCCTCCTTTCCCAGCTCCGCCTAACCCGTCGGTATACCCGGCTGAGCCGGAGACTTTTGGTGGTGGGAGAGCGGAAGGGGGCGCAACGGCATTGATAATTCTGCACTTGGTTGTCGAATTTGATGGAAGGCGTTCTGTGTGCGTGTATTTGGAAATCAGTTGGGTGGCCGCGGTCCTCGTTTCGAGATACCATTTTGATGTTTTGGGGGTGTTAAGTAGGGCAAGTAGACTGACCCCCGGGCGGCACAACGATGTCTTGCCGCAGGGAAGGGCGTTTTATGCCAAGGCGTTGTGGTTGTTTGTATTATATTGCTATTTGCCAAATCAAGATATTCCTTCCAGAGATAACTTGCTGGGTCCCTTGACGGTGAACAGTTGAACACAGGTTGGGTCTGCAAGAGAGGTTCATGTATACGCTCTGCATGCAAGTCGCTTGTGTAAGTAACCCTGTAACCCTGTGCGGAGTAACCCTTGGGCCCGTGCCCGCCCCTTTTGACTCGCCAACCCCGCACTTGTTCAAGCCTGCCCGATTGTAGCAAGGCTTGCAAGGCCAACCACCTCTTTAAGCCATTTTGCTTTGTCCCCACTTCATCGGAAATTGCATCCGCCGCATCGATTGCATGTCGCAAGGACGGCCTCGCCTCGAAACGCCTCGACAACGCATTTGCGCAATGGCATGTGAACCACAAGGGCCATATTCGACTACATAATAAAACTGGAACCCTCCCTCCGCCCGCCCAAAGCGCGAACCATGTCGGCCCCGACGGCCACGGCCACGGCCACGGCGCCGGCCACGTCGTCCGTGTCGGGCGCCATGGACGGCTCGCCCTCGGACGTGCTGACCGCCACGCCGTCGTCGTCGCAAAAGGAGCGGCACTCGCTGTCGCTGGACCAGCGGCGGGCGCTGCGGCGCTGGGCCAACTCGCAGTCGGTGCGGCCCTCGCACAAGGCCTGCATCGAGTGGTTCGCCAGCCAGTACGGCAACACCATCAGCCAGTCCACCGTCTCGCACTCGCTGTCGCCAAAGTACGCCCGCCTCGACGGCGACCCCCAGCTGTCCGGGTCGCGCCTGCGCTTCGGCAACTGGCCCGACGTCGAGAAGCTCGTGCTCATGTGGCACCACAGCATGGTCGCCAGCGGCCGCCAGCCCACCAACGAGGAGCTGGCCGACAAGGCAAAGTCCATCTTCCAGCAGCTGCCGCGCTACAAGGACGAGCAGCCCCCCGAGTTCAGCCCCGGCTGGATCCACCGCTTCAAGAAGCGCTACGGCCTCCTCATCCGCCGCCAGCGCAGGCACGGCGCCGCGCCCCCGCCCCAGGACGACATCCCCTACCTCGTCGACGCCATCCCGCGCTTCATGTCCGTCGGCCCCGACACCAGCCCCGCCGCCATCCGCGACTCGGTCCAGCGCATCGTCGGCGTCGAGCCCTCCCTCGCCACCTGCGCCCGCGTCAGGGACGAGGCCGTCCGCAGGCTCGAGAACCCCGGCCTCAACCACAACGGCCAGCCCAACCACGCCGTGCTCGACACCACCCCCGCCGCCGCCAGTGCCGCCGCCATGGGCCACCACCACCCTCCTCCCCCCGCCAGTGCCGCCGCCGCCCACCACCACCACGGCGCGGGGGGCCCCGGCGACGCCTACGGCGAGGAGGACCCCGAGATCGTCCTGCAGAACGCCCTGCACGCCCTGCAGCAGGAAGAGGCCGACGCCGAGGCCGAGGCAGCAGCCGCGAGGGAGGAGCGCGAGATGGCCGAGAGGGGCCTGCAGGCACCACCTCCCCAGCACACACAGCAGCAGCAACAACAACAACAACAACAACAACCCCCTCCCCCGCCCCCGCCCCTCTCGGCGATGGGCGCAAGCCAGTCGTACGCGCAGCAGGCCGCGGGCGCGGCGCTCGCGACGCCTGTCAGGAACGGGGTCGCGCAGCCCGTGGGCGTCGGGGTGGGCGGTGGTGGTTCCGGCGGGAACAACGCGGGCGGCGGCGGCGGCGGCGGCGCCACCCCGAACGGGACGCCCGTGGGCGGCTCGTCGTCCTCGGTGCTGGCGCAGCCGCGGTACTCGGTGGGCGGCGGCGGCGGCGCGGACGATCTCAACCTGACGCCCATACCGTCCAACGGCCCCATCTCGACGACGGACAGGCCCATGCGCTGTCCCTTTTGCATCAACCAGCGCATGCTGCGGACCATCAAGGAGGCCGTCGAGCACATGGCCACGCACGTTGTCGTCTGAGGGGGGGGGGGGGGTTTCCCTGGTGGCACGCGGATGAAAAGCGTCTTGTCCTGCTGCTGCTTAGTTTGTCCCTACGGAGTGAGTTGGGAGGGGGGAAGCGGACAAGCGGCACCATTCCGTCAGTTACTCACATATGCATACGTGCCCACTTCCGGACCTACATATGGACTCGGGCGCATCTATCCGCGGCGGCGGCGGCGGCTTGGGGGAAAGGGTGGCACGGAATCTAAAGTTCAGGAGGCGAAGACAGCAGGCAGACAGACACCGCTGTGCTGCTGCTGCTGGACCTGGGTGTCACTGGCTTCCTCCCGCTTGATCACTCTCACCCCAAGCCATCCAGGCCCAGGCCCAGTCCCAGTCAAAAATCATCTCAATTCGTCCAATGTACATATTACATCACACCCACCTGATTTCTACTCAAGCCTTCTTACTCTTCACATATGACGAAATCACACCAAAACAATTCAACAAAACGACGCCACGCCACTATCATCTTCGGGAATGGCGGGGGAGACTCTGGCACAGGTAGGCAGGGAGGCAGGCAGGCAGGGGGAGATTTGTCGGGGGCGTTTATTTGGTCGTTGCTCCGCCGGCAGAGAGAGGGGGCCGCATGACTTGGAAGATACTTAGACATGAATCCAAAATATTTACCAACGCTCTCCTCACTCTTTGGGCCACGCCCCGAGTGATTTGACTGACTTGACTGACTGGAATGCTGCAAAGTTGAGACAAGGTTCTGCAGACATAATTGGCTTGGTCTTACTAGCGTATATAGAGATGAGAGCGCGTCTAGTATGCGGTCTTTGTAAGAAATGCAGTAAACAAATCCAAAGCATATCTGCGAGGGCATGTCACTTGAAGGGCCCTCGATCTCGATGTCAATCTCGATCTCATCAGCACGCATGGTGTCTCACATATGTGGTTACTCAGACACGAGCAAACGTTATTTTTGTGGTCTTTGTCCATCACTCTGTTCATTTCCTCCTCAACGACTAAAGCTTTCCTCGTGGGGGTGGCTACTACGGTGGGCCAGGGTTCCTCAGAACCAGAATCAAAGTTGACCTTCTCCCCCTTGTCATCCGCATATTTGCAACTCGAGCTCAATCGTCTGCCGGTGTCTCCACGCAACAGCATTTCACCCCCTCTGCAATCACGCCGATCCAATTTTGTTCACGGTAAAGCGTGAGCCTCGTAGACCGCCCATCTGGTATCTTTGCTGTCCTCGCCAGACTAACACTCGTCTTCCTGTTTCCTCCAATCTCGCCCACGTGGCCACCGCTGGAGCAACGGAAAAAAAAATCAAAATGGGTAATAGTAAGGGACTGGGTGTGAGGAAAACCGGGCAAACGAAACAACAACAAAAAAAATGAAGGACCGAGGGCCTAGATATCTCATAGAATCGAAGAAAAGAAGGTTGACCAAAAACAAGCCAGCCCTGAACGCCGTTGCTCTTCCACCAACTGGAAAAGCTCCCATATAGACATATTCCATCATCATGAGTTGCTTGCGCATCGTCGACATAAGGTGACAGATTTTATGTAACGGTGAATAAGAGGCCAAATGCTGGGTTCCCTTGAGCATTTGGTCGCGGGTGTGCGGGAAAAGGTTTGCCGACAGTTTAACGACCGTGGGTGCACTGGGATCCCAGCTACTAAGCAGTATACCCGTCCAGAGTTTGTTTGTGGTACAGCAGAAAATGACAAAAGACCTGTCGCACCTCCACCTGGACACTTATTCCGGATAGCATCCCGGACCCGCAAGATGAACGAATAGTTTGGCTTGCATGATAGTGTCTGTCAAAAACGCCAAGTCGAGGTGCTGAGCGACCGTGGAGTCCGGGTGCAGAGCCTTCCTCAAAGTTTGGGTCCGATTATCGAGGATCTGGGAGCTTTTGCAGAGCTCTTCACACTTGATCCACATATATCAGTAGCTTCTCGTTGCGCTCCAATGCAACGTCCAAGTCGTTGTTGCTGATCATCGGGATCTTGTCCTGTGTGCTTTCATCCTTGTAGGCAATATCGATGGGGTCTCCTGCCGGGATCTTGAGCCTGTCCCGTATCTTCTCGTAAAGGTCTCGGAATTGGATATCGGTTGGCACCCGGATGGCGATGAGGTCTCCGTTGAAGCTAAGCTTGATTTTCATCGCTGCTGCTTGCTGGTTCAGGCCAGGAGAAAGTGACGTCTGAGACGGTTGGGACAGGGATGACGACTGTCGTGGGACGCCGTTGGGTCCTCTTGAGCCCGGTGCTGGGCCGTACCCATTCCCATTGAGGTTGTTCTTGGATGACTGCTGCGATATTCCGTCACCCTGAGAGGACTGGTGGGAGCCTCCTGATAGTCGGTAGTCTTCCTCGCCCGTCGAAGTTGGGTCAATCTCGTAGTCTCCCTCCCTGGGCGCGAAGAACTGTTTGACCAGATTGCACCTCGAGATGTATGGTGGCTGGCTCAGGAGGTTCTTCACATAGGCATCCAGATTGTGCAGTCTACCCTCGGTAATAGCGTCGGTGACGTAGTTGACAGGGCCTGGCATGTAAGGCAGTGTCCGCTTCTGAGTGCCAGTGTTTCCTGCCTCCGCCGGGAACTCCGTCAGAAGTGCAATTTGAAAGTCGTAGAAGTCTTCGTAGTAACGCGACAGCTCCCAGTGTCGACCATCCTCTAGCGCGGCCTCGATCACAAACCAGTATTTGTCTTCGGCAAAGCAGTAGCGAGGGATGCGTGCGGACATGGGAGCGTGTAACTGTGACCCAGGGCTTCCGACCTGGGGCTGGGCCATGGGAGCTTGTTGGCTCTGTGTGTTGCGCTGATGATAGTTGCGCGGTTAGCAACGACATACTGCGATGGGGGCACTATATCAAGACTCACGTTGCTCTGTGGCTGCTGTGCATTGCCCTGGCTCATTCGACCAGCACCCTGCTGAAGGCTCATGCGCTCCATGCCTTGTTCCATGGCTTGTTGCTGGCCTTGGGGCCCTCCTCCCTCGAACTTGCCCAACGTGATGCTGCTGTTCTTGTACTCGGCGGCCATCTTCTTCCATTCCTCAACCCTCGGTATTCCTGCTCTCCTAATTGCATCTTGCGGATTTGGAACTGGCGTATTTGTTGCCATATCGCGGATCTCGATAAAGGAGACTGGGATGAGGCCGGGGCCGCCCAGTCGCCCTATTGGCTTCGCCACGAACCACTCGGGATTTGATTGTGCGATAACGATGATGGCCTCCCCAGCCTTCGCCTCCAGCTCGTCCGCGCGTTCGGCCTGGAAGTCGTACATCACTATGCCGTACACCATGGCCCCATTCTTCCCTGCAGCAGACATCTTGGAGCTTCTCTGGCTTTGCGTTTGAGTGGGTGTTACGCTCGAGGCAGATGTCTCGGCATACCCGGAATCGTGGTCGGGGTTGTTGGTAGCACCAGGCGATGGTCTACTCGTGTCCGAGCTTGCGCTATCACGTTCTGTGCGGCCGAGAGCCTTGAAGAAGCTCACTGGAACAAGACCACGGGCGTCAGGTAAGGCGGGATTGCAGGCCTCATACCAGTCGGGGTCGTTTTCTCGGCCAATAACGTGGAAAAAGTCACCGCGCGAAAAGCTCAGTTCTTGACTGGATCGGGCTTCGTAATCGTAAAGCGCTCGAATTACCTGGCAGGGCCGAAGGAGTCAGCAATTTCATTTGGTTCTCCACCGAGGCCCAGGAGCAAATGTGCCGCGAATCGGGCGCAAAGCGGGGGTTGGAGAAGAGACTCGGACGCCAACGACCCACTCGCGAGGCCCGCTCTCAGTCATTGTTCCGAGGCTCAAGAATGCGCCCAGTGCAGTGCAGAGGCAGGTCGGCGACAGCCCTCGAGGGCCACACACAAGGGCTTTTGTGTGGCTAGGTTGCAATAAACGTACCTTTTTTGGAGGAACGATCGCGACAGCGGATTTGGGACCGATTGAAACATGGGCCTTGACTTTCTCCTCCCCCTTCATCGACCTGCGAAGGGCCTTGATGGCGCGCAAGATGTCAGTTTGTTTATTCGACGGCATGAGTGATATGTTGCTGAATGACTGAGCCATGCGCTTCGGGTCCGGGAGTGCAGAAGCACGACAAGAGGGAAGCCCGGGTTGGGTGATGGGCAGTGATGCAGAGCGAGCGTGATAGACAACGAGGGCGACGCCGATATATCGTGATGCATTTCCAGCGGACCGTTCGGCGTACAGCCAAGACGACTCAGAAGAAATGCTCAGGAATTATATGAAAAAGGGAAATGCAACTGCTGGTCTGGGTGTACGAACCTTCATGGTGTCGCCGTAATATCCCTCTTTCCGTGACCGGATCGATTGAGTATATCTCAGAGCGGGTGCAGTCACAGAAGACCGTCCCACCTTCAGTTGGCCTTGACTCCTCCTTGACTGTGTTTTACTGGCAAGACGGGTCCTCGAGCCAATGAATACTGAGGGTAGCAAAAGTGGACGTTACGCCAGGTCCGCTCACACGCTCTTGCCGTCGGGAGGCAGTGAGTCAGTGCGACGGTAAGTTGGGCCCGACGAGTTGAGGGCTGGCGACAGCAATCGGGCGGCGGAGAGGACTTATGCAGCAGTCGGTCGGGTCGGGTGGCAATCCAAGACACTGCAGTGGACAGCCCCAGGATTGAGGGGAACAAGGTCGGGCGGTGGATACTGTGTACTGGTGTTCGGATAATTTGGGCGGACTTTTGAGAGATCCCAAAAAAGAAAGCGATGTCGTCACTTGCACTTGAGGTAGAGAAGAGCAAGAGTCATGGAGAGAAAAAGCCCGTGCCCAGCAGGTAGGTCCAGTCCAAGTCCAGTATTGGTATCGAAGAGAGGCTGGCTATGCGTGGGTTTCTTCTGTTCTAGTCGTTCGTTCTAGTCGCAGATCGCGCCACGGGTGCGATGCTCAGGACGGCGTGAAGAGAAAATCGAAGCGACGTCGTCTCAAGTCCCTCGGGTGCTGAGGATATGGTGAGGCTTGGGCAGGTTCGTCGGGGGCCTTGTTCTTTATTCAGGATGGTGGCATGCGATCCTCCCTCTTTGTCCGGCGGCTCCTTCGCGTTAGTCAGAAGAACCCACTGAGTCGCCGTTGGCCCGTGCTATCGGCGGTTCTGCGGTTGGAAGTGGGCGTGGCAGTAAGTAGGCGGGTGGGTGGAGGAGAAGGAGCGGGTGACGAGGCGGCGGAGACGAGTTTAAAAGTATGCGGAGGGGGGGGGCAAGCGAGAAAAAAGAAGGTGAGGAAATTTTAGTGGTGAGCGAGGGGGGGCGCAGCACGCAGAGGCAGGCAAGGCAAGGCAAGGCAAGGAAGGCAAGTCAAGTCAAGTCACTGTGTCGCGGGTTCCCTCGAAGGGCATGTGCAGTCCTGGCAGGCCAGGCCAGGTCAGGTCGGGTCCTGAACAGACTGAACAGGGTCTACGGGATAGGTGCTCTGGGTGCTGCCCGTCAGGTAGGCAGGCACTCCGTAGATAGTAGGCAAGTAGGCAATAAGAGTGTGTGCGTGTGCGCGCGTGTGTCGAGATTGGGTTGGGTTGGGTTGGGTAGTGTTTTGCCGACAGGATCCGACAAGACGGGGTGCGCAATGCAAAAGTATAGTTTAGGAATGGGCGCGGGGGGGCGGCAGACGGTACGGCCAGGCGGCCAAGAACGACTAATAAGCGACGGAGCGATGATGGGGTCCTGCTGTGTGTATCTACCACAGCGCGTACAAGATCGGATGGGACAGGAATACGACAGGGCAGGAAAAGGGGGCTGCGAGGTGGTAACAGTCGTAGTAGGACAGACAGATTGGCGCCCAGTTTTTGTGCAGTGACTTTGTGACTTTGGCGCTGTGCCTCTGTACAGCCCGCAGCAGCAGCAGCGCCAGCCAGCAACCACCACCACCACCACCACCACCAGCCAGACATGCGATCTGCAGCAGAGTCAGTGAGTCGCTGCGGCCGCGCCAACAATGTGGAGGAGAAGGCATAGAGGGGTAGGGAAGGAGAGGGGAGGGGTGCAAGGGTGCAGGCTGGCAGGGTGCTGGGACGTAGTGGGTGGATGGGGGCAGGGCCGCATGGGCGAGGGCATGGGCCAGGGTCAGGGCCCAGTTGGGAGGGCAGCTTGTACTCCGTACAGTGGCCGTGGTATCTTTCAAGGTCGTGGTTGCGTGCGAGACTTGCAACTTTGCTGCTTTGCCATGCCCCGGCCAAACACACACACACTGCACCGGATCAAGCCGACCATTCTACAGGCCCATCTGAGGCTATCTCTTTTTTGTATACCGTCGTCGTCTTCCGTCCTGCCTTCTCGGCCCCCCAACCGGTAGACCAAGATGGGATGGAAATCTGCAGGTGGTGGCAGGCAGGGATCATCCAAGACAAGCGGGCCTGTGATGGCCTGTGTTGGCCTGTGATGGCCTGGCGATGTGCTCCGGTTCCCTCTTGTTCTGCCCCAAACTCGATGAATCGCCCGGCCCGCCTGGGCAGCAGCCACCAGTGGCGCCCTGCTCGGTACCTGACAGCTGCTACATGCAAGCACACGCAGCACGCAGCACGCAGACCCAGACGAGGAGGCCGCAGCAGCCGGGACTAGACGCTACTCGTCACAACGCCCCACTGCAACCCGGAATTCCAATGTCCAGCCTGCCAGCCTCTCCATCTCGAACCAGCGATCCGGGCGGAATGACACCAGCCTGGGAAAAAGGCCCCGGCGGAGAATAACAACCGGCCAAGCGCATGTCGTGATGGGGGTGGGTTTTGGCTGGGTTTTGCTGCCGGTATTGGAATGTCATCACGGCCACGGCCGTGCCCGCCGCCCTCTCCTGCCGCTCTAGTGCTACGGGCCTCTGGTCTCAAGCCTCCAGTCCTCTCAGGCCTCTCTACCTCTGGGTCGCCTCTTCCAGGTCACAACCTCTCATCTGGTGTTTGAGACTCTGGGTTCTGGCGCGGCAGTCTGGACGCTGTCGGTCATACAGACACCATGCCAGTGTCAGGTGGTAGCACAACCTGCCTGCTTCTATTTCCAGGACGGGGGCCGGGACGGCAGGACGGTCGGTGGGCTGTTGTGGCGGCTGGGCGGCCACACAGACACAGGCACAGCCAGGCTGCCAGGCCCTCGTTGCAACGGCGCCTCTCTAGAGCCCTCGTCCGCCCGTCCAAGGTCCCAAAAGTATAACACTGATGACGCCCGCAACACCTGACCTGGCAGTTGCAATCTCCCGTCGCATTCCCTCTGGTCATGTTACGATCCCGCACTGGTGAAGAATTCCCGAGACCAAGAATTGCGCCGAGGGCTACACAGTACGGTGGGGTGCGCAACAGAAACTAAATCCTTCAATCCGGCCCGCTCCCCACCAGTCCACTGGCCCACGAGAGCCAGCCAGCCAGCCAGTCAGTCCAAGCTCCTCGTGTGGTCCGGGATGACTGGTCTCTTGAGGTCATTGGCGCAGACAAGATCCGCCAATGGCCCTCCGCTGTCACCTATCACTTTTGTCCACCAGGTACACTAGATGCGAATGGCCCTGGTGGGCATGTACGGAGTATACTATGTATGTGATGAGCAAAGAGTTTCGCACGATGCTGCATTGGAATTGGCCTGGCCTGGCCTGGCATGGCTGGCCCACACCACCCGACTCTGCAGGGGCGCCCTCGATTTCTGGTCGAAACGGCAGCAGCTGCGGTGCATGTGCCAGGGGGTCGCTGATCATTGATCATCTGGACGGTCTGTGCATTCCGTTGGTCTACCATTGTGCCGCTACCCTGGTACTGACGTGGAAACCAATTGAGGAGTGCATCCACGACAGCTACCACAGTACCTGCTATTGGGCTAAAATTACACACAAGATCTGGATGCTCATTGCTGCCAGGTACCGCTCGTCTCAAGCAGAGAGCGTGTATCAAGGTGCATCTCCAAGCCGGACAGATACCGTATGAGGCCATGTCCGCATCGTATGGGAGCGAGTCGAACAAATATAATTATTTACCAAAACCTCGGGGTGAGCCCACCAGTCGCATCCCAACAGGCTGGTAATGGGACCCCCAATTGCCATCATGCGCGAGTTATTACATCAGACAGCTCACACACAGGGCGCGGGCAGGACCCGCCGGACGCCGTGATCGCGGGCGTCGGTCTGTCAGTCGCTCACTGTCAGTCGCTCACTGTCACTCACTCGATGACTCGAGCACAAATCAGTCAGCTTGTCTGTCTCGGCCTCTTACCTCGGATGGCCGCTGTTCCATCGGACAACGCCCACTGGCAGCCACGCCTCACCATCTTCGAAACAAAGGCCCCCATGCCAATGTCCAATCACCAGCTCACCACACCTCTTGGACGCACCATCGTGTTCATGCCCTCCTAGCACCTCATAAGTGGTGCACCTAGCCTCGAACGAGCGAGCGGGAGGGACAACGGGAAGACGAGGAGACCCGCCTACATGATCGGTCACGCACAAGGAGCTGCCCGCGATGTGTGCCAACACGCGATTGGGAGGCCTTCGCCTTGCTTGTGAGCACAGAGCAGCGACTCTTCGAGGACTGGGTCCGACCACTAGCGGAAAGGAAGTTGATTCCTGCCACAGAGCCTGCCACATCAACCAGCGATCGCGGAATCTTATCAGTGTTAGCCTTTGGCAGTGTGAAACGAAGGTGGGCTCGCCAAAACCAAGCGAACTGCTGGCTTGGCCCGGCTTGTGACGACAAATCGATGCCTCGCGGTGTTCTCTACCAAACCCTGCCTTGCCTGCCAATTAGTTGCCCAAAGCGGAGATCACCCAGTAGGGACGAAGAAATCAACGAGGCGGGCCTATGTCTCAACCTCGGCCTCCAAGTGCAGGCATATGCAGTCAGGCATGCCCTGCTCTACCACTGTGTACTTGCCTAGCACGTTCGCCTAGCCATGTGACGACCGTGAAATTCTATTCAACCACGTCTCAGCCACGACTTTGAATCCTCTTTCACAGACGTCAGCTTATGGCGGGCCGCAGCCAAGAGAGAGACAGAGACGAGGTGGAAAAAAAGAAATTGCACACGGATTTGCAAGCATGTGGTAATCGCATGTCATCTATTCCTCGAGCTAGAAGGCCGAAACTTCCAAGCTACTGTACGTACGTGCAGCCGGTTCCCCTGCGGAGAGGACCAGCGTTGCACCGCTGCTGCAGCATGATGGCGACATGAGAAAAGTCCAGGGCCTAGAATATGCATATCTGAATGCAGGTACGGGGCCGGCAGCGACTACAGACGCCCGCAAAGCTAGCTGCTGCTATACTTGCACTGCATTGCATGTGGCCTGCCTCTCTCGTACCACAACCGTCCACGGCCCGCAAGGAACACTACTCGCATGCCTCGGAATACGAATGCAGAACGGGAACCAGGGCGACAAGTGCGTGTGTGTGTGTGTGTGTGTGTCTGCCTCGGTGCCGCTCTCAGCCCTTTCAGCCCCCCCCCCCAAACCCTTCCAGCCCTTCCAGCCTTACCCAACGGCCGACCGAAGAAGAGGGCACCACGACTCATGCCGAGAAAAGAACCCTGGTGTCCAATCCGGTTCCTATTATCTGCATTTGGGGGTGGTCTGCTGCCACACACACACACACCTACACATACACACGGTAGGTGGGATGGACGAACGAACGGCGGGCCCGGCCGATCGTTCGGAAGCCGTGGTCGTATTATTTATGCGCGGAGCCACGGTGAGTTGGCGCGCGCGTCTTGTCGCTTCTGGCGGGCCCTGACTGACAGGCTGGCTGGCTTCTTTTTTTCTTTTGCGTTCTATATTGCCCATTTTCTTTTCCTACGGGTGAGTTAATCAAAGAGCGCGCCCAGTTTGTGATCCTGCCTCCTGCAGCTGATGACGACTTCGTCATGTGTTCCATCTGCAGGACAGCCAGCCAGCCAGCCAGCTTACGTGCATGCATGCATGCAAGAGTTATGGGGGCCAACAAGCTCCCGTCGCCACACCGAACCGACCGACCGGTCAACCGCAAGAGAATGCGGTTATCGTGTTCGGCCCCTGCAGGCTGGCGTGGGGGGAGGTCGACTCCGACTCCGAGGTACTTGACAATGTGCGGGTTCTCAGCCTGGCCATTGTCTTGTCAGGTATATCGTACCCGCTACACACTCAAATATGCGAGGACCCTTTTCCACACGGGGACCACGACATCCGACTCAGGTTCCCAAGCCGATGGCCTGTTGTCGAATATGCAGGGCGGGTCCGGTCTGATCCCCGTTGCCATGCGCTGCACACGACTTGCCGCATGGAAGTTTTCCTCGTCATCTCACAGGGCGTTCGATACCGTCTGGAGTAGATTAAAATTTCCAACTGGGCGCAATCCACCCAACACCCCTAGTCCCCGAGTCTGGCCCATCGGGCTGCCGGGGCCCCAGCTGGGATGCAACTCCCATCTGCCCCCCTGTGCCGTCGGCGGGGACCAGCTCCCGGTCCCCTGTGCATCGATGTTGCCCGCGATCCGGAGCCCAAGGGCCCACACGTCAACCATGCTTTTTCTCTTTTTTTCTTTGGTGGTGCCTTGTCCTAACATGGGTTGCTTGCTCGTAGTCGTACTTTTTTTGAATTGTATTTTCATTCAACCCCACGTTCATGTTGGCGCCATGTCTGTGATTCTGACAGGTCACAATATAATTGTTTAAAATTTTAAAAATTTTGGGAGAAGCACTTTGACAAGTTCTGAAGCGAGTGCGGATAATTAACTATTGTTGTTCTCGAACCACCTAATAGTCCTTGACCTACATTCCTTCCAATAGTCCACTGGGACGCCAGTACTCTCGCCCCGCCATCCATTGAATCAATCCTAGGTGGAGCCCCCCTCAACTGACATGCCCTGAACACATGAATTCAATGCCACGAGGAGAGGGGGGCTATCCGGACGTCACCGCACGCACCACACCCTGGCAATTCATGTGTCGCCCTTGGCCGGGATACCCATATTGGGCAACGCCGGCACGTTGCGGGAAGCAACACACAGACGCCGCTGCTACTGCTGCTGGGCGAAGTATCCGGACAATCTTGAGAGACCGTATTTTTGTGTGCGGCCCCACCCCCGGCCCTTACAAATCCTGTATTCTGTGTCCCCAACGTCTGTGCTGGGTTGCCAGTGGGCATCACGGTATCAATGGCTCTAGCCTATCTGTGGTTGTGGGTTTCTGTTGTTGCAACATGGCCATGGCAAAAGGCAATTGGCAGGGCAGAATCAGGACAAGGGCAGGATAAGGGCTTATTAACTCGACTGCCAACCAACAGGATTCTCCCGGCCGCAAGCGCGGCGATAGACTCAACGCTCCCCCGGCTGCCGAACGTGATACTTTTTTCTCCCGCTCTTCTCAAGGCCGTCCTGTTCCCATTGCTCAGGAGCCGGTATTAAGCTCCGACACGCATATCTGCATGGCTTGGCTTTGTTCTCCCCGTTCAATAGCGGCGCACACCTTCGATGCGAGCAGCCGGCTTTGTCCGCGTCCCTCCCTCACGATGAGACAGGACACCGAAGTCAGAAAATATTCTCCGGTCTGCGCGTGATCGATCGCTCTTCTTGTCCGTCCACATCACATGTGCAGGGAATTTTCTTGGACTGTAGACCGAGTCCATCCATCCTGTCCAGTCACCAGGCCTTCCTGCGTGTGTCTTGCCCAGGTTCGGCCACAGTTTCGTTTCTCCCGTTGCTCATCAAAGGCATAGGCGATTACGTGGACATTGTGCAACCACGGGGCTTGGGGGTGTTGCGGTGAGTGTGAGGCATCATGACAAATTCCCCCCCTTCTTGCCTCATGCGCAACATACAGATACCAACCAAAACCCACACACCCACGCGAGGCCGAAGGGGCCTTGTCGCGCATCACGGGGAGCCCAGGCTCTGGGTTGGTTGGGTCTTATGCCAATGCGGCCCTGCCTATGCCCCCCCCCCACCCTTTCGAGCAGGTGGGTGTAATAAGAACATTCCCTTGCCCGATGCAGCAATCTTGCGCAGCAATGGCACGGTCGGATCTGAGCTGGCCCGCGCAAACATGAAACCCGCGAACATTCAAGGCCCCGAGGTCTGGTTGCCCGCCCCCCGGGGATCATGAAACAGTGACGGCTGCCCGGGGGGGTCTGACTGGCTGGCTTGCTTGGTTGCTTGCCTGTGCTTGCTTTCCCTTTTCCTGCTTCTTGTGTTTAAGTGAGTCTGTTCGTTGCCTTGAGGCTCTGCGCCGATCGATGGGACTCCCCGCCTCCCACCCCCCCGTGCGTGGAGAAAGACAAGACGTTGCTCCATCCGTACCTGACAGCCAGTCCCCCCACCACCCCTGGGGACTTGGACGTCCTGCCTGCTCTGATCGAACATTCCGCCTGAAAGTCTGGGCATGTTAACCAGGTCGCATTTATTTGGGCATACTTGGGCTTGGCTTGTGACGTCGATATGACCTCACCTCGCATTTTGACAGCCAGACTGAGCTTGGTTTCGTACATATGTACAGAATTTATTCTTTACATTAAAAGGTTTTGAAGAGCACGAATCGCGAGCATGCAAGTCATGAGCTCACAAGCAGCCTCGGCACCATAGAATTAATTACATCGGCATAAAGTAGAAGGCTAATAATAAGTCTTTGAGCTCCACAATATAGCTCCTCAGCCTGCGGAGAGACATAATCCAAGCTCCAGGCCCGCGGCATTTCAGATAGGGTTTCTTCAACGTCGACATCACCGTGCAAAACTCTGACAACATGCACTGGACTGAAAAACTTTCTCTGGAGGGAAACGCCTCGAAAGGACAAAATGCCAACAGGTATTCGTAGCAGAGACTGTGATGCCGTTTGCGACCATGGCGATGGACAGATACTAGTATTCATCAGGACTTGTTTTGAGACTACCATGACAGCACTGAGTTTGATGCTCTCGTCGGCTGTCACTCAGTGGGCGCCCCGCTGGTCCACAAGAATACAAGAAGCAACTCAAACAAATCAGTGAATTATTTCAGCCTGATTGATTGTCTCGGGCAGGGGATGGTATCTTGAAGTGAATTGAATAGCCAGAGACAACACATAAGTTACCACAGGAGACAAGAGCAACTTGGAACGGCCAGCTCGATATTTAGAACAAAGTCAGCTTGGATTGAAAAACTCATCAACACTGAGAAAGAAAATATTACTTGCACGTCACCAAAACCGAAAATCCACTTCAACTCCATGAGGAATCCAAATGTAATAAAAGAGCTCTTGCTATCATAATTTGCATTGTAAGATACCATTCAATTTTGAGACATAGCCCACTTGTTAATTCCCAGTCTACAATCCAAGCTTGTCTCAAAATATTGTGGCTCACTGACAGGACATGTCTTCTTCCAGGTCCTGAGCGTTTACCACTGTATGAAGGCGCCGCATACATTTTATATGTATGGGGATTAAAAACGAAACCACTTCATCCAGACCACACCGGCTCTGAAAGATAAAAGAACGGTTCAGGCACTGCAGTGAAACTTTCAAGTTTGAGGCCTGGCTTCATACAAGGAAGAACAAGCTGGCAAGCATTGGAATAAGTGCGGATTGAGACTCTTCAACTTTTGAAACGTCGATGTAGCGAGAGCCACGAAACTTGAAGGTGGTTCTTGTTTATGTCAGTGAGTACAAATTGCTGACATATGTATTGAGAATAATACTAGTCGAACACACAGACGCACAACTGTACCAGAGTTGCATAAAGCATCATGCTAGGTGATGCTATTAGTGCCGAAGTCTATCTCGGAGATCTACATGAGCATCATGAATAACGATCGCAGAATGCCATTCCCCGGCAGAGGCTCTGATGCCCAGGGGTTTCTTTGTGCGGCACGTCCCTTCAATGCGTCTCATGGTGGGCGCAGAAAACGGTCGCCCGTGGAGATCAGAACAACCTTGCTTGTCCCGAGACTTTTCCAAACAGCACGCCGTCAAGCAGAAGGCCGCTGCATTGCTGTCACGAGTGCGGTCCGATCGCTCCACTCAAACCATCCGGCTCGTTCGAATGGCAGTATGGACTTTGACCGGCAGCCGAACCGTAGCCTCCACAGCCTCTGTTCCGCGCACACGAACAGCTCTCGTCGCGTGTCATCCTGGCGGCCAAAGCAGAAACTAGTGACACCACCTGGTTATATCAGAAATATGTCAGTATATCATGTATCTTGCGCATAGTGGGAACTCATGGTCGTCTGACTATATTTCTCAAGAAAGCGATGGGGCAAGGTAGACAGCATTGCATCTCGCCACGGTCCTAGACCACTTGCCAGAGGATATAGGGGCAAATCAACTATAGTCAGGTTTCGTTGTACTTACCAGGTATCTCCACAACAGCCTGCAGCATACCACCCGAATTCCAAATTTCTATACCGCCAGAGCACCCAGCGTACACAAAGTCGTTCGCGCCGCATCTCACGCTGGTCGGTATGCCCGTGGTGGGCACGGCAAAGACGCGCTTGTTAGCGAGGAAGGGGGAGCCAGACCTTGTCACCACATCAAATGCGTAGATGGCCGATTCCCTATCATCATGTCAGCCACAACTCTGCGAGCCACCCAAGGTTCAGGTGCGTGTAGCTTTACCGTGGGGGTCCCACACCGCCCTCGCCCTCGCCCTCGGCCACACCGGCATCAGTGATATACACCGTGCTCTCATCCCCACTAAATGCAATGCCTCCAGGCCGAGCCAGCCCGTCAGCCACGACGCGCAGGTCATCCGACTCCGGGTGGAACCGGTACACCCTGCAGGGCAGCAGCGGCCGGGGGCGGAAGCCCTGCTCGAAGCCCTCGCACGGGTCTGTGAACCACAGCGCGCCGTCGCGCGAGGAGACGGCGACGTCGTGGGGCGAGTTGAAGCGCCGGCCGTAGAAGCCCGCGACCAGCGCCTCGGGCGGCTTGCCCCTCCGCATGAAGTACAGGCCCCCCGTGCTCTCCTCGCCCAGGCTGCCCTGCGAGCAGAAGACCATGCTGCCGCTGCCGCCGCCGCCGTACCGCACCCCGCCGGCCGGCATGGCCATACTCTGCGGGGGGCGGAGTTTCTGCCACTCTACGGAGATGACGTCGTCGTCGCTGCCGCCGACCGGGTCGTCATCGTCCTCATCCCACTGCCCGCCGCTGCTCTCGGGCTTCCCCCTGCGGCGCAGGTTCACCCGCGAGATGAGCACGACGGGCAGCGCGCTGCTGCTGGTGGTCTGCAGCAGCCCGGAGGTGACGTACAGCTCGTCGTGCTCCGGGACGTAGATGCAGGCCTGGTGGAACAGCGGGTTGCGGGACGTCTCGGACGTGGAGAGCAGGAGGGAGTACCGGCAGCGCGGGTCGAACGCCGTCCCGGATGTTGGCTGGTAGAGTGAGATGACCGGGTCGCCGTCCTTGTGCGAGGCCGCGTTTGGTCCCTGGAGGGGTGTGGCACTGTTGGGGGCAGGTGGTCAGCGATTGCGCCCTGGTGCGGTTTTGGATAGACAGACAGGCGTGTTGTAAGCCGGCCGGATCCTCTGAACTTGACTAGCTGTTGGTGGTGTTAACCATTTGATCCTCCGCAGTCTGACTGTTTGTCTCGGAGGAGACACACCTGGACCGGTGTTGCAGCAACCTCGATGTCTGAAACGGTGATAGACGTCATTGCTCGCAAATATAGCTCAAAGCTGATTGTTGTCTAAACAGGAGGTTGGAGTGTACAAGTCCGGCGCTGTCAGCTGGCAGGGGCCGAGCAGACTCGGCTCCGGAGATAAACTGGGTGGACGGAACGGCGCGTGAGACCGGACATGACCCTCACCAACCGCAGCCTTTCTTTTTGATTCTGAGACTTGACTGAGAACGGGACTAGTTCTAGTAAATTGAAATGATATACGCGAGCCCTTATGTCCGAGAAACCATGTTTTGAACCTGAAATTGCCCGAATCAATATTGTATGAACCAACGTCTTTTCGTACTTGGTATCCTATCAAAAAGACATCTGGTGGGTACCTTTCTCAACAATCTAACTGCGTAGAGTGCTTGGGAACATGACTATCATCTTTGTCACAGGAGCGAACCGTGGTATTGGCTTCGCCATCGTGCAAGCAGCGGCGGGCAGGATCCTAGAAGCAACCTTTATCCTCGGCTGCCGTTCTCTGGAAGCAGGGCAGGAGGCTGCACGGAACCTTCACCGGATAAGTCCCAAGGCCACATTCGACGTTGTCCGAATAGACATTGAGGACGATGACAGTATCCTCGCAGCAGTGGACACCATCGCTGAGCAGTATGGAAAGTTAGATGGTCAGTTACACCGGTGCTGACTATAGTGCTGGAGACTGATGACTCGCGAAGTTCTCATCAACAACGCTGCCGCTGTCAGCCATCCAAAGTCTCAAGACCTGCAAGATATTCGGGCCAATCTCAACACCGTCTTCAACAATGCCGTCACATCGCCTGCCATGGTCACCAGGGCATTTCTGCCCTTGCTGCGGAACAGCCATTTTCCAAGGGTAATCATGAATTCAAGCGCTCGAGGAAGCCTGGAGAGAACAGCCAGCAGAAAGGTACGAATCACAGATACACTCTCAACGGCACCAGGCTGAACAGTACTAGCTTCCGCCGCCCAAGTCCGTAGATTACAATATCGCAAAGGCAGGCTTGAACATGTTGACCTTGCTGCTGCAACTGCTGGACGAGTCGGGTGTCGGAGAGGAAGAAAGGATCTGCTTCTGGGCAGTCAGCCCGGGACACACCAGGACCGGCTTCAACAACTTCATGGGGGCCAAAGATCCCCTGGACTCGGCTGAAGCGTTCGCGCGGCTGCTCCAAGCTGACAGAGGCGAGGTCCCGGCGGGTACGTTTTGGGAGTTTGAAGAAGGACAATTCAGAGCTGTGCCATGGTAGCCCTAGTATGATGCATCTGGTGTGCGGTTCGTAATCGAGAAATACAGTTCGAGTTGCCGGCCTTGTTGGGCACATCGTGACCACGACCCCGAGCTTGCATGAATAGAGCGACTGCACAGCCTCAGTGGGAGAGGTCGCAGACAGTATTCTGGCACGGATGTCTCTTTCAATTGCCTAGTACCTGTCCCGTCTATAAGTGTACAGTTGGACCCAGAAAAAGGCATCTGAGATTCACGAGTCCCCTCATCACATGTCCGCCGCGGTCTAGTGCTTGTCTTTCGCCTTCGAATCCGCCTCTGCTTGGTCCATGAATTGCCTACAAGGTTGTCAGTGGCTGAGAGTAGACATCCGGGCATGTGGGCTCAAGTACTTGATGAAGTCGGCCTCTTCGTTGCTGGATGCGTTGATGGGAGGGGTCTGGGTCGCGGCCTTGCTGCCACCACCAAGAGCGAGCTTGCTACCGCCGAAGAGGGCGGCCAGGACACCCATGGCGAGCTGTCATACAACACAATTAGTTCAGACATCGTCAATTGGGTTCGGGAACCAGTTGGTTGCGGCCGCCGCGAGGTCGGAGGAAATCGGAGGGGAAGACGCGGGCACTGACGTAGTGGGAGCCGACACGGGCGCCGAAAACGTTGTAGTACTGAACCATCTTGAATTTGGGATCGGGGCCGGACTTCGCGATGGGTCGGTCGGGGGTGTGTGAGGTGTTGTCGGGGGGAAGCTATTCGTGCTCGGCGTAGAGAAACGACGCAACGGCTCAATGGAACAAGCTCCCCTGCGGCTGCTGAATTTGCGGCTGCCTCAGGCAAGAACGGCGGGTAATAGCCGCCAGAGATCGGGTACCTGGGTACCTGTGGAGAGATAAGATCCAAGCGCGCAGGAGTCCCCACCCGAGCTCTCCGGGGTGGAACCGTGGAAGCATGCAGAAGGCGACGTCATGTTCCATTCTTCGTCTTATGGGGAATTGAATTGCTGCATCTTCACGCGCCACCGACCCAAGTAGTTCCGACGTCGCCAATTCATATTACTGAGCAGACCCAGCATCCCTTTTTGCTACATTCAAACCGCCGTCTCTCACAATGTGGTGGGGAAAAGGCTCAGACAAGGATTCCAAGGCGCCGCCCAAGGAGGACGCCTCAGCTGCAGAGCCAGGCAAGAAGAGCAATGCTCCACAAGCTGCTCCATTCGACCCAGATAAGCTTCCAAAGCGCGAGAAGCTGCCGCCTGCGCTGCAGAAGATAGTCGACAGGCAAGACAAAGACGAAAATTGGTATGACGAGATCGTGGATGGCTAGTAAGCCCAGCCTCTCCATGCACTTGCCCCTGACTTCGCAGTGCTTGGACGGCTGACATCGACTTTATCGCTTGAAGTGCGCCAGAATCGACAGAGTCCAACGTTCGATTTGCCGGTTATGCTGCACGTGTTCGGACGATACTGCTTTCTGCTCATCGCTACGTCGCGTGTACGTATCCACCCAATTTAGAAGCCAACTTGGGTCTTGCGATCTGCAACTTCAGCCATTGGTGCTTTAAGGCAGTCTTTGCTTGTGTCTTTCGACTGGCTCACATTTAACATTTACTAACTTTACACATCTAGACACATCTGACATAGGAGAATCATTTCGGCCGGTCGCACATCCATGGCTGGTCCGTGGCGCATACGGAGTCAGTTGGGCTTACATCCTCGGCGACGTGTCTTATGAAGGATACAAAGCATATCTACACAACCAGCGGACGCTGAACCCACAGGCGGAATTTTCAGAGAGCCAGCAGAAGCTCACAGGCCTGGATGCAGTCGGCGCTGCGGATGCCCAGCCAAAGTCGGTCCCTCCACTTGAGAACTACAAGACGGTCATGGCACAGCGAGCTATCTTCCAGAGCGTGGCAAGTATGGGTCTGCCTGCCTTCACAATTCACAGTGTAGTCAGGTACAGCGGGAGAGCGCTCAAGGATGTCAAGAACAAGACGATACGGACCTGGGGTCCGATCGGCTTGGGCCTTGCTGTCGTCCCCTTCCTCCCGACCCTCTTTGATCAACCCGTAGAAAACGCTGTGGAGTGGATATTCCACAAGGGCTTCGCGACTATGGGTGGGCATGACGCAGTAGGTGCTGCGCCTACGATGGGCAGGGAAAAAGCCTTGTCCACGAAGCCCAAGGAGAAGGAACTGTAGATATTGGTGGCTGCGAGAACAAACACGCTGCTCCCTCCCGGTACGAGGTGTGCTTAAACACTTCTTCTTCTCTCGCGCATGTATTACAATTCTAAATAGACGATGAATTCACGTAATCTAGTCATGTATTCTGTTTGTCCGGCAAAAGTCGCTTATGGACATGCTCAAAACCTATCTCCCGATATCCGACCAAAACCCAACGCCGACGCTATGAGATTGTCCCGTCTGCCGGTGACTTTATAGATCAATCAAATCAGGCACCAGCGGTCCAACATTGCGTAAAAGCACAATGGTATTGCCCGAGACAAGCGCAGCCCCCACCTTCTCGCTGTAATCCAACACCCGTCCACCTTCGACGTGGAACACCCTCAGCGTATCCCGCTCCTTCTCAGACTTGTTGTTGATATTCTCGACCTGCAGGCTCTTCGCAGCGGCGTCCAGGACCCGTCCCACGACCCAGTCCTTGGAGTAGAAGAACTGGCCCTTGGGTGTCTTGGCCGTCGGCGAGGCGGCCTCAGCCTCGACGAACAGGTACACCCTCTTCTCGGGCGCCAGCTTCTCGTCGCCCTTGGCGGTCTTCTTGAGGTTGTTGACGGCGACGAGGCGCTGCGAGGCAGACGTGGGCTTCGGCTTAGGGAGCGCGCGCGTGGCCGCCTCGGTGGCCGCCTCGCGCTTCGCGGCGCCCCACAGCCTCAGCTTCTGCAGCGCCGACTTGGCCTTGTCGGCGGCCTGCGAGCCCGGGCGCGCGCCGAGGGGCACCAGCTTGTCGCAGTCGTGCTCCTCCTTGAGCCGGTGCTTGAGGCAGTAGTCGCGGTTGCACCCCTGGCAGTGGACGCCGGGCACCAGGCTCGTGCCGACGGTGGTCTTGCAGTCGGGCGACGCGCAGGGCTTCTGCGACACGTGGTCCCGCAGCTGCTTGCCGTCGCCGGCGCTGGGCCGGGCCAGCTGGGCGAGCCGCTTGCGCTCGGCCCAGGCGCCCTCCTTGGCGCACTTGTGGGCCGACTCGGTGCGGTGGTCGAGGCAGAAGGTCTTCTCGCATGACTGGCAGTAGAAGGGGAGGAAGTCGAGCTGGTTGCAGTACTCGGCCTCGCAGTGCTTGCCGATGAGGGTGGCGTCGGCGTATTGGGAGCGGTCGACGTCGGTCATGTTCACGTACGAGGTCTCCTGGCCCTCGGAGGATGCGGATCGGTTTGCCATGGCGGCGGCGGGCGGGCCGGCGAGGGCGTCGTCGTGCGTCTCTTAAAGAGGAGTTCGAGGTGGGTTTGGAGGCAGGCAGACGTGCCCACGTCAGTTGGATGACCAATTCGGCACGGCTCGGCACGGCACCTCTGGGTCCAGCAGGGCGTGGCCAAATGTGAAGTCGTGGGAGGAAAGATAATAATACCACCTGGGCAGTTAGGCAAAAGGGGGTTGCGAGGCTGTGACGCTGCGGCTGGCGTTGACATGGGGCTTCCCCGCCGAGTGCCGACTTCCAGGCCTTTCCAGGATCTTCAGGGTCCTGCTGGGCTGGGGCAAGATTGGTAAGCTATAGGCTGTAGGGCTGATCGTGGGCATGCGACAGGTGCAGGTAGGCTGTCTGGTTGGCCACTTTAGCCACCCCCGAACACTAGCTTAGGCACGGAGTAGTTTGAGCCGCAGACCACTTCACTTCCCCCAACACTCGTAACCTTTGGTTGAAAGGAAGTTGTTTCTCTGTACAATTATCTTTCTATGGATGTGTTTGTAATTCACCGGCTAGTACCCGCACTAATCCCTCCCTGTCATTCAATCATTCATCCGTGAATAGACCGCAATACGGTTCCTTTACACACCGGCTGCCTTCGGATTGGCCCTGTCTATTCGCCCTCTTTCTATGATGCGCTTCCTAGCATCATACCACCAAGATCTGTACAACCAGGGCAACTGGCTTTCTGAACGTGGAATACCCTGGAGGTTAACTTCAGGATGACTTTGATCGAGGATTTCTGGTCGACTTCAGATTAAGCTGGATCGCCTTTTGCCCAACACCATCGCCTTTGTTGTTGGTGGTAAATGTCCGACATGCCGAGAATCGTGTGACAAGCCCTGGCCGCAGCCTCTCTTTCTAAACGGTCCATAATACCTCCGTGGACTGGCAATGGCCGTTCTCTGAGGCTGTTTATTCGGTCCCTGAAGGCACGGACGAGCACGTCATAGTCACCATGGATTGTGGGTACGTTCATCTGGGAGCTGAAATTCCTCCCAGAGCTCTTATTGAAAGGCCAGAGATTTCCAAAGCCTTACATCTTGCCCTCTTGGTACCATGCCGCGGCCGAGTGTTGAATAGTCACTTCGTGTCGGATATGTATGCCCTGGAGAGGAACATCGTCGTCGGGTGCGTTGCCTGGTGTGGACAGCCTCTCGAATGGGTGGCCGGGATCAAGCGAGCCGGATAGATGTTTCTTCCCTCCTGAATGACCGGCTATGACGGTATTAGATCCTATCGTCCGCCCGTGGTTCGTGTGGGACCGCATATGAGATCGCAAGTGGGACCTCAGAGACGACTTGCCGCCATAGTCGCCGCCATAGCCGGAGGTCGTGCTTCCAGTGGCTTTGTGCCAGAAACGCCGGTAGAGGGGCTGTGAATCCTGGTCAGCCATCTGATAAAAGGGAGCTAGGGGTTAGACGCTTACCATAAGACATGGCAGACATGCGCCAACGATGCCCACGCCTATTTCCGCGAGAGTCACGAACCAAGGTAGCACCAGGTTGTTGGTCAGGTCGGCGCTATGTTTGAAATAGAAACCAATCAGTAGTATCAAGCGAATAATGCTTGCAATGACTACCCTGTTTCGTGAGGACAGCTGTCAGTGGAGAACAAACATACGACGCCACTTCCCTGGTGGTTTCAACTTACATCCCTCCAACAACAAATATTCCCGAGACCGCAATCCTCTTCCATCGCTCCAACTGAAGATGCCAGATTTCGTAGACCGGGAGGATGATAGTCAGCGTGTCGATGACTATATTCGGTGCCGCGACGATAATCAGGTAGACCTCGACTCGGAAGTGGCAGATGCCGGTACCTGGTGCTGACAATTTGTTCCAGAAGAAAGATATGGGCCGACACTCGACAAGATTACCGATCAGAACCCCGACGAACCAGATAGCGCACACGGCTGTTAAGATCCGGATGTATTTCTTCATGTGTTTTGTTGGGAAAATTCTCCAGTAATACGCAAGCACCGAAAGCTTCATTAGCGGAGATGCGAAAAGGTACGTCCACTCAAGCCCATATAAAAGCTGTGACCATCAGCCATCTGGTTGGAAGATAGCATTCAAACGCGACTTACCTTCAAGGATGTAACGGGAGCCATTGGCTGCTCCCTGAGAGCCTGAGACATGGGTTTACCCACGCCACCTTCGTAGACCAAGACCACGCTGAGGGCAAGCACAATGTACAATAAGACAAGTGTAGCCAGAGTAAGCCAGTCGTCCAAGGCAATTCCGAAGCGGCTTAATTTCCGTGACCAAAAGCGCAGGATGACCATGAAAGTCGCGAACACTGTGAGGAAGTATGACAGCGCGAGTGATACCTGTCCCTCGGTTGAGATGGTCACCTCGACCGCCGGAGGTACAGATATCACCGATATATTCCTGGCCACATGCATCTCTCTCGATCCAAGCGGTGAAAAAGATCGCAACTTTCAAAAAGTTGACCAATACAAGCCAACAGCATAGAGCTCGAGACGATAATGACCCGAGTCTAGGAGCAGTAACAAAGTCGAGCCAGGAATTCCGGTCTCAGCTTGTCTTGATTACAGCACTTGCCGTACATATCCGCCGAAGCGGCTCCCTCCTCCATAGCCCGGAAAGTTCCTGCCGCCCCAGGTGTTCCCACGACATGTCTCCTGAGGCTCATTGCCCGAAACATCTACTTTGCATCGTAAAACGACGCAGATCATCTCGTTTCGGGCGTCCACAAGCCCCGGAATTTCCTTACCGAGCTTGGTGCTGACGATGTCCACCTTACTTGGCGTCCTTGTTGGTCTGCTCTCAATCCATAGAGCCCGCTTCTTCGGTGTAGTGCGAGTCAGTCCAGTGACCAGAGTCACCGTAAACCCACAGCGGATCTCCTCGCTACCAGCATTGCTCGATAGATCACAGAGATCGTTCCGTCGGGGAGGTAGCGGTATGCTGCTCTGAGCCCGGACAAATCCCATGCAGAAGGGTATCAGCTTGGCTCCGACGATACGCCTGCGTTCATCCAGACGGTGGCCACGGCCTGTGCTTCGCCAGATGCCCAGCAGGGCTGCAGGGCTGTGGAAACGGCGGTGTCTCCGCCACCACGTGCTCAGTGTGGCCCGAGTTGAGAGTGAGCCCACTCCTGGGGTCTTCTGCTCGTACTCTCAGCCCCCATCGTTCGGGCTTTCTACGCTTTGGAGACGCGACCCGTTGACTTGGAAAGACCCAAGAACCTGACACCTGTCAGAGTATATGACACCTCTACAGGGTAGCCTGGTTGAACCCTTTGGAAAACCCGGAGATTGGTCGCGTCGGGAAGTGGGAGTTATAAGGTGATCCGGAGATGATGAGGCACCCGCCGTCGTGCATGCTATCAGTTCGTAATGGACCCTGAGGCACCATAGTGGGCGACTCAGGGAGTTATCGTGTATGGCTCCCACGTGGGTGTCCCCACCCTCGAGTTTCTCGAACGTGTGAATGAGATGGGAGCCATGTTCCGCGCGACGAAAGGGTATTTCTTGTCGGCCAGGATGGTGTGCCTCCTGATTCCGAACGACGTACATTTTTCATAACTTGGGCAGCTCAGCTGATCGGTGTGCAGAGTGATCGTCGCGTGCTTTTCGAACCCATGGTTCATCACACGATTCAGTACATAGTCACTGCATGAAATAAGGGAGTCCTGAGTAGGAGACCAAGGAAATCGGGATCTTCCCACAAACTCAAAGATACGGACCTGCCTCGAGTCCGTCTAAAAACGAAATCACCGGTTGGGAGCTCCCAGGGTTTCTGTCGTGGGGCCTGGGGTAGACCCCCGACGGGTTGGCTACCGCAACCCTCAGGGTCATTGTCAGTGCCCCTTGCCAGACACGTGCATTCGTGTTTCGCGACGCCTTGGGCTAGTACGCATATCCATGATGGAGCCTTCGCGGCTCTGTCTATGACGTCGCCCTCCAACCTGGAGTAACCTTGAACTCCAAATCTTCGCCGGTGCGTTAGATTTCACCTGAATTTTGAGTAGGCTGGACTGCGAGATGCCTTGACTGAAACGCATCGGACAAGACGTTCACACAATGCCGCCTCACGTCCCACGCAAGAGACTGCGTGAAGACTCGCCCCAGAAGAAGGAGCGAAAAGGGAAAGGTGGAGCCGCAGCCAAGGCCATCGCACCCCCGAGGAAGCCGACCCTGTTCGACGACCTCGACTCGACCATTTCCCCCAAGTCCGAGGGCAAGATGCGCAAACAGGTCATCGAACTTAGCGACGACGATGACAGCAGCTCCTTGTCATCGCTCTCGGACGCCGACTTTGAGGACGTCCCAGGAGTGAAGCGCCAGAAGATTGAAGCGAACCATGTGAAGGATGACGAAGACGATGATGAGGACATTGAATTCGAAGATGTCTCCTATAACCACCCGACTTTGGCGCCTCAGGCCGACGACCCCAACGAGGGCGCTCTGGAACTAACTCTGTCTCACGTTCCGACTGCATCCTATGCCGATTTCGGTGGCAAGAAAGGCCCCTCGAAGAAGGAGCGCCAGGCCCGTATTGCGACACATTGTATGCATGTTCAATTTCTGATGTGGCACAACGCAATCCGAAATGCTTGGCTTTGCGATCCCGTAACCCAGGGCATTGTGCTGTCGCACCTACCGTTAGGAATGTGGGACGAGATTGAGCGCTTCAGACGCGCCTGCGGACTGGGTTCGTACGAGGAGACACCCAAAAAGGCCGCAACCAAAGCTTCCAAGGGTAAAACCAGCGGCAAGAGCAGCAGTAAAGTCGGCAAGGGTGGCAAGGCCAGTGAGAAAGCAGCAAGGGACTGGGGCGGCGCTGCTCAGAGACTTGAGAAGGGTGCAGTCGACCTGAGCCACGGTGATCCATTATTTCGACTGATTAGATCTCTTTCGGCCTGGTGGAGAAAGCGGTTCCGAATTACTGCTCCTGGGGTCCGCAAGCTGGGCTATATGCAGACTCGCCGCTGTGCGAACCTGATCAAGGGCTTCAATGAAGGTGGCATCAATCCGAATCGATACGGCGAGCGTATCTCGAGCTTGCAGTGGTTTCGGCTCCATGCACAGGAGTGTACCGGCAGTCGGGATGTTGGCGCGCAGCTCTTCACCTGTCTTCTGAGAGCACTTGGCTTGGAAGCCCGGATGGTCGCCAACCTGCAAGCGGTTGGTTTTGGATTCAACAAGTCTGAAGAGGCCGAGCCCGACAAAGTTGGTGATGTTTCTACAGCGCTGGACCAAGACATACGGCCCGAAGAAGCTAGCAAAGGCAAGGAGCAGCCAACAAAAAAAGCTCCAAACCAACAAGTCAAGAAGCCGCCACAGTCAAGTCGATCATTGCGGAAGCAAGGTCGAAGAAGTCTCAAGGAGGACTCGGACGGGTCAGACGACGACCTTCAGTTGACCGAGGAGGACAGTGACGACATTGCTGCTATTGAGGTTCCCCCGCTGGCACTCGCCAAGGACAGCAACAATGCCAAATTCGACAAGGACCTGGAATTTCCACATTACTGGACAGAGGTCTTATCGCTTGCTACACAGAAGTACGTTCCTGTGGATGTGATCGTCAAAAATATTGTTGGCACAAACCGGGATCTCGTTGAGTCTTTCAGTCCCCGAGGAGCTAAAGCAGATAAAGCCAAGCAAGTCATGGCCTACGTTGTGGGCTTCAGTCAGGACGGTACGGCCAAGGACGTCACCATCAGGTACCTAAAGGGCCAAATTTTCCCCGGCAGGACAAAGGGCACAAGGATGCCTCTGGAGAAGATTCCAGTCTACAACAAGCATGGGAAGGTTAAGCGCTACGACCATTTTGACTGGTTCAAGTCCGTCTTGCGTGCTTATGCGCGCGGGGGTGAGAAATACCCTCTGACAGAAGTCGACTACGACGAAGACGCCACTGACTTGAAGCCGGCTCAACCTGTGAAGAAAGAAGTCAAGGAAGGCGAGGAAACGCTACAATACTTCAAATCTTCAAAGGAATTTGTCTTGGAGCGTCACCTGAAACGCGAGGAAGCATTGTTGCCAACAGCTGAGCCCGTAAGGTACTTCAAGAACAAGGGCAAGAAGGGAGACGGCGAAGAAGTGCCCGTGTACCTCAGGAAGGACGTTGTGGCTGTGAAGAGCGAGGAGACGTGGCACAAGCAAGGCCGGGCGCCTAAGCCTGGGTCTAAGCCGCTGAAACTCGCACCATTCAGAGCCGCGACGACGAACAGGAGACGTGAGCTTGCTGAGGCGGAGGCAGCAGCAGGCCACAAGGTCCTCCAAGGGCTTTACAGTCATGACCAGACGGACTGGATTATCCCTCCTCCGATACAGAATGGCATCATCCCAAAGAACCAATATGGAAATATCGACTTGTTTGTCGAGCACATGCTCCCGGAAGGTGCCTCACATGTGCCCTATCGGTCGGCGATACGGGTCTGCAGGCGGCTGGAGATCGATTTTGCCGAGGCAGTGGTGGACTTCGAATTTGGACACCGGATGGCTGTGCCCGTGATCCAGGGCGTTGTCATACCCGAGGAGCATTACGACCGCGTCATGGAGGAGGTTGTGAAGGAGGAGGCCGAGAAAGCAAGGAAGGAAGACGAAAAGCGCCGCAAAGTTGTCCTCGGGGCATGGCGCAAACTGCTCATGGGGATGCGGATTGCCGAGAGGGTACGCCGTGAGTACGGGCATTTGACGGATTCATTCCATGCTTTTGGCCACAGCCGGGACAACAAGCAGGACACGCCAGCCGGTCAAGTCGAGGCGATCGACGACGAGGACATGGCGGGCGGGTTCTTACCTGGCGGCTTCGAACCTGAGGAGGAGAAAGAAGACCGCGGTGGTTTCCACAAGTCCAGCTTCTTCCCCGCCATTGAGGATGACGAAGATGGCGGAGATGAAGGAGACGCGAGGCTGGTGATCGAAGATGGTGATGCTGTGGGAGACCGAGGGGCGTCGCCGCCGCCGCCGCCGCCTCAGCCACAGCCGGGTAAATCCTTAGGCCAGAGACGGGCTCCCCAGCGTAGAACAAGGCAGACGAAGCGAGTGTCTTCTCCTGAAGAAGAGGAAGACGATGATGAGGACACAGACCCTGACGGCGACTATGAGGAATAAGGAGTCATGTAGACACCCCTTTGAAGAAGCTACGTCGCAGATAGCTCATAGGCTAAGATATGGAAGTGTTCCAGAACCAGCCTGCAGGTCACCCAGGATATGTCTGGCATGGCGCTTGCGATACCGGGGAATGCACTCCGTATAAGTGCACTTTTCATTGCCCACATGCGTGCCTCGTTTTTTTTTTTTTTTTTTTTTTGAGCGAGTAAACATGACAGTACATCTGATAGTATAGGAACTCCGCCACATCTTCCAAAATTGCAACATGTCACTTGCATCCTGGAGCTCCTTGTGGCGTCAACCCTCCCTCCCTGGCCATCATCCTAATGTTTTGAGGGTTCGCTTTAGAAGAGGTTACTTGACTTGTTTTATTGAGAGCTGAATTTATCAGGAATCAATATTTAGGAAATTCTTCTCTAAGACCTTAAAAGCTATTTTGCAGCGGGTCAATCTCCGGGGATGTCTGGGATTCGATACTATGGCAGCATGGAGGACCTAGGGCAAAGCTCGTGTATATGTGCGTGGCTGTGTAACGAAAGCTGTCCAGATAATAACATGTCGTTGGCCGTAAAGAGTAAGATGTGGTTTAGTTTCAACAGCGTGTGTCTGTACCGGTAGCACAGAGTACCGAGGTACTTGGGTACTTAGGTACCTAGGTGCCTACATAGGCGTCGTATTCATGTGCCAATTGAAGGTGATGCAGAAAAGGGGGGTTTCCCGCTTGGAGACGGCGCGCCTTTCGTCGGCAGGCGGGCACGAGGTAGGTAGGGGAGGTGCGAGCGGGCCGGAACAGCTGAGCGCCCAGGCCAGTCCCCGGGCGAAAGTGAGGAGCGAGGTGAAAGCCTACCAACCAAACACACACAGCTGCCCGGGCCGACCGACCTGACAGCTCGTGTACGGTCTAGATGGCTGTTGGAAGCCTGCCAACCAGCTTCAACCCAAGCACATACTAAGTTGGATTGGCCCCTCAGCTGCTCAATGCTCAGCAGGTGCCGCATCTGCCCACCACGTCGCGCAAAGGGGGAGCCTCCCTCACTCCAAAGTGCCGTTTCGACCCAAGCTTGCCGTCTCAGGCCACCGGCCGTGTTCACATGTCCTTGACCGAACCTTTTCGCTTGATACCTGCGTGTCCGTCCCCCTGCAGAGCTACCTACTTACCTAGCAACGGTGGGCCCAGCCTTGTAGTACAATCATCTCACCCAGCCAACAGCATCTCAGTCCTGTTCGCCCTCCTCCGCTGGCCATTGAACAGGGCACCGCCGTACGCATCACGCACCAAGTCTACGGCAGGTATTGATGACTTTCTTGGTCCCCGTGTTAGGCACCCATTTTACGCTTTAGCCGCGGAAACGCACCAGTGACAGCCGATCAAGGGCCGAAGGAAGCTATCGCGCCGTCTGAGAGCCAGCCCGATTACACCAAAACGTTACAAACAGCTCCCGCTCTGGCCTGCTGCGGGGGGGAACCTCACCCATGATGAGCGACAGCTCGCTCATCTGCTGTTATCACTGTCTTTTTGTCCTAGTTGGCGAGGTAGGTGGCACGAACTTTCCTTTTCCCAGGTGTTGGTCTTTGGTGGTGCCACACAATCAATCCCTCTTCGGTGGCTTCGCACATGGGGTCGCAGCCGAGCTTCCTGTCCCCTCTCATCTTTCTTTGGCACATCTCTCAGACTCGACTGCTCGTGTACCTCGAGGTAGCTGGGGCCTCTAGCTAGGGCAGACCGTGCTGCCTCAAGGGGCGAGGCGAGGCCAGCAAGGCGCCAGCAAACAGAAGTAGCCGACCGGATATCAAGCTGCCCATCTGCTACTGCTACACTATTCCATCACACATCCCCAAACACTGACTCCCAAGGCTCCGTTTCCTTCCTGCCTGAGGTCATAATTGCCATAGCATCCCAGCACAGGCGTGTCTGCCTTGAAAAAGTGACGACTCAGTAGTCGCACCTTCCCGAATTTAAAGTCTACCGACGGGTCGCATTTCCACTGACTATGGTGAGGGGTAAAGGCAACCTTCGCCTTTGTCACTGCAGAAACGAGAGGCAGCGACTGGATTTGAAACAGGAGCAGCTTCCGCAACAAAACAACGTCGGTTTAGCACACGGGGGCGAGCGCAGGGCCTTACCCTCCCTCAGCCTCCTGTGCAGATCTTTCAAGATGCTCTCGGTCCAGAGACCTGAAGCTCCACCCGCCGCCGCAATGTCGGACCGAGACGATCAAGGTGACGACCACGGACTCGACCTCCATGTCGATGATCAGACAAAGACTCGGTGCAGGGCCGGTGTCAGCTTGGCTCTTCCTGACATTGATCCCGAGTACCTGACCCAAGTCTGCACCGAGGCACAATGGGATGCAAACCGGGTCATAGGCCAGATCCTCGACCAAATGGAGAACGGCAATCCGTATCCTCGGAGGCCAAAGCCAAATGCTTTGAAGAGAAAGCGAAACGACGAGGAGCCGCCGCCGCCAGGGCCGGGCAACGCTGCCGCAAAGTTCGACAACGAGGAGCGCCGGCGACAACTCAAGGCTAATTCATACAAAAAGACGTGGTGAGCTCCTGCAACCCCTTTCATCCCGATGTCACAGGCGTGTTCCACAGAAATACGGGCAAAGCCACAACTCCGGGCTCCCTTCAAGTTGTGCTGATGTTGTTCAGTGATATGATCATGCAACAGTCTTTCCCTGAGTGCTACGCTGAAGACCTGAGAAAAACATTTGTGGAAAACGGCAATTGCCTCTACCCTGCATTTCTCCAAGTGGCTGCGACTGTTGCTAGCAGCACCAATCGCCCACCATACAGGAAAAAGTCTAGGGTCACCCAAATCCCGGGAAGATACGACGTGGATGCCCTTGCTGACCGCATACGCACTTGTGCTGATCAAGGGGAACGCGAGGCGCTGGAGGAATTCGTGGCCTTGAGGGAGGTTCAGGCAAAACAGCACGCGGAAGCCGAGGCCCAACGCAAGCGAGAAGAGGCCGAAAAGACCAACCTTGAAATCGCCATGCTTGAGGGCAACATCGCTGACTGTGGGTGTTGTTTCGTGGAATATGCTCTCAACCGCATGGTTCATTGCGACGGAGAGACCCTGCATTGGTTCTGTCGAGACTGTGCGAGGACGATGGCTGAGACACAGATCGGACTTTCAAAGTACCACTTGGACTGTATGTCCACCGACGGCTGTGCGGGCAGCTTCGCGATGGACCAGAAGGAGATATTTCTCGACAAACATTCCATGACAGCTCTGGACCGCATCGAGCAGGAGGCCGTCCTGCGAGAGGCGGGCATCGAGAACCTGGAAACATGTCCCCATTGCCCATTCGCCGCCGAGTATCCCCCAATGGAGGAGGACAAGGAGTTCCGGTGCCTCAACCCAGATTGTGCTATCACGAGCTGCCGGTCGTGCAGGAAAGAGACCCATGTCCCCAAAACCTGTGCCGAAGCAGCCTTGGATAAGGGCCACTCTGCTAGGCATGAGATTGAGGAGGCAATGTCGGCAGCTTTGATTCGAACTTGCAACAAATGTTCAGCGCCGTTCATCAAGGAGCATGGCTGCAACAAGATGACCTGTACCAAGTGCAGGAACATCCAGTGCTATGTCTGTTCCAAGTCATGTGACTATAGCCATTTCAACGACGCCAGCCGGGGCGGCAAGTCAGGCAACTGTCCCTTATTCGATGATGGCTTTGGCGTAGAGAAGAGACACAGAGATGAGGTTCAAGCGGCGGAGGAGCAAGCCAGGAAAAAGGCGCTGGAAATGCACCCGGAGGTTCAGGCCGATCTGCTGGAGTTCCAATTGTCTGATAAAGTCAAGAAAGACGAGGAGAAAAAGGCCTCACTTCACCAACTTCACCAACGTTAGTACTTTTTCTGCACAGAGCATGGAGCTAGTGAGAGAGACGGCATGTGGTTTGCTAGCTAGGTTTGCTAACTCAGATTAGATATCCCTCCTGACCATTATCTTCATCATCACCACCGGCCCGGCCGCATAGCACGAAGGTGGCGCTACAACAGAGGGCACGATGCATACATGCCAGTGGAAGGCCCGGAGGGCGGACCGATTCTAGGTCATCAACCTGTCGCCAATGGCGTCGTTGCTGCTGCTCCTCATCCACCACCTGACCCGGCCCCTCAGGTTCCCTTTGCTGGCCCTCTTTACCGGGACATACAACACGATTGGCTTGGACCACAGCCAATGAACCAACCGCAAGTAGTGGATTATCGCCTGAGGAATGTCCGCAAGTTTTTTGCTGGAGCCAACGGGGCCGGGGCCGGGGCCGGGGCCATACCTGGGCCGCACAACGGTCCGCCTGCTCTGGTGCCAAATGAGAATCGAGCACCCCGGCTGCCTTCACACCATATGCTCCGGCGGTCCCGGGGTCTGCCTGTGCCGGAAGAAGGGATTCTGCCGATAAATATTGCCCGTCCAAATGCACAGCCTCAGGCTCAAGTCCCGAGACCCCAGGCTCAAGTCCCAGGACCACAGGCGCAAGTCCCAAGACCTCAAGCTCAACCGTACGTCAACCCTCAAGATGTGTTCCCGATTCCAGTGCCAGCAGGCGAGCCAGATATGGGACACTTGGGAATGAGGTATGGTAATGTACCTGCATTCGTGGGCGCCTTCGGACGTATCAACAACAATTACAGGCAGGGTGAGCAATTCGAAGCCTCACCTGTCGCTAATGGCCAGACCGGGGACGCTAACGACTTCGAGGATAACAGGCATTGGGATCGACCCCCGGCCGAGGAACCAGCCGTGAACAACATCGACAACAACAACAACGCAGGAGATTGGTGGAACGCCATGGTCCCCGCAAACCAGTTCTACCCTGGAGCCGTGCCCGTCGCCGTGGACGCCGACCCAATACCGTGGCTTCAGGATCGGGTGCCTGACCCTTTTTTCGCAGCGTACGAATACGGCATGGCCCCGTTTGACTTCGACAACGTCGGGCCGTCTCCTTTTGGCTTTGATGACCCTTTTGAGGCTCATAATCTTTGGGGGAACCTGATGCCGGGGCTGTGACGGGAAGGCGGTCCTGGGGCGTAATCACACAGGGGTTAGTTAGGAGGGATTTCATCCGCAACGGCTGACGATTTAGACCTAATACCCCTGGGGCATTCACCGGGGGGTTTCTTTCTTTTTTCTTCCGTCCTGTTAATTTATGTATTTTGCATGGCTCGGCGCAGGGGAACATATCTCAAGAGTCCAGGCGTTTTTGATTTCACACTTGGATGGATGGGCCACTGCAAGGAAGAAGGGGTGCAGTGGCCGCCGGCTGAGATTGCAGCAGTAATTGTATTAACATATTAGCCATTCTCGCGTTTTCTGCTGACCCTCGAGCTCGCTCCTATGTTACTGTAAAATGGAGGGCGCGGCTGAGGTATGCACAGGTGCTCAGGCGAGAGAATGGCGCCTGGCTTCGCGAGGCATTTCTCTCAAGTGCGGCCCTTCCATCTTGTACTCATACGCGGAGTTGTAACCCTGCACGGATGTCCAGGGCGCACCTTGTGGTTTGCTCTCATACCATCCCATCACCGGGCGCTGGTCAGGAGATTGTCCAAGTCCGCGCAGGAGAAACAACCCTTTGTGGGCTCCGCCGGGGCCGGCCCCTGCGATCCCTGGAGTCCTTCTTGACTCTTCAGCCCTTGTCTGTCAAGCGGCTGAAGACAATGGCAGACGTTTTGTGCCTGTTCCAGGACTTGGGCTGCGAAAACGTCCCATGGGGCGTTGTGGGGCTCGGTAGTAATTCTCTTTTAGATGATCACTACCCCCCCAGCCCGCAAGAGTTTCTTTCTAGAAATGAAGCCGCTTTCTTGGTCGCGCTCCAAAAGGAGTTCTGTCCTGATTGTATCGCATCAGGGGGCACGTTTCCGTTGCGCCGAGTGATATTGCTGATCTGGATGTTGCCTCCTCACGAGCACCTAGTTCCGAGACCAAGAGTCGTCGATTGCGGCGCGAGTTTCCACTGTCCTGAAATGGCATCGTTGGCACATGTGCCGCCCGCGGCTCTTGCGAAGACCCTCTAGGGCTCCAACCGAGACCAACTGGGCGTTGTCTCGTCCCTGTCGGCCGGCGATGGATCGGCCTCATCGGGTCTTGCCAAACTTCTCATGCCATTTCCCCTTGGCAGCCACGACGGGGGCCGCGGCGGATTCGGCCTCGGGGACGAGCTCGACGGTCTCGTGGAGAGTTGCGACGGTGCTCAGAGTTGACGAGCCATCACGGTCGGGGCCGGAGGTCTGCAGCAGGATGAGGGCGTTGGAGGTGTTCTTCTGGCGGAGGGACCAGGTCTTGTTGTCGGGGGTCTTGAGCAGGCCGGCGGTGGGCGAGGGCTCGAGGCGCAGGGCGGGCGGGCTGTCGGACTCGAGGAGGGCGAGCAGCTCGGGGGGCAGCTCGAGGAGCTTGTAGGTGGTTGCGGACGGGGCGTGGTTGAGGGGGATGCCGGTGACGGACTGGCTGGAGAGCATGATGGCGAGTCAAGGCGGGTAATGCGATGCGGTTCTTCGGTCTTGTGTCGTCGATAGGCAAGTGAAGTATGGGATTGTAGTTGTCGTGCGAGCACCTAGGCAGGGGTTGAAATGCAGGGATGTGCACACCCAAGCACCTGGGTATCTGGCGCTACTTTCTGGCAGAGCGCGAACCCTTGCAAGCGTGGATCTGACCCCTGCAAATGGATTTTCAGGGCAGAGCGCGTCTGGGTTCGCGGGCGTGGCAGGCGTGGCGGGGTCAACCCTGGTGGGTGCCCAGGTGGTTTGTTTACATCGACAGGCCCGTCAGCCCGTCAGCCCGTCCGACCTCACCGCTCTCTCCGCGCGCGGCCTCGACTGTTGAGGGGCGAAGGAGGAGGGATGCAGCTTGCACGAGAAGCCATAAACCTCGACGGACTGCACAAGGGCAACTTGTCCAATGGGCTAATAGATAATAATTGACCCGTTTCAGCAGAAACTGAAGGCCAGCCCATCAATCAGAGTTGCCTCCGCCCAGATCCGAAATCTGACCAGGACTGGCAGCGAGCAGGGAGCTGAGGCGAGACCCACGTCTGCCGTTCCCACCCCCGTCTCGCCCGCAACGGAGGAGACCAGCCTGCCAGCCCGTCCACTTTCTCCTCGGCCCAAACCCAACACACACACACACAACAACACATCACATCATACCATTGTTGTCTTGCGTCCGTGCTCCCCGGCTTTTGTGGTTGCTTGCTTGCTTGCTTTGCTGCGAGGGTGCTGAGTGGCTTGCGCCCACCTGCATGTGTTTGTGTGCATCTGCCGTTCTACCCTGCCGTACGTGCAGAACAAAAACAAACCGTGCCTACCCTTCCTACCACCTCCCAGATGCCTGCACACGACGGGCCCTGAGCCTACCTACTCCGTACTCCTACTATACGGTGCTTCTTCCACTCCTCCGTCGGTCGTCCTACCGTCCCCGCCCCCCAGTCTACCCCCCACCCACCCAGTCCTGAGCCCTCGTCCTCGACCTCGACGGCCGGCCTCGACTTCTAGAACTTTGTTCTCTCTTGTTTTGACTTCCCTTTCCCCCCACATCCCTGTCACCAGCTCGCCCTTGCTGCAGGTGTGTTTTGGGTTGCATCTTCTCCTTCTTGTGTATCTCTAAAACGTACATACGATCCTTTGCGGCTGCTGCTCCTGATCCACCCACTCATCGTCCGCAGTCCAACCCCGTTCCTGGGCCTCGCCTCGCCGAAGAGTCCGTCCCCTCATTATCAGGGCCTATCGTCGCTATCATACCGTCGCATCGCTCCAAATCGCACCGCATTGTACCGCGCCGGCACCTGCAACTGCACCACTCGGCGTCGCAGCGCAATCCCATTGTTTACTTTGTCTCGGCCCTGAGCCACCGCTCTCGCACACGTCCACGCCGCCACCACCACCGCCCGGCTTGGTGGCTGCAGCTTGGCCTGGTACACCCCACTGGTACTTGTTTTGTTAGCCGTGAGACAGTCAGGCAGTCAGACAGACTGGTCGGTCGCGTATCCTGCTCGTGGTGTCGGCAGACAACAGAGAGGCTGGAGCTACTGCAGACTGCCGCATCACAACGCTGCCGTGCCATTGGACCACCTCGTCTGAGCTTGTTTTTTTTTCTCCCTCTCTTCTTCTTCGTGTTGAGGTCCCCGTTCTCACACCACCGACTTCTCCGGCCTCCGACCGGCCTGCTCCTCGTCTCATCTTCTCTCAAGCTTCTCCGGGCGCCCCTTCGACCACCTCGACGGCCGTTGCTTGTCGTATCTGCTCTGATCCGCGCAAAGTCGGGCGGACCATGCCACGGGTCCATTGAGCAACCATGGTTCGAGTCACCGATGAGCTGGTCCTGACGCCAGGGAATGTCACTCTTTACTACGCCTACGACCCTCTGCTGGGGGACCTTCCTTTCTTAATATTCCACGGCCCATCCACCACCGCCAACTACACCCACAACTCCTCGCGAATCCAGGTCCATGTCTTCAGTCCCGCTGGTCTTCAGTCCTACCCGCGCATAACCATATCCCCAAATTCTCCCTTCTACGGCGTGGTCAGCCACCTGCCCCGCGAGTTTCAAGGGGACGAGACATGGAGGGGCCTGGCCTTTGGTCTCTTCAAGTACTTCACAGAGCTGCCCGAGGCCGTCAAGACTCACCTGAGGAAGCAGTACCCCGGCCCCAAAGGTCAACGGCCCGGCTCCGCCCCGGCCTTGTTCAGCGAACAACATGCAGCTAATCTCGCCCAGGATATGACAAAGTCCGACAATACAGGCCATGTAATAAGTGCTCTGCAGTCCGCGCTGCAGACCCAACATATTAGCAATGTCGATATTGACCTCGTCTTGCCGCCTGGTTCCATCATTCCACTCAACAACGCCGAGCTGGAGGAGGTACCCGACGACGAGGATGATCTGATAGACCCCACCCTTCGCCAGTATGGCAGTTACACGCCATTGGTCAGGCTGTGGGGAGAGCCTGTGTTCCTGCCAACGTCCAAGCTAAGGAGGGCGCCGTCCAAACCCACCTCACTGAACCGAGGCAAGTCTTTCTCCAGGGACCAGAAGGAAGACCTCCGCATGAAACTGGTCGAGCTTGTCGAGACAGAAGAGCGCTACGTTGCCAAGTTGAACGAGCTGGTCAAGCACATCGCTGATGACTTCCGCCAAACCGCCAAAAGCCGCCCACCTGGCAGCCTCAGCCCGACCGAGGAGGATGTGGACAAGCTCTTCCCAAAGTCGTCCGACTCCATCCTGCAGCTCAACACGGCATTCATGCAGGAGCTCCGCAGGATTATGGACGAGACAGAGGAAGACGCCGCGAAGGAGTTGCAATCATCGCATGGGAGTGTTACCCGGGTCGCAGCCTCGAGGTCAAAGGATCCCAGCGGAGCTCTTGCCGTTGCCAGGCTCTTCGTCGAATGGTTTCCCAGGTTCACCGAGAGCTATCAGGATTACATCCGGGCGAGCCAGCACTTCCCGCAGCTTCTGAACAACTTCTTGGACAAGCAGTCCAGTTTCCGACAAAGGGTCTCCCAAAAAGGAGAGCAGACAATACGGTCCATCTTGATCGAGCCTGTGCAGCGACTGCCTCGGTACAGCCTTTTGATCGATCAGATCGTGGGCTGCATACCCATAACACATCCCGCCCTGCAACTTATGCTCAAGGCCAGGGACATAATTACCAACATTTGCTCCATGGACGAACCACTGATAGATAAACCGCATGTCACGAACCGCCTCCGAAACATGGTTGAAAGTTGGCCGCTTGACTTGGAACCACAGGGTCGCCTAGTTACAGCCATCGATGTTGCTGAGCTCGCGCCACCTTACAACGTAGACTCGCCGCAACTCGGTACCAACGACATAGGCGGCATCCTCCTTCTTTTCTCCGATTGCGTCGCCCTGGTCACCAAGACGTCTACTTCCAGCCCGACCGGGAAAGAGCTCATCCGAGAGATCGACAAGCCATCCGCGGCTGGGCTCCTCGCGTCGATGACTAATGCAGCTGGTGGTCAAGGGTCCTACGAGCTCGCGTTCACGGGATGGCACAGTCTCGCCGATGTTCGGTTTACAGAGTCAGAGAACGGTCGGTTATTGTGGATGACATCCACCCAGGAGATGAAGGCAGCCCAATCCGGCGAGGGGGCGAGCAGGGCAATAACGTCGCGTTGTTTCATGCTACATGAGAACTTCGAGGGCAAGGCTGGGAAGCTGAGCGAAGAAATCGTCAAAGCACGTATCGAAGGTCGCTTCTCAGAAACAGAACGTGAGACTCCTGTCTGGACGCTCCGGTCTGTAAGGCTGCCCGAGAATAATCTCGGCATGCATGCCGCAGTCTTTCAGGAGGCTGCAGACCAGCTCGTTGAGGGCCGTAGGGAACCTGCTCCTATTCGAATCGTGGTCGACAACGAGAAGGGCACTAAGGGGCATCCAGTCGGGCACTATGGAGTCGAAATCGTGACCGAGGTCCGGAGTGGGAGCCTAAAACGCCTGCGCATGACTACTCTGGGCCTGAATGGCAAGCAGTACACTGATGATGTTGCCCTGGAAGACCTGTTGCCCACTCTCTCCAGACGCTGTAAGTTGCATGTTTCCAATGCTCACGTTTCTCCCAAGCTGACCCCAGATAGTCATCCAATTGCTCAGCACCCAGTTCAACACCTCCAATTACCGGATGGCCCCGGCCATAGTGTCCTACTATTCCAAGATCGCGAGGACTCTGAGCTTTAGCTCGAGAGAGCAAAAGTCGATGTCTTTCCTGCGCTCCTCTCCCGTCAAGATGCTTTCAAGTTTCCTCAGCGGTAGCACACCTGATGTTACTTCGACAAGCCCACCCAAACAACAGCGTGCCGGCCTGCTCAGCCCGCCGCCACTGATCGCACGAGCGGGCAGCTCCAAAGAATCTCTTGTCGACTCGATAAGAAGCCGCGGCAGCCGGGACACTATTGGTGTTGCTGGCGAAGATGATCGGCCTGACAACCCTTTGGTGCGACTAGAACAGACGTTCACTGGATATGTCGCCGTGCTACAATCGCGTAAAGGTCAATTCATTGGACGGTTGATGATGAACCGTTCAACGGCCGACGAGCTGGTCGTCAATGATCTGTATAACCGTTTGATCGAGAGTCCCTTCGACTTGGAGTCGTCTTCCGAGGTCAGTTCCGAAACTGTCTTTGTGGCCTTTGAGAAGTTTGTGCGCATTGCATGGCAAGAACAGATGGGTCCTGTCATGTCCCCCCAGCATTTGAACTTGCTTCTAGAACGAGCAAGCAAGCAAGTTCCAGGCGAATTTGGAGATTTCGTCCGCTATCTCTTCAATGAGATGGCGCCGCAGAACCGAAGGGCCTTTACCGCACTGATCAAGCTACTTGAGGACTTGCTCGAAGGTTGTAGCAACGACAGCGACCGTGGCGCCCTGACTGTCGCATTCGCGGAGCTCCTCGTGGACGATGGCAGCGCCCATAACTACATAAATCTTCTCGACCGCCTCGTGGAGGACTGTGACCGAATCTTCGAGGATCCCCTGGCCGCACTCGCCAGCTCCTTTGAGCGCACAATGGCTTACGAATCTATGAATTCGCCATACCACAGCTACAAGTCTGCTGGCTCCTTAACGTCGAACACATCTTCTCTCAGACGCAAGTTTGGCTTTGACAATCTCCTCAGGCAGAACAGCAAGAACGATGGAGGGGACCGCCCTTCAGTGTGGCGGACCCTGAGCAAGCATGGGAGACACCCAGCGACAGGGGACAGCTCGAGCCTTGGCAGGTCTGCAGTCAACCGGTCGAAGTCAATCGATATCGGTGTGCCCACAATACCCAACAAGCTCAGACGGCCAGGTTCACGCGATAGGCCCCGTGTTGCTGGTGCGTTTGATGACATGCATGTACGGCCACCAAATACACATCGCCCAGGAAGTTCACACCGCCTTGACTCCGGCTTGGCAACGATAGGAGAACCAGAGACCGAGCAAGGGCTTCTGGAGCCGCCGAAGTCTCCCAAGAAGAAGCGAAGAAGCTCGCTCTCGGACCTCAAGAACCTGATTGAGATGACCACTACTGAGGCTCCTCAGGCTCCTCCAGCTCCCCCAGCTCCCCAAGCTCCTCCAGCTCCTCAAGCTCCTCAAGCCCCTGAACCTCCTGAAGAACCGCCACTCATGCCGCTGAATGTGACCAAGAAGACTTCCGAAAAGGTCAACGGGGCGCCGCCTCGCATTCCAGTGCCGTTGTCTAAGATACCGACGAGCCCGACCAAACCGAAGCCAGCACAAAAGTCAAGCCCAAGACCAAGTCCACCACCCTCGAGCAAAATACCCGTTACCCCCACATCCCAAAGCCTGCGTTCGCCACGGCAGCGAGAGCTCCCCGCCACGGAACCATTCCAAAGCATGTTCTCAACTCCTCAACCTCCGTCGACGGGGTCTTTGCTGCGTAGGAAGCACGCAAAGACGCTGTCCTCCTCCACCATCCCATCACTCAAACCTTCCCGTCTACCCATGGCTGGCGCATTTAGTCCGACAGGCAGCAACGACTTCTCTCGCTCGACCCCTACCGTGGGCCGGTCCACGACCCAGAGGCTGAAACTGCAGTCCCCGCAGAAGCTCAGGGAACGCCTGGAGTCGGAGAAGAAGGCGATAGAGGACGTTGACTCGGGCCTGAAGACGGAGCTGTCGCGCATATCGGCCGACATGGCCCGGGTGAACAACACGATGCCGCGCTCGGCCACGGGCGACATCCGCAAGCTGTCGGCGTCTATGAAAGCGCTGGACGAGCGGATACCGCAGGTGCTGCAGGAGCTGGAGGAGCGGCAGAGGGCGATCAGGGAGGACATGGAGGCGTCGCTCAAGGCCAGCGAGGCCAAGGTCAAGGCGATCGACCAGCTGTACAAGGAGGCGACGGCGGAGAACGAGCTGCTGTACGAGAAGTTCAACTCCGAGCTCAACAAGATCGTCAAGGCCATCCGGGGCAAGGGCCGCGAGGACAGGGAGGAGCTCGTGACCAAGCTCAAGGACTCGAGCGAGGAGACGGCCTACGTCAAGAAGGAGAACGCCAGGCTCAGGAGGGAGATTGTCAGCCTCCGCTCGCTGCTCAAGGGCGGCGCCGGGGGCAGGGATGACTGAATGAATGACGAAGCACGGTGAGCGGCGCCCGGGCAGGGGGGTTTTGGAGTCCGCAGCGCTCGCTATTCACGGTTGGTGTTCTGGCTGTGCTCAAATACCGGGGTTGTTTCACGGCCCAGCAGCACCTCGGCCTCTGCAAATGATGTCACGCTTTGTTTCCCACGTCTTATTTTCAAGCGGGGTTTCGTTTTTCAAAGTCCACGTTTGTACATTAATGTCTACGTTTGTGTTGGGATGGGAAAAGTCACGAGGGACTGGGGGGGGGGGTGAGGATGATGGATTGAGGACTGGACGGTGGTTGGGTCCGAAGTGAAGATGAAGATGGTGTATGGAAATCAGTAAATATGGATTGGAACTGACTCTACGTTTCAAGACGAACATGAGAAAGAAAACAGACCCCAAAAAGGAAGAAACCGCCAGCAAAAAAGACCCCTACGCCTGCCATGCTGTCTAGAAAGAGAATGCTCGCTCGCTGATGTGTTGAATGAAGACTGGTCAGGCTGGTCAGATGGAACCGCCCTGCACTTTCGCACGCTGATATATCATCGCATGCGCATATTTTCCTCACGCCCGTCCAGCCAACTTGTGCAGTTGACACAGCGGAGGGCCTACCGTCACAAAGTGTCAGTCTCTGAAGTCAGGTCCACACCAACAAAAGCACACATCTCGCTCCACTCACCTTCTCGTTGATATTCTTGCGACAGTACCGGCACTTGACCATGTGCTTGATGATGGGGTCCTTGCTGAGGTACTGGTACAGCCCGGCGAGGGCGTAGAGGGCGGAGCCGAGGCCGATAAAGTTGAGCGTCTTGTTGAGGAAGACGCCGTAGGCCATGATGACGGCGCCGTCGGCCTGGGCCTGCTCGATGGTGCGGTAGCCGTGCGGCTGGTCGAGGTAGTGCGGCCCCGCCTGCAGCACGGCGAACTTGAGGTCCAGGTTCGCGTTGAGCGGGAGCAGCACCGACAGGGGCGGCAGCAGGATGTCGCTGACGAAGCTGGTCACGACGTTTGTGAAGGCTGCCGCGACGCTGGTTTGGGGTCTCGGTCAGCATTATTGATACCCAAGTCGACCGTCTAACTCATCTGACAACCTACATCAGGCCGAAGGCGATCTCGAGGATGTTGCCCTGGGTGGCAAAGTCCATGAAGCCGCCGACTATGCGGCGCGTCTTCTTCTGGCCGTACTCGAGGAACGTCTCGCCCTCCTCCTGGCCGTCATCGCCGAGACGAGGCATTTCTGCGGCTGCTTCAGAGAGGTGAGGTGCAGGAGAAGAGGACTTTGGGATACTTGCAGTGGCTCTGTGGGTCTTGAAAAGAGAGAGAAAAAGAAGCAAAAAGTAATTGAAGCCCCCCCAGGCCTGGGTTTCAATTATAGACGGACAAGAGGTCATTCCGAGGCCCAGGAATAGCACTGATCTGCGCCCACCTGGCCGCGCTGGCCGCCGGATTGACAACCAGGCCGGGCGGGACCCACCCGTGAGGAAGGTGTATATTTCAATAATACGCATAATTCCGAGGCCGTTTCCGCAGTACTCCGTATCCGTGACATAAGCCTCACATGGCCGGGTAAGATACGTATCGTAATACGGAGCACCGTCAAGCCCACCGCGGAAACCCTGCGCGCTGAGACCCCTTGGTTTCAGTCGCCAGCACGGCTGGGCCACTCCCCCGGGACCAGGCCGGCTGCGCCATCCGTGAGGGCCCAAGGAGCCTTCACCGTATCATCCCAACAAAAGGCGGATCCTGACTCTTTTTTATTCCCGAGACTATCGATGTTCACGTCTCCTCAAGATCTCGCGAGAGACTAGACAAAAGCATGCATGCATAATACAGCCCCCTCTCTTGTCCCCCCACCCCCATATTCAAGCGGGGCCCTTCCCTGGTTGAGATCGCGACATATCGGCCGACCGCCCCGTCGTCGCGCACCGCGGCCGAGTCAGGCCCCACCCGACGGCCAACGCATCCACGCTCCTGATATGATATCGCGGCTTCCCGTTCATGCAAGTATATCACGCGTCGCCCGCACCCGCATGCGCATGGGGCATCGCTGCTGGGGGTTTCCATCTCTCTTTCTTTTTTGATCATCTATGTGTAGTGTACATTATCTATCCGGGTGGGGCCAAATACCACAGTAATGCCTGGAGTCAGTATGAGTTGGCAGGCATGAACGCATGCTTTTTACTACGTGCCTACCCTAGCCGAGGGCATCTCGGGTTCTCGCTGAGGCTCCATAAGTGCGTTTGGTACGTATCAATAACTAACTATCTTGACCCAGCATTGCATCAGGCCGTTGAACATTGTGATAATATATGTAATGCCACGGAAGACCTGAGAAAAAGGCAAAGATAATGAGCACTAATCTATTTAAATGTGCAAAGAGATCGTATACAAGCAGGGGCAAAGATGCGATGGCCGTCCCCACGTCCAAAATCGGAGTGGGTGAGCCTCGCAGGTCATATTAGAAATGCTACCTCTATCTTGGGGCACGGTAGGCTGGGGTGGAGTTAAGATCAATCGAAGACCATTTTGGACTGAGCAAGTTCCGCATAACCGTGGGTGTTGTGCTTTGGCAGGATTATACCCGGCTGAAGAGATCAGTGACGAGGCAACAAACGCTTCAGCAAATATATTACAGTGTCTTGTGTGAATAACTAGCAGCCATTGCCGTCAGATTGTAAAGTTTCAGGAGCCATATATATACTAGCCCAGTCTCAACAAGAGAACGGTCGTGATTGACCCATCCCATGAGTGTTGCCCTAAAAAGACTATGCTTCACTTGCTCGAAGAAGCATAGGTGAGCATCAGAGGCAGCTCAAGAAGAGGATTACATAGTGTAGTACAGCTTAAGAATAGAGGGCGGATTATATATTCCTAGATCCAACCTATTTCAACTCATAATTATTACTATTCCCATGATGGCAGCAGGGACAGAAAATTCTCAAGCTGATCAGTTTCTAATTCAAGACCCCCAAAAAGGCCCCGTCAACCACTCACATCCACGACCCGTACTCCGCTCACAGATATCCCAGGTAATGTATTTTGGATGGTAAACACAGCCCACCGCCGTGTCAACAGCGCCCTCATCCGGGCCCACCGCAATAAAGGACTGATCTTTTCCGGTTTTGTCCCCGGTGAAATTTATGAAAGCAACATTTACTCGGGAGAACTACGAGTCTCGTGGACGACTGTGTTTTGAAGCGCAGTATCAGAAATAGCCTCACAGTGTGTGCCCACCGGGGCTTTGTCCCAGGAAGGGGCAGACCAAACCGTGCTCAAGTGTATCGTGTTCAGTGACCACCTGCATTACTTATGAGTAGCTTGACCTGCATAATGATAATTCTCAGCAAGACAAGCACCGACCGAAACGACCTCTGAGCTATTACTCTGAAACATGAAACAATCTCTTAGATACAACCTCCTCTGAGGTAGCCGTAAGGGACGACAACCAAGGACAGAAATCACCAACACACAAGGTCGTGGCCCAATAGACTGCAACATATTTCTATTCCACTGTTGGTCTGGATGGTATCCCAGCCCGACGGCGAGAGCGGACGAGGTATCATGAACACATACACATCAGCCCGAGCAGACAGACATACCCCCCTTCCATCGACAATATGTAGCTGACAACGCAACCCTCACGACCACAGCGCCCGTGGCAAAGTTAAAAAACCTGAAACCCCAGACAAAGAGCCCCTGGCTGCCAGCCCGAGCTCGAGCCCGAGCCCGAGTATGTCTTGCCTGCCAAAATTATAGAGACGACCAACAACATCACGGGGAGCCGAAGCCGAAGCCCAAGCCAGGGATATAGCAATATGCTGCTTCCTGTGGACGCACCGCGCCCACAGGCGCAAGGCAATAAAGAGACCACAAGATACCCACCCCTCTCTGACAGCAGGTCAAAAGGCACGAGAGCGATGCCAATGAAGGCCATGGCGGCCATACTGCCCGCTGAAAATGAATCAACGCTGAAAATAAGTCTACTACCGCTTGCACCCAAAGAGGGAAATCACAAAAGCTCGGCCGTCAACGTCCCACGCGGGGAACCAAAACCCACCACGCAGGCGTGCTCGTGGCTTGAACAATCAACTAAGCATCGTAGCACACACACAAAGCACGAGCCCAGCACGAGGGACTGAGACTGAGGCTTGATGAGACAGCAGCAGCAACAACAACACCGACGCCCCGTACATCTCCCCGACGCCGGAATCAGAGAGGGAGAGAGACAGGGACCAAATCCCCCGGCTGACCCGGACCGTGAAAGCCTGGTGAGGGACGTTCCATTGGATTCGGGGTTCCTGCAGGGAGAGTGCAACGACCGCGCTGTCGAGTCCCACGAGCCCCGTAGGCCGTGACATATCCCCGGCCCCCCCGGAAGGAACACAGGGGAGAAAAGGTCAGCTGTCTAGCCACCTTGAAAGTCCGGCCTCCAAGAGAAAACGCATTAAAAAAAAAAAGAACACCAGCAGCGGGTCTTGCCAAAAGAAGAAAGGTATCTCGTATACCCAGTCAGTCTTCTCCTTCCATCTCCAGCCGTCTGGGAACAGGAAGCAGCTAGCTGGTCAGCTACCAGCACCCGGTCCAAAGCGTAGCACAGCGCCTCGCGCCTCTGCGGGTCTTTGTCCGTCATCACCCCTATCTACAAGAGGTGCGTGCGCTGGGCGCGAGCAAGGCGCGAGGGGGGGTGTTCGGAAGAAACGAGCTACTATTACTACTACAACGACAGCACGCGTCATCTTCTCCCGGCTCCCGGAGCTTACGCCTGGGAAACCTCCGTATGGGGGTATTCGAAAGAAGCGCGCTTGCAAGGAACAAGGCACACCAGACATACACACACGCACGCACACCTACGAACCAACCCATCTGTCTGCTTACCCAAGAAATGCTTGCTTCACTTTCCGTGCTGACCGTGGGGTATTTTGAGAGGGATAGAGAGAACGAGAGGGAGAGAGGCACGGAGATTTTCGGTCATCTCCTCCCTACCTGTCTTCCCCCCCACCCCCACCTCCTTCTCGTAGGAAAACGAAACGCACCATGGCATCATACAATATGTAACCATGCGTGGTGGTGGTACTGTACTGCTGCTGGTCCGCTCGAACGCCCCCAAGTCCCGAGTTCAGGCAGCCACCACCACCACCACCACATCGCTTGCTATCCCCAGGTGAGCGAACCCTTGGAGTCGTCCAGCAAGCCCGCCCGTCCACCCCCCCTGCAACGCCTATTCCAACGAAATCATGTGATCCCGCGCAAGCTCGTCCCCCGCCAGGCCCAAAAAGAAAAATGGCAAGGGAGGGGAGGGATACGCGGGTGACAGGATCCTCAACGGTCAGCACGCTCGCCCTCTGCCGTGGCCTGGCGCCCGCCCCAAGTGCCGTCCTTTTCCCCACAAGATCCGGGCTCGACCTGCGGCATGACAGCGGCAGACCAAGGGGAGGGAGGTGCACAAGTAGCGAGGCAGGGCCCCCTTCCCGGTGACAGCTCACACAACGGGATCGCAGGGAAATCTCGTGAAAAAGCCACAGGGGGCGAGGCGTCTCCCTCCCCTTGCTCTCTCCTCTTTTGCTTGGCCTTCCTGGTTGTTGAAAACGACATGTCACAACCACGCGATCAATGTGTCGCACGAGACTGATGGGCGACCTGAGGGTGCGAAGGGGAGCGGGAGGGGCAGGGGTCGAAGCCATGTTCGACCCAGCTCAGACGGACAGGCGCAAGCAAGCACGCACGCAGGCATGCGGGCGCACTCGCACAGCTTCTCAGGACATCGCCCTCTGGACCCGTGTGTCGGGCGATCACACACGTCAGCGCAGGTACCCAGAACTTGTAAGAGTGTGGGTTAGCAGGGGACCTGTTCGGAGCGTGGGCGTATAACTCGTCCTGCCAAGGAGGACTTTGTCACCAGACCCCCAGAGCGTTCGTCCTGCTGGTTGGGTTTCATCCGCCTCGAGCGCTAACTCGCGGAGACCCCCTCCCTCGTCCAAGAACTACAGGGCAGCGTGGCTGGCGTGGCTGAAGTCTCACGGGCGGGTGCGACTCTGACTGTCAACGGTCCGTTGTGTATGTCTTCGGCCATGAGAAAAATCCCTGGCCAGACAGATAAGTGACAAGATCTACGTCGCTACACGCGACCTTGGTCAGATACCTTGTTCCGAGCCTCTAACCGCGGTTCGGACTGGGGCCGCGGGACATTGAGCCTGCAGCGCGTGCAGGAGAGATTGCCCCTGCTCCCCTCCCTCCC